TCTTAACCTTTTTGGAGGTACCGAACCCCACCAGTTTCATATGCGCATTCACAAACCCTTCTTAATAGGAAAAATAAAGTATGATTTTTTTTCTGATTTTTTTTTTTAGACCTCCGCCGAACCCCTGAGACTGACTCACCGAACCCCTGGGGTTCGATCGAACCCAGGTTAAGAACCACTGTTTTAAACCCATAAATCCTGGCGAGTACAACTGTAATATCTTTCTAATATAAAATACACTCTATGTTCCATGGTTACCCTCAACTCGAAGGCCTCTTAAAGAGGAAGCCTTTATAATGTTATCGTTATGTAAGCACCAAACACAAATAATTATCTGTTGACCTCTTGAAAATATAATCACATTAAATTGAATAAAAAAAGAATGCCCAAACAAAATTTTGTCATGTATGTATGTGGTGGCTAAAGACAAGCAATAGAATAATAATTTGTGGACTGCATTTAGTTAAGGAAATACACATTTATTTAGCTGGGATGTTGTGGATTGTTGTTTTTAAATGAAACAAAACGAAACCAGTGCTGTGTGCTTTTCACTTGATGGTGCAGCTAGTTCATTTTTTTTAAAATGTGTTTTAAACAATTAATAGTACACAGAATTTGTTGTTTTGTGTGTGTGTGTGGGGGGGGGGGCGCATTTGTTTCCTATAGTGAAATGCAGCACACTATTCTGCAAGCAAAAATATGAACTCCTATTTTAAGATGTGATACTTGAAACTAATTGTATCTGTATAGTTTTACTGACTGGTATGTATCATCTCTTTTAGGGGAGTGGACTACAGAGTAGCGATGTACAAAATACTGTCTCAACTTGACTTTCATGTTATTACTATTGATTACAGAGGTAAGAAGAACTCATGTAATCTTAATTTTCATTAATAAAATGTTCACATTTGTGCCCAAACATTGTTGAAGGTGGTCTCAGAACATCACATCTTGTACCATGCACTTCAATCTTGCTAATAAGTCAAAATAAAACAATTAAACATCTGAGGACACTTCAGGTAGTTAGTTATTAGCCCCAAAGTATTTATTGTCAACATAAGTATAATCTGTTGCACCATGAAAAAATAGTTTAGGGTCCAGCCACTTCATCTTGAACATTTAACTTTAATTTAAGCCCATAAAATGAGCCATACGGAATTGTTTCTCAAGTTTTTTGTCCTATTGACATTCTCAAGTCACACGCAATAAAACTTCTCCTCATGTGAGGCCACTCAGTTTGCCCACCAAGTTTTTATTATGCTTACATTTTATAATGTTCATTTTTATATAAATAAAGTTTTTATTTCAAAATTTTAAGTGCACTCAACAGCAGCTATAATGTTCAAATTTAATCATACATCTGTTTGACAGTCTGTTATTAAAATTCTGTCTCACACTCAGTTATCATACATCTGTCTGATCATCAGCTTTCATACATCTGTTTGACAGTCAGTTATACATCTTTCTGACAGTCGCTTATCATGCATCAGTCTGACAATCAGTTATCATTCATATGTTTGACCGTCAGTTACAACACATCTGTTTGACAGTCAGTTTTATAAATTGAGCAAAGACAGAAATCCACATAATAACACTCAACAGTGATAATAGGGGCAAAATTGAATCTTCTTTAGGTTTTGGCGATTCATCTGGAGTTTCTACAGAGGATGGACTTGTAGCTGATGCATATTTTACCTACAAGTGGATCAAAGCCCGATCAGGACAGTCTAAAATCTTTATATGGGGACATTCTTTAGGAACTGGGTAAAAAATTTTCTCTAAGTAGGTTTAGGTTTACTATATAGTCAAGCTTAAATCTCTTGGGAATCGGTCTACTTTATGGAATAGGTACATATTTTTAATGAAAGTATCTGTGTTTTATATTATTTGAAATTCATATATTTTGCTCTTTGTATAAAATGGTTCTCATAATTCTCTAGGAACTAAGAGGGTTGTTTTTTTTAATAAAAACTTATATTAAAACTCATATAGGTTCATATGAAACATATAGGATCATCACAAAGATTAAATTTTATTGCATATCTTCAAATAAAAATGTATCTTATGCTTAATTATTGTGGTTTCTTTACTTATTAAGGGTGGCAGCAGAATTAGCCAAGATACTGTGTGATGAAGGTGTGTACAATAAATAGATCACAGTCAACAGGACAAACTCTTATCGTATCATCAAAGTTCTAGCATATTTCAGGGATTGAGATTAAAATTCTCTCCCTTGAATCCATTATGGTCATTTTTTTTTTTGTTGCTCAAATCGTTATAAATTTTTCTATTAATTGTGCACATCAATTGTGACACTTGTGACACTGCTTATTTATCTGACTAAAGAATATATTGCGTGCTTAATTTTTTTGGGGGGCTGGTATGGAGAAAAACAAAAAATGGGGGATGGGGGTAAAGGCTAAATGGAATTGCTAAAAGTGAATGTATGTGCATTTAGTTTGAGGAAAAATGAATGTGACGATGCTCAATAAAAACTTACATTATCTCTCTCTCCACTAACTCTCATAAAGGTGACCACCCAGCTGGTGTCATACTAGAAGCTGGTTTTAATAGCATTCTTGAAGCTGCCCATTATCATCCTGTCGCATGGGTAACATTTATATTCTAAGTAATTAACATGTGATGGCGAATAATTACATGTTTCTTTGAAAATGTGTTTCTTCATTATCCATTTAAAATTTTTTTTAGCAAAGGTTATTTTTATATAAAATATAATGTAGTTCTTGAACATAATTACATTTTATTCCCATATTTCCCCACTCAGCTTTTTAGTACACTGCCTTGGTTCGAATGGGGTTTTGTTGATGCAATGAGACAACAAGGAATCATTTTTGATAGTGAGAAGCAGTAAGGATTACATTTATTTACTAACTTAGGATTTAGTTTCAGTTATTTTTACTATTGTTGTCATTGTCTTCACTGCACTGAACAGTGACTGACATGGTGACGTGTGCCATAAAATGTGACAAAATATTTTTTTTAATGACAATATATACAAAATGTCACCTTCATCTTAAAATAAAACACGACTGTTACTATAATATTGGTAGCAAGATATGGTGACCTAATGTCATTGTACAGGTAATTCTATTTATATTATTTTAAAAAAAGACTAATTAAATGCTATACTATAACTATAATGGCATGGCATAAATCTGGTACATTTAAAAACAGGTTAGTTGAAAAGTGTAGCTAATCTCTTATGTGTCAATGCTTACAGCATCTTGTCTGTGACTCCACACACTCATGTCTTGATACTCCATGCCAAAGATGATATGGTTGTTCCATTCAAACTTGGAGAGAAAGTAAGTGCTGTAAAGAAGGGGCGCATTGATTTTGTCTAACGTCTGCTGAGGATCTATGGATTAATTCAGGCAGTAACCCAACTGATGAAATGGGGAGGGTGAGCAGCAAGTTTTTGATGGATGGATCGGGTGGGGGTGTCTATGTTGAGGAAACTTTTAGTGGTTTTTCAACGCTGCTCTGAACCATGTGTTTCGCAAGGCTGTAACTTACAGTGTAAGTCTGTTTATTTGAAAATCTCTTATTGTCCAGCTTAACTTTACATGTTGTTTACTTTGAACTCAGTTGTACCAAAAAGCTAAAGAAACCAAAGGAGAGATGTATGGGACCGTGGAATTTATAACTTTTGAAGCACATCATGGTTATGGCCATAAACATATCTACCAAGCGCCTGAAATTCCTTCACATATCATGTATGTACACTCGCACTTATCATGTTTTCTATAGTCATTGGCAAAGAAACATGTTTTTTGTGGCTGCCCTCTTTTTAACCATGGCAAATTAAGACCAGACGACAGATTACATGCAATTTTATTTTGGATTTGATTATATAGGTTCACGTAATTATTTATATAAAAAACAAAGCATGCATTAACTTTGGGCAGGTTGTTTCACTTTTGGGGCAATCCGTGTATTGTGTGCACACTCATGGGGATGTTGATTTAGGAGTATGGACGCAAATGGGTACTGAAGAGTGGTCTCAACAGAATGTGTACATACATTCTAAATAATTATTCAAAAATTCATAAATAGCCAATTTTTATCTTTAATAAAGCCAAACGTCTCATAAAAATCTGTGAAATCCATGACGAGCTGGGACAAAGCATTATGGAGGGGGTTTACATCTCATGGATAAAATTTTTAAACTGCGTCCATTCTTAGTCTTAGGTTCGCCAATTCTTGAGTTACAAATAATTATTTAATATAAAAGTTCCCAGTATTTTATCAATTTCTGATTTTTAAAATTATTTTTTGTTGCAGGAAATTTGTGGCTAAATCAGATGGATTGACAAACCCAAAGCCTTAATCACATTTTCAAAACATCAGACACTATAGAATCTGTCAGTTTTCAGTTATAAGAATTAAGTTATAATTTTTTATAATCAAATATATTTAAATTACATCATGGTGATTGGACTGCTGAACACTTTCATCATTATCTTCTATCACCTGTAATATCCTGTAATATTTATTATTTTTGAAGATGCATGACAGTCATAGAATTTAAAGTCAATTCTGTCATAATTGCTAATTTTAAAAAAAATAATTTCTTAGGGTTGGTAGCCTGCAGATTCAAGGAAAACAAGATTTTTTTGGATGGTCCAATATTTTTTGGTTACAGTTACAGAATTTGAAAAAGAAAATCAAAGCACTGTTTCATATGTACATTTTCTAAATTATAAATTAATTTAATTAATTCTGGCATTTTGATTTTTTTTTTGCAATTGCTAAGTAATTTGAAACATATTTTATTTACTTAAACTCATTTTAACCAATATTTAAAATGCAATTTTCAATAAATAACTGCTTGTTGCAAATAATACAGTGTATTATTTACTTTTTTTTTAAATATTGTAAAAAAAAAAAATAATAACATTAAATTTTATATCATTATTAAACACAGTCACTTTCACCCCATGAATGTTTCTGACATTCACTTTCTAAAATTTTAAATTGTTGTGTTATGTAGTTAAATTTTCAACTTCAAACATTATTAATAACACTGTTCAGTTTGATAATTTTTTTTAAATTCTCTTATTTTATTTCATTAATAATAAGTGTTTGAAAAATTACAATTAAGCCACCCAAACCACATTTATCACTGTACAATAAATATGTATACAACATGACATGAACTTAACCAAACTTTAAACAAGATATTAAGCTTAAGTCATGGAAATTAAAATGTTCTGCCTGACATAAATACTTATAACATTTGCATTTCTGAAGCTGCTATAAAACTGCTTCAGTTTTTCAACATATTTTTTACTGTAACTGTGGCAGTTGCTTACGCTGTTCAACATAGAATGTGAAATATTTTATGTACATTTCTTTACAATGAAAATAATCAATGATTGTAAAAAATGATTTAATTTATATACCGTACAGAATTACATTTGCCTTTATACCATCTATCATACAAAAATGATCTATTGTACAACATGCTCTAACACTCCTTGACGTATCAGGTGCTCACATTCAGATCTCAGCAAGTAATGCTAAAGAAAGAAGCAAATACAATATGAATTAATTTGTATATTTCAGTGACACCAAATCTCAATGTATTTTATTTTTCACCAAGCTCATTAAATTTTAATCTAACAAATTAGACATTGAAAATTAATTCTGGGGAACAATACATTTACATACACTCTCTCTCTATACACTGATCATTGAAGGGTAAGATCACTATGAACTAATGCGCAAAAATCCCAATGGGAGACAGATAATTATCAATAATAAAACTTGGCAATGAAATAATTTCTAAAGCTGTGGTGATTATTTTCCGAGTAAAGAAAAAGACAAACCTGGCTATTCTTCTTGAGTAAAATAATATTGCCATCTTGTGTTTCAAATTCTCCATGGTCCAACAAACATCTTACCTAGAAATGAACAAAATCATTTCCTGAATATTTTAAGGGCAGTGTTAAGCAGAAAGAAATTGTTCTGAAAATCCATTTGCATACCTTTTACATGTATGATAATAATAACCAATATTATTATTGTATACAGGTATATGGGCAAAATATACTTAAATAATATTGACTTGGGGGCTGTGAATGTTTTAACATTTTATTTCATCAAGCACCAAAGAAATTCATCTTTGCCCAAATTTGATAGCCTTTTTATATATAATGAATCTCTGGGGACATTCATATCTTTGACTTCATTTTCAGAGGAATACAGTTGCCAAGCTTTAAAAAATTAAAAATTTAAAAGACATTCATTTGAGAAAAATAACATCCACTACAAAACTTATTTCAATCCAAATTTAACTGGACACTCACAAATCACTGGGGTTTTCGATCAACGCCCCGCAAGCCCTAACAAAAATTTGTTTTTAAAAACGTGTAGTATTCTCCCAGCCTTTTATTGTAGACCTGATAACACTCACCAAAACATAAAGTGTCTTTGGCGGCTTCATGTCCTGTGTTAAATCCAGCCCACCACTTTCGCCTATAGACCTCATGTAGTTTGCAAGCAGCCGGTTGTACTGGTTGAACCACTGGACCTAAAATTACAAGATAACTTATAATTACAGCAGTTACCCTTCTATGGTTAATCACCAAATTTTGTGTTCTTCTTCATTTCATATTATGGCCTGAATTTATTGTACTGTAAAGACTGAGTTTTATTATCATGGACAGATGTTCAATACTATGACATGACATTGACTTTGTTTTCCCACTTTCGTTATTCGTCCCCACCCCCCACCTCAGAGTTTACTTATTCCCCAAGAATAGTTGAGTTACTTAGCTAATGAGTCTATTCGACTCAGTTTTGGCCCATAGTTGGTGAAGACTTCAAACAATTCAATCCCTTCACAACTTGGTAGAGAGGCGTATGTTACCATTGGGGTGACAGAAATGACACTATTTACATTAAAATTTCTAAAAAAGGATACATACTACTGCTTTTCATCTAACAATGATGCAGTGTTAACTTAAAACAATTTGTTATTACAAACGCCAACAGGATTGTTATTGGAGCCACCAGCTTTGAAATGCCTAAGCAGCAGGTTTACTTTATATTTCAAGAGCTTTCCCTGTAGTTAACAATGGTGGGACTGGACTGTCAACCAAGCAGTTGGTAAATTAGTCCCGGTAGTATATAAGTTTTTAGTGTAGCTTGTACTTAAACTAAAGCAAGAAATGTCATGATAGTACCAGACTTTTACTTGTTTGGAGTTCAAAGATATGCCTTTTTTTTTTTTAATTAGAGAGTTATGTTTCAAAAAAGATTATTGATCTGCTCTAGAAACATTAACACAAATAAAAGAAATAACTTAATAATAAATCCTTAAATTAGCCATTGTATGTAGTGTTGATAGTACCAGACTTTTATTTGTTTGGAGTTCAAAGATATTTTTTTTTTTTTTTTTTAATTAGAGAGTTATGTTTCAAAAAAGATTATTGATCTGCTCTAGAAACATGAACACAAATAAAAGAAATAACTTAATAATAAATCCTTAAATTAGCAATTGGATGTAGTGTGTCATAACTGGTGAGATGTCAGTAATTATGAACGATTTGAGAATTTTTTTTTTGATAGGTGTGTTGCTGAGAATATTTAGAGTGGAAGAAACACATTTCGGGCTATGGGAAAAGCCTGGATCCGGAAATCCATGCTGGCCAAATTCGTGTTTTTCTTATCTGAGCTTTCCAAATTTAAAAAATTCATGATTTTGTGCTACAGCTAGGACGATCATGAAATTTAATGTGCACGAAAATGAACGTCTTTCCTGTAAGCTAGCTTTGCTCATTACATAAGAACATTGTGTTGAGAGTTTATTTATTATTATCATTACTTGACGTCTGAACGTGGTGAAACGTATCACTATTGAATAGTCATTCCAAAATTGAGAATGAAAATTAAAATTAAAATCTGCCACACTTTATATAAATCATAAAACAGTACTATTTAATAAAATTAAGCCTACAGTAAAACAGTATATTACAGATTAAAAAGGAAATAACAATAGAACTATAGCTTTAAATAAAACTTATAAAACTAAACAATAACTTACCTCTTGTTCACACATATTATATTTTACATCTGGTGGCAAAACACTCCCAAATTCCCAGCGCATCTTACGAATTTGCTCTAAACGGTTGTATCTATACAAAAATATACAAATTAGAAGTCCACATAAGAAATTTTCACAAATTCAAATCTTTCAAAATCTCATTTTCACAATGTGTATCACAAAGACTTTTACAAATATTTCCTATTCATTAAGCAAATTATATAACTAAAACAAATTCATGATAACCTACAAGTAAGCTAATAAACAGCGTTTGTTTCTCTGTATTCCTGCATGTCGAAGTTGTATTGAAGATAACTGGTCCGTTTGCCCTTCTGCAACACTGTGTCTGTATACAAACATTAGATTGAACGACATAATGAATTATATTTATCATCCTAAATCATATGAGAGTACAGGTATCTTGCAGGATCACATATCATAATGCATACAAATATTTTATTAATGATTTTGAGGACTCATTATAATTATGGCTGCATCCTAGTAAGAAAATGTTCTTGATTCTTTTAGGATGTTAAATTTACTGTAAGTGTTAGCCTTATGTGTCTTCAGTCATTTAATTTCTTCACTTTGAAATATAGATTGTCCAGTAAGAATATATTGCTATATAAGCATTTAACTTACGCTTTGTCTTTATTTTGTTCAAAAAGTGTCTTCATTTCTTCTAAAACTTGACGAATCTTGTCTTCCTGAATTGTAGAGATTTTAAAAATAAATTTTTTTAACAACTATTGACTAAATGATTTAAACATTCTTACTTAGCTTTTATTTAAATGCTAAATTCTGACACTGATGATACTGTAAAGTGCCAAATATTTGGATGTTTATATAAATATATAAAAAGAATGGAGGTTGTTGTTTTTTTTTGCCTACTCAGCAGCACATTGCATTCATATAAACCAAAAACTAATAGTTACATTAAGGTCAACCTATGGCAATGATAATGAAGAAAGTATGCAAATATGCAGTAACTATGGATCCAGTTGACAGTTGAAAAGAATATTTAAACAATTTATTGATAGTATATTTAAGTACTAACAGGATGCTGTATTTTTAAAATGATTCAGATCTGCAAACCACAATAGTCAAATTTAAGTTGACTGTAAATTGTAAAAGAACAATAATCAATAAACTCTGCTAATGGCTAATGTGAGATGGTTAAAATCCATCAGTTCATCACATGGGAAAAGCTTTAGGGCATTGAATGTAGGTTTCTATTTATTAAAACAGTCACCTTCAGACACTTCAACTATCAACTACCCCAGTCCCAGTCACTTCAACTATATTTATGTTAAGTAGCAAGTAAAGTCAAAGTAGCCTGCCAATCAGTAGAGTTGTGATCAGAAGAGATGAGTAGTGTGGCTCATACATTATTTGAGATTGTGATAATCAAGTTCAGTTAACACAGTAGTTACTTCAAAAAAAGATATAGAAGATGTGTTGGACAATTTTGTTTTGGAAATTTCTTAGGTGTGTGGATCTACCTTTCTCAACTTTCAAGTCTTAACAGCTGATCTGTATCTATCAGGAATCATAGAGTTAGTGTATCATTACTATGACTATGATTCATAACTCAAAGTCAAAGAGATGGCAGTTGCATTACGCAATAATATAATTATTATTAGTCATATGTAAAAGATTTTAAAATGTTTAAACTTTTTACATATATAACATTGATAACAATATAACTTAATTATAATTTAAATACAATAAAATTATTTTACTTTGAACTACGTCTACTCACTCAAGACTACTCACTACTGAATTGAACTGAGTCTACTAACTGTGTCTAACTCAAGTCTACGGCAAACGAAATAAGTTTAATAAAAGTAACAAACATTATATGGGGACAAAGTTCCACTTGAAGTTCTGTGCAATTCACGGATTAAATCTAATGCCTTTTCTGCAAGCATTTCAGAAACACATTTGGAATATAAGCAAAGTTAATATGCAATATTATTAATATTTCGTCTCTAGATGGGGGTTGATGTGAGGTTCCCGGCTCCCGCTTGAGTGAAAATATAAATTTCCGGTTTCTGAATTGAGGTTTCCCCAAATCTAGATGTTCGATTGGCTGTTCAACTTTCTCGTAGCCAATTAAAGACTTTGTTATTGTGCGTAGTTTCTATAAATAACTACTGTTTAGTCTAGAAACAGAAGATTGTAAAATGGACGTGCAGAGCCCCCAAGAAGAAACTAAAAAGATACTTGTTAAGAAAAGAAAGACAATGTTAAATTATTCCCAGATCACTTTAAGGTAAAACACTTTTATTAATTTATTTGTCTTTATTTTTTAATTAAATATCTTAAACCTACAACTAAACAAAGTTACGATTCTCAGCCAACTCAAATGCTTTAAATAAATACTAAGACTAAGGTACGTCTATTTGAAGTATTTGTTCTGATAGTACAGTGGACTTTGACCCTCTACTCAACCAGCCCACAAAACCCCTGACGCAAAACTGCACTCACAAATTTGCTCATTTGTTTAAATGCCGCATAAATAAATAATATTTATTAAAATCAATGATGAAATGTAGCAATTGTATGTAGTAGAGGTTTGCCTTTGTTGGGCACTTTAATAAGCTTCTAATAAACCAATACTATAGTCAATAGTGAATATCAAAGACATTAATCATTAGTAATCCGACATTGTTATCTAATTTAATATCGTGTCGGTGGTATATTTTATTTGTTCTTAATTAATTTTTAATGCCCCTTCTACTTCTAGCACCCATTAGGGCCACTACTGTTATTAGCTGTTACTTACAAATTTGCATTATTATAAATTAATACGATAGATTAGAAGTTTCCAAAAACCAATTTGGATCTGAAGTAAATAAGTAAAGTTAAAGGGTTAGACACTATGATGTCCACTCACTGACTGGCTTAAATTAGGCTTAGCTTATGGTGTCCAGGGTGAACTTCAGACATCCCTCACTCACTAAAACCACAAAACAAACGGTATGATAAATGAAAATGATACAGAAAACCCACACATCAAATGTAAGCCATATAATATATAGTATTGATAGGGGTAGGTCATATGCCTAAATAATAATATATGCTTAAATAATATATATGCTGTGAGTATGAGCCAATAAAGATAAGATTCTTTTATTGATCCAAATAAATGGAAATAAAAGGATTTGTACACAAGACATTTATAATAAATTATTTCAAACAGCCATTCCCCCTAAAAGCCCCCCCCCCCCCAAAAAAAAATATTTTAAAATGCCCCAGCCCACTCCTAAAACTTAAATCAGTGATTGTACAACATAATTATGAAGTTGATTAACCATATAATTTCAGTACATATAAATATACTATTTTCTTTTGTCTACTATTTATGTATTGCAATTATTAGGCTACTAATTCATACACATCATGTAAATTGTTCACAGATATATTCAGGAAAATGCATCATTTTGTTTTCTCTGCCTAAAAGTCACATCCCTCACACTCTTCCTGGTTTATGTGGCTATTCCTATCTTTGTGAGAGCTAATCAGTGGATCTTGCCAAAAGTAGTTTTCTTAAATTTGGGTGAGTAGTCTTCTTTTAAAAGTGACCATTCATTTAAAAAGAAATGTATTATGTAGTGCCTTCCACCACACTGAATCACTAAAAAAAAAATATTAAAGTGATTCTTTTATTTTGTGATATGTTTCAGTTCGATGGCCTCCATTTACCAATCTCTCCAATCCAAGTGAATTTGGCCTAAACAACACAAGACATTTTAACCTTCATGTTGAAGAGGGTGTTAAAATTGGAGCTTGGTAATTTCTTGTTGTAAATTCATGCTAAAGCTAAAGAGTTATCACCTTTGGAATATATGTGGTACATCCCACTACCATTAACTTACCTTGCTATTAATATATTTTTCTGTTATTAACTTAAAATGCATAACTTAGCTCATTCAAGGTGTTAATTTATATGACGTGTTAAAGGTTTGAAACTAAACTTAAATTGAAATTTCTTCAAGTTAAATAATGTTTCTTGGATGAAAAACATGTATCAACAGGCACATTCTCCCCAAAAGTATGTACATTGAAAATGTCAACATTCCATGGGATAAATTTGAAAATGAAATGGACAATGGGAAAATGATTTTCCTATATCTTCATGGAAACAGTGGGACCAGGTTTGTTGATAGTTTTTTAATAACCCATAATAAATATTTTTTCCATTTGCTTTGAAAAGCCCATAATAATTCATTCAAAAAGTCACATAATGTAGAAAAAATTACCGGTACACTGGTGTCCTCACTCAAGTTGTTTACAAACTGTGGGCCTACTTTGAATCTACAGGTGATGAATGCCCTAGGCTGTAGGCTTCATGTCATATCCTATTTATACTGCATTACTAATTACTAACCTCTCTTCCTTTAAGTTTAACATCTAATTTAAGATATGAAGAATTTATAAGACACACATTTTTTAAAAAATAAAGTTAAGGTTAGCCAAAATTATTGGTGGGAGATACTAGTTTGGTTAATTGGGCGACATTGGTGGTTGTTTATTATATTTAAATTTAACTATTGAAGGCTGATCAACTGCATACATTGTGCCCATATTAGCAATGGAAACTATTTTTGAAATATTTTTTTTAAAATTTGTTATTTTTGGTTGAAATTTCTGTTTGGGAATTTTTTTTTTAAACAGCTTGATTTGTTTTGTGTTTCTTCTCCTCAACGCGGTTTAATGCAGTTTCCTTGCAAAGTGATTTACTGGTTTAGATATATTCCTATGGAATCAAAAGATAGTTGTTGCACCATGTTATGACATCATGGTTTTCTGTTATTTTTTCTGCATTTTTCAGTTTGTTGTCCAGTTATACCTCATGCTAATCTTCAATACATGATTTAGTGCATACGTTATTATATTAAAAGTGTCATTGATTTACATTTGTGATTTATTATTACTTAAATTATAGAGCACAATCTAGAGAAATTGTGATCTAAAAGTCGTCCTTGATTTTACTTTCTTTTAAATCAGCATGAGGAATAAATAACTTCACAAATCAGCTACTTAATTAACTTCTGCATTTACCCTTTTCTTTCAATATTCAAAGATTATATATGGATACATTCCTTTTTCTCCCCTCACTTTTCTCTTTATGCCTTATTAAATGCAGTCTGCACCCCTAAGATAAAAATTGGATTTTACTTTTGTGTATGTATAGTTTGTACTGGTGCATCACCATAATATTATTTGTATCCCAGTAATGCAATTTCATGTTTTAAAAAATAAATATAATCCATCTTCCAGAGGATCACATCACAGAGTTCAGCTGTACAATTTATTGGCTCAACTTGACTTCCATGTGATTGCTATTGATTACAGAGGTATGTGGACCTGCCTGTCTTGGCTAATGGTATTATTGATCAAGTGTCACACAGAGCAAAATAAAATGGTATCACTTATTGAAACAAAAAAATTTTAACTTCTATATATTATAGAAAAAAATGAACATAGAAATATTTTCAATCTTTGTATCTACTTCTACTATGTTTTCTTAAGAATTTATTTATTGAAAGAGACCTTAACTTGATTTTATTGTACAAGTGCATTTCATACACCTTACTTATAGACTCGATAATTATTTTTCTTTCATGATCTGCATTTTTAAATTTAAGGTTATGGGGATTCATCAGGAGAACCTACAGAGGATGGAGTTGTAGCTGATGCTTACTTTACCTACAAATGGATCAAAGACAGGGTTGGAGAATCTAAAGTCTTTATTTGGGGTCATTCCTTAGGGACTGGGTATGTTTTATCCACCAAGACCTAAGTATGGGGATTGTGTTCTTTGTAACAGATTGGTTTATTCAATTGACAGTTTATTCTTCCAGGAAATTTTTTTTTCTGGCTTTTTTGGAATCTATGCAATAAATATTTTAAAGTTTTGTATTTAATAAAATAATATCTTCTTATGATATGCACTGAAATAAAATATTTTCAGTTCTAAATGTAAAAATATAATTTCTTTAGGGTGACAACAAAATTGGCCAAGAAACTTTGTGATGAAGGTATAAACATTATTATGCTACCTGTATGTTTAAAATTTGAATCAGTTGAACACATTTTGCATTATATAAATACTAGCTGGTTAAACAACTCAAGTTGTTATGAAGAACAATTTATAATCAAAATTTTTTTTTTGAATTGAGGCATGTTTCAATATCATTGCTTTTATCAAAAGTATAATGCATATGGTATATATTTACCCAAAAAACTTTAAAATGCTATAAATCTTGATCAGTTTCAAATAGTTACACATCTTTAATATATTTGTTTCTTTAAAGCTGTATATTACACTTTTGTATGTATTTATTGGTATTGGTATTGATTCTGTTCATGGACTTGAAAAATAATTATAGATATTCAATTTTGACAAACATGCTATTTTATAATAGGAATAATAATGATATGGGACATTCTAAGAGACATTGCTTGTGCTATTTTCTCCTCCCCCCCCCCCCCCCCCCCCCGGGGACCACCCAGCAGGAATAGTGCTTGAGTCACCTTTCAATAACATCCACGAAGCAGCTTTACACCACCCATTAGCTTTGGTAAAACCATATTTTTTATTGAATGAAGTAATATTACTGAAGATATAATTTTTGTTTGATTTTTCCATTAAATTAGTTAACAATCTGTTCTTGTAAAAAAAAATTAATTAATACAAATTGATAATAAATATTTTTTCCACCCTCCAATTCTTACTTAGCCTTACAGAATGTTGCCTTGGTTTGAGTGGGTTTTTGTTGATGGCATTGGAGAGCATGGAATTTATTTTGATAGTGAGGAAAAGTAAGGGATTTTTTAAAAAATTTAAAATAAATTATTTTTTAACCCTTTTGAATTAAGGCTGGTGGGAGTTTATTATGTTGAATTTAATATGAGGTTAATACTGTTGAAAATATTATAATAGTTTAGAGAAAGAAACAAAAATGTAAAAGTGAAAGGATTAAATGACATTTTAGAGTGGACACCTGATTTTAACATCTCAAATCTATTTTGAGAAGAATTTTGACCAAAAAAATTTCAGTCATAAATTTATTAAACAATGAAAATAAAAATCGACAGCAGTTTTTAATAATTCTGTTTCTTTCTTGAATAATTTAAAGCTCTTAAAGTTAAATTAATTATTATTTTATGAGTATCTAATTTTTCACTGCATCATTAATTACAGTATCTTATCTGTGACACCTCACATCATGATCCTCCATGCTAAAGATGATATGGTTGTTCCATTCCACCTTGGAGAGAAAGTAAGTGCTGTACTGTTTTGCAAATTTGATACTTTACTTATTACAAATCCGCATATGTCAAGTTTAAATGTGTAAGAGGCTGCAATATCTTAAGAGGCTTCTTCATGTCTTTTGTTACTTAATAATTTTGTTTATTACATATTAAATAAATTGTAGGCATTTAAGTTTATGTACAAATACATTTAATTTGAATTCAGTTGTACAAAAAAGCTAAAGATACCAGAAGTGAGATAAGTGGAAATGTGGAATTCATTTCTTTTGAAGCACATCATGGCTATGGTCATAAACTTATCTACAAATCTCCGGACCTTCCCACCCATATCAGGTAGAAAATCTATGGATTTTTTTTTTGGTTCTTATCCATAACTTTGACTGTTATAAAGTCTGGACAATGCATTCCATTTAATTTTTTAAAATTTCCATTAAGCTATTCTTTTTTATTTATATGGTCATAAACTTATCTACAAATCTCCGGACCTTCCCACCCATATCAGGTAGAAAATCTATGGATTTTTTTTTTGGTTCTTATCCATAACTTTGACTGTTATAAAGTCTGGACAATGCATTCCATTTAATTTTTTAAAATTTCCATTAAGCTATTCTTTTTTATTTATAAAATAAAATTTACTAGTGTATCCACTGTAATTTCCCATTTTAAATGAAAAAAGGAAAAAACATTTTATTCACACTCAAAAATTTTGTTTTAAAAGAATTAGTTAATTTTAGAAAAAATTTCTTCAAATTTTTTTCCCAGGGAGTTTGTTGCTAAATCAAAATGATTGAAAAATGCTCTGCCTGGAGATGATGTTCACTTTCCACAGAACTCTTATTTACTGCTACAAGGAATTATGTCAGTTATGAAAGCAGCCCATATATATATAAAAAAATTGTTTAATAAATTATAATTACATATTGAATTTAAAAAATAATTAGGATTCACCATAAGAAGAATGTTAAATTGGCTCTAATATAAATTATGAAGATTTTCAAACTTCAAATGGTGATTGAAATATTTACCAAGTTAAAAAAAGATCATCAGAACAATTTTTAAATGAGACATTTTAGGTTTTGAAGTTTTATTTGAAAAATAAACTGAATAATTACTTTAATAATTCTTTGTTGTTATAAAATCTTTGACTTAATTGAACTGATGTCAATCAATCATCTTTAAACTAAGCCAGTGAGTCCTATTCTGTTTCTCATACCAAATAAAAGTCCACTTTACTTTTGATCACTGATGTGTTACCTGTGTATTTCCTTTTACCATATTTCTCTTGATTTGTTTTAAGTGAATTTAATAATTTTTTTGAGTGTTGACTTTTCTTTATGGATTAGAAATAATTCATAAATTTTTATAATAATTTTTAAAATTTTACTTTGAATATAGAATCTTTTCTTTTTTTTTTTTTAAATTTTGTTGAAGATTCTATTTGAAGTTGGTATATTTCAGTATTAGACCAAATGGACAATAAACAAATCACTGCAATAAAGATCTTAAAAATTTTTATGTGTGATTTATATGAATTTTTGTTTATAACTGATCATATGTTGGTATTGGCCATAATTTTTGCAGAGCTTGTTTTATTTAAATTATGTTTTGTTTTTATTAAACTTTGAGATTTATACGTCTGTGAAATAAATTGCTTAATTGCACAATGATTTTGCTGAATAATGTTTTAAAACTTACCAAAAGCGCTCTTTATCTTATGAAACTATTGAAAGTTAAAAACCACAGTGAACAGATTGTCTGTTTATGAAATATTCATAGATGTAAAATTTATTAAATATTTATAGTGTACAATGTCAGAGTGAACAATTGTGATTTATATTTGTGATAATTTAATTGAACTCCATGAAAAATGCAATTTTTTTGTAAATCTATTTTTGTTTTGTTGATGGCATGGAAATTTTAAAGATTTTATAAAGATGTCAATATTTACATGGCATGTTTGATCCCATGTGGATTTTATTCAAACAGTGAAAACTTTAATATTAAGAATAAGTGTTTTTTTATTTACTGTTGTTGGCTACAACATTGCTTTCCTACTGTCACATTAAGTATCACATAAATTAAAAAGTGTAATTTGAATGAATGTTTTTAATAATTCCCCCACCCCCTCAAAAAAAAACCATGAAGATGATGAAACTTACTTAGCATTGTGAACTTGTATTTCTCAGCCCCATAATTTTACCTTAGTGCTCTTCTTATGATAGTTTTTTTTTCTAATGGTATCCAAAATTTAAACATTATGTTAAATCACTCTTTGTAACGAATAGTCAACATATTGTATTACTTCTGTGAATATTCAAAACTGCATCTCATGTTGCTCTAAAAGTTGTTGTTTTTTTTAAACTTATGACGTCTTATGAATGTGAACCTTTCACCGAAACTCAAATTAACTGTAAATTATTACTATTAGCAGATCCGATAATGTCATCTTTTAAAGTACTAAACATTGGCAGTGAAAAGGGAAAGGGGGGTGGGGGGTTTAAACAACTGATAGCACAATTTGCACACTCTTTTTCAATTCATAACAATAAAATTGCACATTTTAAGTCGCATCTCGTTATTGTATAATCAGGTTCTACTTCAAGCAACAGAAGTCTCACATATTCCAAAATACATGTAATGTGATCTGTAGTCTAAAGAGTTGCTTAATAGGCATTGACATTCCACTGAGCTTAATTAAAGCCATAATAATGGAGAAATATGTTATTTTGTGACTCTGGTGAAAAATTTATGACAATAAAAATTATTTTTAAAATGTTGAATTTTTGTGACAATTGTAATAAATTATGTGTTACACTTACACTGTGTGATTTCCATATTCATTTTATCTTTCAAAAATTCTTACTAAATTCAAATAAAACTAAAACATCATCTTCAGATAAATGTCTAATATTATAAACATATAAAAAAATATTAATTAGGCCTAGGCAAAATAACCGATATATTGTTTAACCCTTTCTCTTGACATTTTCTGAATTGAACAGGTCTAAATCGGCTGTATATAAAAGAATATGCCTAGAATAAGAAGGCCTAAGAAACTTCGATTTGCTGGGTTGGGAGTGAAGGCGGTGGGGCTATGGGTAAAGTTTGCAGTTTAAATGATTTCCCTGAATATATCAAAAGGAGTAAATAAAATGTAAGTTAAACTTCATTAAAGTAATCTTCTGTCAAAGTTGTTGTTTTTTTTAACGTGGGCACAAATACTTTTTTTCATGGAGGGAAAAACCTAGCAGCTTTACTGTAAGTATAAATTACGCAAATGGTAAATCGAGAAACCTTCCAATGGATGCGGCCCTTTCTTAATCATAATCTAGTGTAATCTAGTTACGCTTCTAATCATGGGTGCCCTTGCTGACAACCTATTCTGAAATTGAAAGATATATTTCCCGGCTCATAGATTTGTCAAACAATAGTTTCAAGTATGATTTACACGTCATATCTAGTGGAGTATTGATTTGCTGAACTGAATTTTTTTCATCCCAGTTAAAGACCAATGGACTCTTACATGGAATTGATTAGTTTTAAGCGCCCTGCACCAACATCGACCTTTCACATTCCACCCTCATTCAACGACCATCCCGTGGACTGTGCGTGTTTGAGAAATATGTCCGTCGTGTACTCACAACAGTAGCAGATCATATTAAATTCGTCAGAAATAATAAATAGCCTTAAAGAAAATTTAAATACCAAATATTGTAGCAAAGCTTGAGGGCCGTCTCAATGATAATCAACTGCAAGCTGTTGGTGGCGACTTGTGCTGATATCAGTATCAGCAAGGCCCACAATTTATGCATCCCTCTAACCGCTTAACTCGGCCATTATCCATCACATCTCTCACCCCCAATCCCTTTGATTATTTGTTGTTGTTTGTTTTTTGTTGTTTTTTTTTGTGTTTTTTGTTTGGGGGGGGGGGAAATGGGTTGTTTTGGTTGTTTTTGTGTGTGTTTTTTGTTTTTTCTTTTTTTTTTTGGACATTTGGTATCCATCACATCTCTCACCCCCAATCCCTTTGATTATTTGTTGTTGTTTGTTTTTTGTTGTTTTTTTTTGTGTTTTTTGTTTGGGGGGGGGGGGGAAATGGGTTGTTTTGGTTGTTTTTGTGTGTGTTTTTTGTTTTTTCTTTTGTTACTAGGACATTTGGACCAGCTTCCACCCTCAAACTTTTGCTGTTGTTTGTCCTCCGTTTCCTGGATCCACTTTTTGTCCTCGATCAGTACACACTCTGAACAACTTCGACTAACACACTGATCGTGTAGTGAATGCCCTTCGTAACATTGTGTTGACTTAGCCCAGTGGGCGCCGTTAACCCCCACGGCTCTGATCCCGCAATGTGGCTCTTGTGGGATGGGTTAATGCGGCGCTCTTGGCACATTTTAACAATAAAACAAAACAACAGATCTATAGTGATGATAATGCCAAGGGGTTCTCAATTTGAGCATATTAATCCCAAGGTGGCCACAGCATATTCCTGGGGGGGGGGGGGGGGGGGAAAACTTCGCATACAGGATTTTCTGTAAATAAAACAAATAAAATTATATTAAAAACAGGCAAGGGCGCCTTAAGTACGCGCCTGGTTGGCGCCTTAAGTACGCCCCTGGTTGCTTTTCTCCTCCTCCACCAAAGAGCTGGTCCTGTCAGTACGCGCCTGGTTGCTTTTCTCCTCCTCCACCAAAGAGCTGGTCCTGTCAGTACGCGCCTGGTTGCTTTTCTCCTCCTCCACCAAAGAGCTGGTCCTGTCAGTACGCGCCTGGTTGCTTTTCTCCTCCTCCACCAAAGAGCTGGTCCTGTCAGTACGCGCCTGGTTGCTTTTCTCCTCCTCCACCAAAGAGCTGGTCCTGTCAGTACGCGCCTGGTTGCTTTTCTCCTCCTCCACCAAAGAGCTGGTCCTGTCAGTACGCGCCTGGTTGCTTTTCTCCTCCTCCACCAAAGAGCTGGTCCTGTCAGTACGCGCCTGGTTGCTTTTCTCCTCCTCCACCAAAGAGCTGGTCCTGTCAGTACGCGCCTGGTTGCTTTTCTCCTCCTCCACCAAAGAGCTGGTCCTGTCAGTACGCGCCTGGTTGCTTTTCTCCTCCTCCACCAAAGAGCTGGTCCTGTCAGTACGCGCCTGGTTGCTTTTCTCCTCCTCCACCAAAGAGCTGGTCCTGTCAGTACGCGCCTGGTTGCTTTTCTCCTCCTCCACCAAAGAGCTGGTCCTGTCAGTACGCGCCTGGTTGCTTTTCTCCTCCTCCACCAAAGAGCTGGTCCTGTCAGTACGCGCCTGGTTGCTTTTCTCCTCCTCCACCAAAGAGCTGGTCCTGTCAGTACGCGCCTGGTTGCTTTTCTCCTCCTCCACCAAAGAGCTGGTCCTGTCAGTACGCGCCTGGTTGCTTTTCTCCTCCTCCACCAAAGAGCTGGTCCTGTCAGTACGCGCCTGGTTGCTTTTCTCCTCCTCCACCAAAGAGCTGGTCCTGTCAGTACGCGCCTGGTTGCTTTTCTCCTCCTCCACCAAAGAGCTGGTCCTGTCAGTACGCGCCTGGTTGCTTTTCTCCTCCTCCACCAAAGAGCTGGTCCTGTCAGTACGCGCCTGGTTGCTTTTCTCCTCCTCCACCAAAGAGCTGGTCCTGTCAGTACGCGCCTGGTTGCTTTTCTCCTCCTCCACCAAAGAGCTGGTCCTGTCAGTACGCGCCTGGTTGCTTTTCTCCTCCTCCACCAAAGAGCTGGTCCTGTCAAAGGGAATACAAAGCTTAAGCCGGAAAGTCATGCAGTTCGTTTTAGACACGTTTTGGTAGCTAGTGGGCCTACCACGAGGACCGCTGGAACTAAACACCAATACAATGACCCATAGAACTGACCAAGGTCCAGAATGGGGGGAGGGGGAGGTGGTTGGATTCTACCAGGGAGAGGGGTTAGACGCCCGTGCGCAGACCCACCGCTATTCAACAACCACATCAATTCAATACACGGGAATTATATCATTAATGTCTGTCACTTAGTTATTACGTTTATGTTTATTGCGGACGTTTCTAGGAATATTATTCAAATATATTTAAGGATTTTTTAAAGTGATATTTGTATAAATATAAAAGTATCGGTCAGTGTGTGTTTGTGGGGGTGACGGTATGCACACACATACACACACGCACACACAAACAAATACACACATACACATATATATATACATATATATATATAATATATATATATATATATATAAATATATATATATATTATATATATATATATATATATAAAAGGCTTTACTATGTCTATAAAATACAATTAATTTTTTTAAACACAATTGAAAAACAATTAGATAGATATTGGCTATTTAATTGTGGCATGTGCGCCTACTTGTCTAGATCTGCGAGAGTCCTCGGTTCATTGCACATCACGCTCCCAGTGTAGGGCTGAATAGCGTCATACAGAGAAATAAATGGAGCATGCGAAATCTACAGCCTTAGAATACGATCGACGAGACGCTATTTAGAACTGGAAGTGATCTATTTCTTATTTGCCTAGCTGATTGTGAACCGTGCGATCGTGAAAATAAACATAGAAAATAGTATTTGAAAGAACACAAAAGTGAAGGTGGGGGTGGTGTGGGAGAAAGAAAAAAATATTGCAGAGTGTGTATATATGTGTGTGGAGTGTCTGAATGGAACAAAACATTCATATGTTCATACGTGGTTCAATAGATAAGTATTGGCCGATTTATTTTTAGAGAGAAAGTACGACGCGTAAAGGTGGGGGGGGGGGGGGCAGCACTATCTGAATGGTGCCTAAAGAAATGATTAACAACCAGGTTTATATGACAGTGTGACACGAGAGATAAGTCGAACATATATGCCATGGGCGTCTCGGTGGAAGAGGTTTGGAGAGGGGTAAATAGGGTTAAGGGGAAATCTAGAGCCCAAATTATATATGTCATGACGAAACTGAAAACATGTCTTAATTTGTATTTGTTTATTGTTGTCAGTTGTGGTTTTGTGGTGGATTTAGTGGGAGGGGGGGGGTGTGCAAGTTGTGTCAAATGGTATCGAAAATTGTTTGGAATATACCTTTGGGATAAAGATGATAGGAACTTAGTTAAGGGCCTAACCTAGCCAATCAATCAGTTATATGAATAAAAAAACATAGAAATTAGAGCATGTGGAAAAGGAAATCTGACTATATTGCGGTGCCTGGTTTTCTTTATTCCATACTTAGTAATTCTAAAACCGCCTACCCCCGTCCTGTATACGCCAGTGTTGTTGACTTGTGTATAATATTCCATACAGAAGCCGTGGCCGTTTTCTGCCTTACTCTTCCTTTCGAGCTATCGGTTTTGCAGAGATTTAAGTGGCAGAATATAAATGTATTGATCCTGGATATCTTTTAGTATAAATATCAGTCAATATTCATACCCGTGACTGGTGTGTTAAAAAAAAAAAGAAAGAAAGATGCGTAGACCTGTAAACACATGTGTTGATACTTCTAAAATTTCTTTGATTTCTCTTTACAGTTTGTGGACATTTAAGTTTTATTGTTCTTGAGTTTTCTTTCTCTTTAAGAAAAAAAATTGAATTTGTGCTTCCGACTTCGTCATTGTGTACAAACAACTTTACAGCCTTATCACGTATTTCTGCTCAAATATAATATGTTATATACGTCAGGGAATCAGTGAAAGTGGTTACAATCATAATGATGGACTGACGCTGTTTAGTCGTAAGTTCGAAAATCATGTGTTTTTTTTTCCCTCTATTATTTGAGTACATAATTTTATTTTAACAAATCACTGAATCTTTCATATACGTCTTGTCGTTCTTATTGACTCTTAACCGAATTCCCCCCCCACTCCACATCGCAGAAAACAATTGAGTATAATAAAGGTCTTTAAATGTATGAAATCGTGAGCTGCCAGTGTGAAGAAAAGATCATCCTTTTCTAAAAAGTGCTTGGCGATTTGTTTCAATCTTTGCTGTTCAGTACTCAATCGCCGCTTATGAGCTTATGTCAGGCTGGCGTTGATTGCAACGAGTAATGAATAGTAAGGACTTGAAGAGACACATGACGTTAAACTGGTGTTCTCTAGCCATGATGTCCTCAGTCGGTTTATGGCTGTGTAAAAAATGCACTTTATTTTACAACTTGGTCTAGTGCTTAACTTAACCTAAAATGGTTAAATTATAGCCGCGAACTCAATAAATTAGCCTTAACCTAGACCAGTGGTTCCTAATCTGGGTTCGATCGAACCCCAGGGGCTCGGTGAGTCAGTCTCAGGGGTTCGGCGGAGGTCCAAAAACAATCAGAAAAAAAATAACATAATTCATTTTTCGTATTAAGAAGGGTTCGGTGAATGCGCATATGAAACTGATGGGGTTCGGTACCTCCAATAAGGTTAAGAACCACTGACCTAGACCAAATGTATTATATTTCATATCAAACGTGAAAAAAACATAAATTCATAATTACATTAAGCGTAAATATGAAATTATAGAAGTACCCAACATTGTGTAAAAAACAACATCATGGAGCCAAATGGGCTGTTTCACGGGTGAGACTACAAACATAATTTCACTCTTTTCCCTTACCTCGTCCAAAGACACAGCTACGAGTAGAGCCGCCCCTGTTGGCTCAGATTGTGGCCCCACCCCCTAAATCCAAAAATTCCGCCCCTCCATTTATAGAAAAAAAACACCCGGGGTGCGTTCTTTCCCTCGACCCCCACCCCACCCTTCCTGTGCTAATGCCCACACAGGAAATGTTGATCGGGTTGTCTAACGACGCGGGGATATATCGATGGAGTGTATTGATTTCTTGGGCCACATTTCCCTTTGTTGTGGATTCAGTGATGGAGTAACGATAACAGTGGCTGTAAATTGAATCGGTGCCTCTGGGGGAAAATGAAAGATGAACGGCCTGGGCGAACAATGGAGCGTGTCTGGCTGGGTAAACTTTTGATATTGCCAAACTGGAAGAACCTTGGTCTTCTTAATTAAAGTTAAAGGAATGATGACATTAATAGGCTGTAGCATGCTACTTAAAGAAAAAAAAATTAACTTCAAAGAAATTCACACAATAGTTAACTTCATCGATCTTTAAATTTTTTAAAACTAATAATCTATATTAGATTCATAATAAACAAAACTTACATCATCATACCAGATTTTTTGTACTTATATTTATGCATGCTTCTTATATACTCCTTACAATTAATTATCTCAACCAAAAATAGCTTTGATTATGTCAAATTAATGCCCATAAAATACACTGTGTCTGTAAAAAAAAAGGGAACGCTTTTGAAGAAAAAAAAAACATGTAAATTTTCATAAATTTTAGAGAATCCAGCTCATTTTAGTCCTGACCTATTTACCAAAAAATAACGAACGGTCCTTGATAAAATGTATCATCATGTTAAAATTAAAATGAGTTTTGGACTGTTTTTAAATTGATAGATATTTACTTTTAGTTTTCATCCTAATATAAATGGTTTCCTTTTTTTTTCCGGACACAGTATATATACAACCAGTGGCGTAGTTAGGATTGGTGTCACCTGGTGCGGTAAACTCATTGTGTAATCCATCCCCCCCCCCCCCAACCTCCCGACTTCCACGATGTATTTATTCTTGTTAAAATAAGTACTCAGTATAACAATGTCAAGAACAAAATTTTTTTTTTCCGGACACAGTATATATACAACCAGTGGCGTAGTTAGGATTGGTGCCACCTGGTGCGGTAAACTCATTGTGTAATCCATCCCCCCCCCCCCAACCTCCCGACTTCCACGATGTATTTATTCTTGTTAAAATAAGTACTCAGTATAACAATGTCAAGAACAAAAACAATGTAATTGAAGGTCAAGAGGTAAATTTATTTAAGAATTGTAGCAACGTTAATTTAAAATTATTTTTAACATTAAATTAACTTTCTTACAAATTTTCATTTACTGGTCTTCAGAGCTGCAAACAAGTTAATCACTTGATCAAAATCAATATCCTTCACCGTGTCACTCTCAATTGAAAGTAATTCCAGATCAGAAAGCCTTGACTGTTCTATGATGGATCGTAAATAGTTCTTGATAAATCTTGTGAACGGAGCTTTTCAAAACTAAGATTTATTAAATTGTTTCCTACGATCTGTAGCTTCATGTGAACGGAGCTTTTCAAAATTATGGAGCTACAGATCGTAGGAAACTATTGAAGGCTTAGCGAGAGTATTGTAAAATATTCTAGTATGTCCCATTCAGCTATTCACCTAATAATAGGGTCACTTCATTTCTGACGCATCAACTTGAACTTTTAATAAAGCACGCATTTGGATTGGTTACATGTGTGGAAAATGTACGCGTGATCCGTTATCCTTTTATGAAATTTGGTTAGACCAAGCAGTCAGTGCCGTCTTAAGACATGGGCCCAGTGGGCACTGGTACAAGGGCCCCACTTTTCTAGGAGACTCACTCTTATAGAGGCATCATGTTGCACGTATTGTTAATGAATATTGAAAGATTTTGGCAATTTAATTTTACCGTATTTAAAATTTAGTGGACAGCACGTTAACCCACGATCATATCGGCCATTCCAAAATTAATATTATAAATGCGAAACACAAGTTGGATACTTTTTAAACTTTTACAGGGGAATGACTCTCGTCAACAAGTTTTAATTCTCCCAGATATGAATCGAAAAATAATTAAGTAAGAATATTTGTTTACATTAAAATAATCATGTTAGACAAAGATGTTGACCCCGGGCTGTAATACGCCACTGCTCAGTAGTGAAATTAGTGGAGCTAAGTCTATTATTGCACTATGCCATGTACTTCTGAATTTAATTAGCAATCTATAAGGAATTTGTAGGTCACAATCACAAATGAATAATTCTTTTTAAAAGTAAATTTATTTTTTAAAAACAACAAATAGCTATATATTTTCTAAACAGAAAAATATTTGGCTGATTTGGAGAGATAGCACCCTGACGTCATTTGCGTGTCTTGTCCCTGGATCCGATAGGCTCGGATAGGGTCAAAACCCTGGATCCGATAGGCTCGGATAGGGTCAAAACCCTAGTTCAGATAGGATTAGGGTCAAAACCCAGATTATGGATAAGTTTACGGTTCAGGTTAGTTTTAGGGATATATTTAGGGTTCAGGTTAGGTTTAGGGACACATTTAGAACAATTAAGTTTGCGGGTCACAGCAATCAAAATGGCGGCCGCGGTGCTATCTCTCCAAATTTACAAAGTATTTTGTTTTCTGTGTCTGAAAAACATATTTAGATGATAAATTATAGAATCCAACAGTGGTACCGTATGTCTGAGCTGAAGGCAGAAATATATATGCATATATGTAGACATCATTGTTACTCACTGTTTAAAGGGGAAAGTCATTTTTTTAAAATAATTACCTTTATCTTTTGAAGGGATCGCCCCTATTACAATATAAATATTTGTGACAAATGAATATTTTTCTAGGTGTATAACCCTTTAAGCGGGAATAAAAAAGTAGTTTTATGATTGGAGCACAGAAGAGAAAAAGAGTTGCAGAGGATATAAGGAAAACGGGTAAACTTGCAAAATTAACATATTGGTTAAATTCAATCGAAATATCAGACACTAGTACTGCTCTTCAAAATAAAGTAGCGTCACCTACATCCACTATTGTATCCAGCCATCGAGTTCCAGATATACCATTACCTCTTTTACCTGCTGGGGGCATTGTAAAAGATGAAACATATAAAGCTGTGCAGTCGGAAAACCTGTGTGTCATTCACGACACAGATCCAGGGCTATGGAAAATTAATAAAAGTTGCCCATAGTTGAGAACTGGAATCGCAGTGGGCCAGCATTGTGCCAGAGAATCATGACTGCAATCTTTCAAACTCAGTCAGAGTGAACCCTGAAGCTGGAAAAAGAAAGAACCAAGACAAGGTATTTTATCAAGGAACATGCCCCGCCACCGTATCCAACACGATCAGATCAATACATCTGACATAGCCACAACGATCGTTTCGATTCAGCCTTAACAATCCACTTTGATTTCATTATATTTTTATTCATATAAAAGTCAAAGTAAAATAAGTGTGTTTTGATTTTTCAAGCCATTCAATCACTCGATTCTAACATAAAATTCAATATGGCTTAAAGAACCAGCTGAAAACTGGGTGCATATTCGATCTTTTGATTTCAATTGTTTTCTGTCTTTATTTGAATCGTTGCCATAAACAAAAAGCCTGTTGTTATTCGATGGCAGATGGTGTAAGCTTCATTAAGATGTAAGCTTCATAAAGATGAAAGATTCATTAACCCACCACCTAGCCTAAATAACCCGAAACTTTAAACCATAAAGAAAGAGAGAAAAAAAGATGGAGTGAATGTGAAGTCAATGGAGCCTTTATCGAAAATAAACTGCCCTATGAACGCGCCGTGTCAAAGCTTGCATGCCAGACAAGAAATCAATTACCAGAAGAACATAGAAAAGCCGATGGTGGACCCACTCCCCTCCATCCACGTCCACATTTTCACTGTTATTGAAACACGTTATCATGTAAGCTGAGCATTCGATTTTTTAATTTTTTACTTTTTTTTTTATTGAATTTTTTTTTTTCTTTTTTTTTTTTTCTCTGCGCCTTTAAAAAATAAAAATAAAAACGTTTTTGCTTGAAAAATTTTTTTTTCCTTTTTTTTTTTTTTTCACTGTTATTGAAACACGTTATCATGTAAAATGAGCATTCGATTTTTTAATTTTTTACTTTTTTTTTTATTGAATTTTTTTTTTTCTTTTTTTTTTTTTACACTGCGCCTTTAAAAGATAAAAATAAAAACGTGTTTGCTTGAAGAATTTTTTTTCCCTATTAGTTTTACCAGGAAGTATTGACCTGCGGTCAGATAAACAGAGAACGGCAGCACGCGGGATGATAGCAGTGAAGTGTGGATTGCTGTATAGTTCTATATTCTTCCTGTGTATGAAGTTGTCGGTTAGTGCTTGGGTATTGATTCCAAAGCTTTCTTTTGAAACACAGCTGTATGCCTAATCGTTGTCTGTGCTGTACGGTAAAGAAAAATCAAAAATTAAATCGTAGATGAATGTTAATTCGCTAACAAATTGACGGGGCTTGTCTATTTTATCACACACTCAATATTACAGTATTACAGTTTTTATTTATTTTTATAACATTATGTCCAATTTTGATTTTTTTTAAAAATGGTTTATCTCATGTGTTCAATCCAGGGGTCCTCAAACTTTTTAGTCGGGGACGTTTTATTGGCCATTTGAAACTTGTGGGCCAGTTTATTGTCCATCGGACACAGTTGGGGGCCAAACTATAGTTTGAAAATAATAATATGAACGAATTCCTATGCACACAGCACATGTATTTTAAGTAGTGGAAAACAACACACTATTCAAATGAATAGCATTTTAAACAACATTATGTTACGGTATTACTATTTCAATGGTAATTATGGGCTTTTATTCGGCTTAACAGGTGGTAAATATTTATTTCCATATTCCTCACTACTACCCGGGCACTCGTACTGCGGCCAGGAGGGCCGGGTGAAGGACCCCTGGCTGGCTGGATTAGGCCCGCAGGCCGTAGTTTGAAGACCTCTGGTTTAATCATTACGCATATTTCAGGCCGTAGATTGATGTGCCTTACGTGACTATTAAAAGAGAAGAAGAAATGACCAAGTCCACCAAGCCGCGCTGAAAGATTTCGTGACGGTAAAGATGTATTTGGTTCTGTGCTTAACCTGACAAAAGTGTAGTTGCAGATGTTGGTTCCTAACACTGTGAAAAGGACCAAAAAACAACAATACTTTGAAATATTAATAACTTGAGGTCACGATCATGCAAAAACGTCACCAGGCTCTTCTCATTGCAAACCATGAGTTTTTGGTTAGTGAGATACCTATGGACGCCACCTTGGAGGCGATTCGTGAAAAGAGAATTCTTACTTGGCATGATTTTGAACAATTGAAAACTCTCAGACATCAAGGCCGGAAAGCACTCGCCAGGTAAGATTGTTTAAAATGCCAAACTTGTTTATTATTTTTAGACAAAAATATTAGCAAAATTATTTTTAAAAATATTTGAGCTTTACACATAGGCCTAAATCTTTTTAAATTACAACGCAGCCAATTTAGTAAATAAGAAACTGCCTAAAGTGTTCCCATTTTCACAAATAAAGTTTGGATCTATATGGCGCACTTTCTCTCTCCCTCTCTCTCTCTCTCCCTCTCTTTCGATCTCTTTCTCTCTATCTTTCTCCCCCTCGATCTTTCTCCCCCTCGATCTCTCTCCCCCTCTCCCTCCATCCCTCTCTTTATCTCCCTCTCTCTTTATCTCCCTTTCTCTCTCTCTCTCTTTCTCTCCCTCGACCCCTCTCTCTGTCTATTCCTAGATCTCTCTCTCTCTCTCACACACACAAACTCTTCCTCTCTCTACTTATATGTGGTTGAATTTATAGAAGTAGAAGGGTGGAAAGAAACATTCAAATAAAAATGGCTGAAAAATTGAGACTAGATCATGGAATTTTCAGGAATCAATACTAGATGTGGCCTCTGAAACCGACCCTCACCCCCCCCCCCCCCCCCCCCCCCACCAAACAGGCAGAGAAGACTTGCAAATTAAATCTAAAGACCTATCCCAAAACCAACGGCGTATATCGAAACAGACAAAATCGAAAAGATATAACAAGAAAAGTCCAGACCCATCACAGACAAATCAGTGTTACCCCACCTATCAGCAATCTTCACAGTTTACCCCAGTAAACAAAGTAATGTTGCTATTTTCTCAGACTGCAAATCAATACTTCAGGAAGCTGGGCATCAAGATCTCACAACAACAAGAGCAACAGTAGAAATCACTACTTCTGAGAGGGAATACTTTCCTCGAGACCTATGCAGTCACTCTAACCTTACAATGGAAAAGGACACCACAATTTACCAGGAAATGATAGAGCAGACAAACTAGCAAAACACGGGAGCACACCCAATGAACAGCTAAACCAAACTACATCATTCGACATTGCAAATCAGATCACCATAGCTAACAAACAAGAAGAGTGGTTAAATGGTTGGGCTGTGGGCTCAACAATAAGATGTGGTTTCACACAAATTCCCAGCCCAGCCCTTAAAGGTCCAATAAATTGCATCCAAAGACATCAACAGGTCATAATCTTTCACCTGCTCACACAACACATACAACTAAATTCCAGCATACAACCACATAAAACACAAAAGTGCCTCCCCTCCTTGTTTATGTGTAAACATCCAAAATGACATAGCAACACATCTCTTCCACTGCCTGGCATTTCCGGACTTACGCCTTAATCTACCTTCCAAAAAGCACCAAAACTACACCAAAATCCTATCTACACAAAAGAACACCCACGGAGAGTGTACATTCTTCACCATTGCGGCATGCCGAAGGGCACATACCAAAATGGCCACTGGATCAAAATGTTGATAATGATCTCAAATGACATTTTCAACCCCCAAAAAATAAATAAATAAATAATGATATATATATACTTTGTCTCTTCAAAATGAAACCTCGACAATTCTCCTTTTTTTTTTCCTTTTCAAACGTCCTTCTACTTAACTTGGCACGAGTGACCTGTTCACAGATTTCACAGAACAAATCCTTGCGACATCCATCGATCTCGTTTAGCGATGCATTTTAACATATTAAAATTAAAACCCATTATTACATTTACGTACAAAATGTACATTGTAAATGTGTGATCGCAGTGACGCTTGTAACAGGAAATAATTCAGATGGGAAAATCTAGGCAGTTCGCGAAACCAATTACTTCTAGGCCTATGTCTTTTGGATTTTTCTTCGAGGAGAAGAAATCGTCCTTTAATTTATGCATTGAAACGGCATGATTTCTCAAGATGAACCAACAATCCCAATTCAATTTCCAGTTCTAAAATTGCAGGTACTTTTTGGCTGTGCTTCCCCAGAGGGGACCTAAGGCCTTCCATGCGTTGCTGGAGTCGCTGCAAGAGGCAAACGCCCAACACCTTGTTGATTTACTCTTACAGCAAGCAGGGGCAATGAACCTGGATGACTTGTTTAAGGTAGAGTTGTAGATCCTGTGATTTGATCTATTCGTGCTACTGCTTGTCAATTCAGACACGTAATAATGGACATTTTAAACACAATATAAAAGGATGTGCTTATTTCGTGATGATTTGAAACGCTCGTCTCGGGGATAATATGGAACATTGTATGTGCAACACCTTAGACACGGTCATGGGCAGATCTAAGAAGTTTCACTAAACCCAGTTTAATTTAAAGTGGGTTAAGGGGTAAATCAAAAGATGACAATGAGGGTGGTATTATAATAATCTATAGGTAGCTTATATGAGTAAGTTCTGTAGTGTATACCTTCAGTTTATAATCCTAAAAAAAGAATTATCCCTGGCCTTGAGGATTTCGTCCTGCAAAGTCCACACCATCGTCACATTGAGACGGACGGATGCCAGCAGCAAAAAAATAATATATATATATATATATATATCTTGTAAAAAAATAGTCAACACTAGAGCGTTTATTATTATAACTGTGCAGTTCAAAAAGCAATTTAACTTTCTGCTCTCCTAACTCTTTCAGACACCCGAGCCACCACGCTCACCCTCGGACACCCCACTGCCCCCAGGACCCGATCCTAATGAGTACGCCGTCCGTCTGATGCGAAACGCTAAGTACATCCGGGAATTCGTTGACCCGGCAGACATCAGCCCCGTACTGACACAGAACAAGGTCATCACGCCCAGGGAGGCAGACATGGTTCTACATATACATGGACGCAATAAGAAATGGGACGTAAGTGGTCATTATTTCTTTTTACCGAGTAGAAAAATCCCCCATGACGGATAACATTTTTAATACCTTTTTTTTTTTAGTGGTGGGGGTTGGGGGGGGGGGGATGGGAGTGTGTTACTATACCCCTTTGAGTAGTACTGCTTTAAGGCATCAAGTGTTGATTACAGTAGTTATTTTAACCAGTCCAAATTGATAAAGAAATATTGGATTGATCGTGATGTGCTGTTCTTCAACACCAAATCATATCAGTACGGTACATTAGACCTTAAGCGCACTCCACAAACACGATATATTGAAAGGGCGCTGAGTAAATGTTTGGCCACCCTACCAGTATAATCCAAATTTAACCGACCTAGTCATCCATAAACTATTTCCAACTATACTTCCCCAGCTCCTTCTGGCGGCATTGTTGCAAAGGGGCGAGCGAGCCTATCAGGCCTTCATGGCCGCGCTGTTACAAAAGGGCTACTCCGCCGTCTTCCACACCATCCAAGAAACCACCACGGAACCCTCTGGGTCAGACGAGGACTCCGACCATTACGGCGACAGCAACGACGACATCCTGGAATCCGACGAAGAGGTCAAAGCGGAAACATCAACGTCTTGGAAACGGAACAGCGTGGCCGACAACCTGCTGAAAGACGCGAATTCGAGGCAGAACTGGAGCAGGGCGGACGAGACGCTGCTGGCCAGGTCGGGTGACTTGCAGGCCGCGGACCCCGGTTTTAACCTGATGAGCAACACGTCGCGGTGGGAGGATACTGAGAACTATGTCAGCCAGGCCGGCAGTGATTGGGACGCAACTAACGAAAGGACTAACGGCAAACACGAGGCGCAGAGAAGGGGATCGAGGAGGAAAAGTAACGGAGGCAATTTAAATTCAGTACAAGAGGAGTCTTAATCCAGCTGTATTATATGAATATCATGGCCGTGACAATAGACCAACAGTGTTCACAGTTGTGGGATACCCATATTGATATCTACATGACGGCTATGTTGAAATCTGTATATGTGGGCAACTATAAAACCGGATCTTTGGTAAGGATTAGATTTAGATGACGACCAGAAGGCTTACAGTATATTTAAAATGCAACCCCCCCCCCCCTAACCCACAGTCCAAAGCGACGGAGATTAACTCAGTTTACCTTTGCCGTAACCGCTCCTAATGTCTCAAGCCTACATCTCCTGATGTTCCTACATTTCCTGTCTCTCAAGCCTACACTTCCTGATGTTCCTACATTTCCTGCTGTCTCTCAAGCCTGCACTTTCTGTTGTTCCTACATTTCCTGCTGTCTCTCAAGCCTACATTTCCTGTTGTTCCTACATTTCCTGCTGTCTCTCAAGCCTACATCTCCTGATGTTCCTACATTTCCTGCTGTCTCTCAAGCCTATATTTCTGTTGTTCCTACATTTCCTGCTGTCTCAAGACTACACTTTCTGTTGTTCCTACATTTCCTGCTGTCTCAAGACTACACTTCCTGTTGTTCCTACATTTCCTGCTGTCTCTCAAGTCTACACTTCCTGTTGTTCCTACATTTCCTGCTGTCTCTCAAGCCTGCACTTTCTGTTGTTCCTACATTTCCTGCTGTCTCTCAAGACTACACTTTCTGTTGTTCCTACATTTCCTGCTGTCTCTCAAGACTACACTTTCTGTTGTTCCTACACTTGCTGCTGTTCCTACAATTCCTTTTGTCTCTCTCCCCATCTCTAACCATTGAATCCCTGCCATTTTGTTGATTACATTGTATTGGTTGTCAAAACTAACAAAATAAAGAAAAGCATAACTTGAAATGAAACCTGAATTAACAAGTTTTTTGTTGTAATTTTAAATAAATGAAAAAGTCTCTAAATTGGTTTATTAATTGTATTTATTAATAAGTTGTTTTTTGTACAAAAACAAGATAATATGATTCACAGACACACTTTATTAAATATGTGAAGTTATATTTTTTTAAAAATAAATGAAGAGTAAAAAAAAATCACACATAGGCCCACGTGTAAATCTTGTTTAAAATCAGAGAAGATATTCTATAAAGTATGAAACATAAATAAAACATTCCCTTGGGATACAAATGTTCTTTTTTATACTAGCTTTAGCCCGCCAATAGAGTGGCGGTCGCAATGCGTGAACTTCCCATCTACTCAAGTTACTGGAAAAACATGCATTCAAGTAACTCACTTTATAAGATTCTCAATTAGTGCTCCCATCCCACTCCTTCCGCTTTTACACTCCAACGATTTCCCTTAAGAAAAAAAAGAAAATCTTAAGCACCAAATGCAATTGCGGTATTTTTAAGACTCACTTTTAGCGCAGTTATTGGGAATTTTATTTAGTGAAAGCGTTAGTGACATTAGTAATTGTCAAACTGTTACATAGAGAACAAGGTATTTTGATGTCATAAGAGTTATTCTTTTAAACAATATATTTTTAAAAAATGTGATCCAGCAGATTGAGATGACCAAGCAACCAACCTTACATCTCCATATAAACTACATCAACTGATGGTGGTTTACTAGCATAAACCCTAAAGTGCAGTGATAATATCAACCTGTGTTAAAACCGAGCCAACCGGCCATGGCTACCTAGATATTCCCTTCAACCCTGTGATATTTTCAACATGAATTTAGAGACAAAAATAACTTAATGACCAAGTAAAGCTATTTTGACAAAGTCTAAGGGGTGGGCACATGATGTTTACACACACACAAAACAACTTGAAATTCAATCATTTGTTAAGAGTCTGCAACTTTAAAAAAAAGTATTATTAGTTCTTAGTTACTAGAGATAAAATATATGAACCAGTACCATAGTTAAATCTTTTGCTGTAGCGCCCATGGTTTTTATTTATGGGTTGAATTAAAATTAAAGAATACATAAATTAAAATTACTATCAATAAATGAAATCTGGCATGTCATGAAGCATACACAAATGAATTGCTTGTGTCTTTTGGTATGAGCAACACTTTGTTGAATGAACTAGTGGAAATAAAAAAACATTCATACTGGTGTTTAAGATTGCAATGAATCATTGCCAATTTGTCGCAGTAAAAACTGTGTTTACTCATGTAACTTTGCACTTGGAGCTCAACCAGAGTTCATTTTATAATATAGTGTATCATGAATTGTGGGAAGAGCCCAGGTACTTCACAGAGATATAAAGATTACTCTGTTCTGCCCCCAAACAATTATGTGCAGATATGCACTTCACACATTTCAATGCTCATATAATGATATAGAAAATAAGTGATCATTCAGATATGTCAACCAGGACAATTGAGATGAATTGAACTACCCGGTATGAAACTGAGAGTAATAATCAAAAGTATATTGGCTGCTCTTGAAAAAACAAAAACCCTTATTTACAATGTGATTGTTGGTATTATAAGGTGCAGTGACCACTTTTTTTCCAAAATCAAAATCAGGACATTTAAAACAATTTTCTAAATTTAAAACCAGGACATTTAAAATCATTTTGTGACTTTGGTGTCCAAATAAAACAATTATTTGTTACTACGCTGATATCTCTTGTCAGTGAGGAGATCTCTTCTGTCAGGTCAGTAAGGAGATCTCTTCTGTCAGTGAGGAGATCTCTTCTGTCAGTGAGGAGATCTCTTCTGTCAGGTCAGTGAGGAGATCTCTTCTGTCAGGTCAGTAAGGAGATCTCTTCTGTCAGTGAGGAGATCTCTTCTGTCAGTGAGGTGATCTCTTCTGTCAGGTCAGTGAGGTGATCTCTTCTGTCATTTCTTTCATGTCAGTGAGGATATCTCTTCTGTCAGGTCAGTTAGGAGATCTTTTCTGTCAGTGAGGAGATCTCTTCTGTCAGTGAGGAGATCTCTTCTGTCATGTCAGTGAGGAGATCTCTTCTGTCAGATCAGTGAGGAGATCTCTTCTGTCAGTGAGGAGATCTCTTCTGTCAGGTCAGTGAGGAGATCTCTTCTGTCAGGTCAGTGAGGAGATCTCTTCTGTCAGGTCAGTGAGGAGATCTCTTCTGTCAGGTCAGTGAGGAGATCACTTCTGTCAGTGAGGAGATCTCTTCTGTCAGGTCAGTAAGGAGATCTCTTCTGTCAGTGAGGAGATCTCTTCTGTCATCTTTTTAACAAATTTAAAATGTAAATATTACATTTTTTTGGAAGGATTAACGACTGGTTTCAGCTAAAAAACATATGAAAGGTCACCTTTTAAATCCATCGAAACAAAAATATAGCCCTTATAAATAGCTTTCTTAGCGATGAGCAAACAAACTGAAACAATTTTACAGAATAGAAATAGTAAGAACATTTCTTTGAAACCTTAAATTCAAGGCATAAAAATCATCAAAATTTATAAAAGTAAATTAATAGTATTTGGAAGCATGAAAGAGTTTCTGTCTTTAAAGTAAGTAAAAATAAAAAAAAGAACCTTCTCATGTCTTATGGCCACTTATGTCAATGTAGTATGACTGCTTATGTTTCTGTCGTAGGAGTAGGGATGTCAATGTAGAAAAACTACTCATGTCAAGGTAACATAAGAGCAACCACTCAGGTCAGTGTAGCGTGACTACTCATGTCAATGTAGTTCAAGTACTCATATAGTAAATGTATTACAACTACTCAAGAACTCAATGTCATACAGTTACACAAAAGTCAGTTATATAAAATTTTTAAATAACTGAATTATTAAAAAATATCACCCAAAGCTCATTTTGTATAAAAAGATGTGACAATCTGTTAACATTTCTCCAAGTAATTTACATAAAGATGGTTGCATATATCTTCTAATGTAATGTAACGGTACTGCACTAATTTTAATGAAACTGCAGTAGCATTACTTTACTTTGCATCTTTCAAATGTATAAATACCAGACATTTTTATAAATGCTATTTGAGAAGAGATTAAAAAATTATTGATTAAAGTGAAATAGTTAATAAATAAATCAATCATCATGATCTTTGGTAATTTGATCACAGAATTAAGCTAGCATCTACCTAGGTCTAGTCAACTCAAGATAAGAGCAATTAAAAAAAAAAAGTCCAGTTCTTTAATTATTTTAAAAAAAGTTTTGTGGAGAAAATAGATAATTTTTGGCTTCTACTTCTATGTAGGCCTACATAATTAATGAAGTCAACATAGAATAATCTATTGTAAAATTGGATTAAAAATTATACAAAAATTTGTTTATAAGAATTTATCAAGAGGCATTTAAGCATACAGTAAAAAATGATTTCCCAAATGCTAGAAATGATTTAAGCTGCTCTCAGCAGGGTTTTAATTACTTTTGATGCTGGGTGGCCGAGCGGTCGATCCCAAGGCAGTGGACTAGAGTTTCATCCCCAGAAAAAGAATGCCTAGACAGGAAAAAACATTGCCAGCACCCAGTGTGGATGGGGCTCGTTAACCTTGGATTGCAACTCATCTAAGAGAAGGCCAACTCTAAAATCAAACCCGGGGATGGTGGTATGAAGTTAACACAATGAAAATTCCAACTCCTGAGACATAAAAAGCATCGAGTCCAGTATCCTGCTCTATCAAAGAGTGAGGCCGATGAATGAACAACTCTCCCTCATTTTAAACAAACTTCAAGTCAAGGCAGCCACTCAAGTCCAAAATTGCGTTTGTCATCTTAGCGTGTGAAGGGCGAACAACAATTACTTTTGACAACTGCTTATAAATTAATAAAAACAGAAAATCTTTCAATAATTAATAAATTGCCAATGAGTTGGAGGTTCCTCTATTTGAGAATACAATTTGATAAACCTAAATGTAAATGAAGTTCATTTTTAACTAAAGATTTTTTAAAAAGTTTTGGTACCTTTTCACAGCAGGAGACAAAGAGGAAAGAAAAATCTTCCAGAAAATTTCGGGAGGTCTTAACCATTGATTAAATAAATAAGCAAGTTTCAAAATATAACTTTCACAGGTGAACTGAGTATTATTTCAATCAAAGGAGAGTCATCATGTATCGAACACCACAAGATGTATCAAACACCACAAGATGTTTTGGTTGAATAACTTAATGTATAATATAAACTTTCAAAATATGTGTATGATCTCTTTTTACACACACAATCTAAATTCTTTATTAATGGTACGAGCTTAAGTATAGATTATCAAAGATTATGAAATTTTTTTGATTATGTGACAGCAGAGAATTTATGGTACAAAAATATTTTCATCAACAAATACAAATTTTAGGTAACTAACTCTCTTGGGACAAACACCCCTAACCCCCTCCCCCCCAAAACCAATATCTATAAAAATGTTGCATGTAGATACAGAAGATGGGCTGTTGGCCAGCCAACCCATATAGTGGGACAAACACCCCTAACCCCCCCCCCCCCAAAACCAATATCTATAAAAATGTTGCATGTAGATTCAGAAGATGGGCTGTTGGCCAGCCAACCCATATAGTTGATAGTGTTGAAATCCCAGAAGTGGTAAACTATCAATAGTTTTAGAACGAACAGCATGTGATAAAAAATTCAATTTAGAGCTGCCATTTACTCTGTGATCAAATTAGATATGGTAAATAGCCAAGGTTTAATTGCAGCGTTATTTTGGGGTCCCCTGGGAGAAAGGGTTTATTTTCATTATTTCAATGTTCTACCTTTCCTCTATTTTAGTGCATCTGGTGATTTCTTCGGAACCAAATATGTAAATTATTCATGCATAATTTAATGAAACCAAAATATTTTTCTTTTTGATTTTTTGATATATAAATATTTTAAAAATATTTATTTAATTTTTCCCAGAGGAGTAGTGGGTTTTTTTTTTACATGGGGGATATTATTGGATGGGGGTGGGGTACTGGATTTACTGCCCCTGGAGTTATTGCCTGGCTACACAAGAAATGTACATTCAAAACCTAACAAAATACTCATGGCATAAAGAAAGACATTTAATGACATAAAAATATTAGCTTGGTCCATGATAACATCAATTCATATCAAATGTGCACACTTTCATCTTTTCTCTGATGAAATCATTTGGACAGAGTGATTGCCTTATATTAAAAGCAGGTGGTAATCATCAACCCATATTTGTTGCAATGCATAGATAGAAGATACTTAGATCATTGCTTACTTACAAAAGCATTCATTACAAAAAAAACCCTCACCCTTCGGTCCCATTTAATGGAAATGTCTAGCAGCATTTATAAATAATGTGGAATACACTGAATACTTCTGTCGGAGTTAAAAAATGGAAAACAAACGTGTCCTTCAAAATAATTGAGATGAGATTTCAAACCTTTTAGTGTTGAACATTCTTTTAAACTTGAATAATGATCTTTTCTAAAGTAACTATTTTTTTTTAATGAAAGAAAATACATGAGCTATCACAAATTAGAGATACCAGCGCTTTACCTGTGGCACTACATTTTACAAATTTGCTGCCAGTCATTTTTTTTTTCAGAAGTATTCTTTAAAAACATTATTAGCATTTATCTTGCAGCTTAAAAAATCTAAAAATAATGGTGATCAAATGTTAAAATTTCAAAAATGTTTTATGTAAGGATGTACCACTTAATCACATTATGCTTACATTTACAGATGCCACAACTCCTGTGTCAACAGCAATTTTTTTTCCTTTCATTTTTACTTTTGTCTAGAGAGTGCTTGGATGCAGATAACTGTGACTTGACCAGATCAACTCTTCCTGTGTCCTCTGTTGGTGTCTGTGGTCTCTCACTCTCAGCTCTCAAAATATCTCTACAGATGTCTGTGAATGGCTGTTATAATAAAAGCGAGCTGACTTAACTTTATTACTTTAATTAGTTTTTATGTACCGCCCAATTTTTGTGAGACGAATGATACCTGTATATCAACATCCTGTTTCCAGGGATGAGAAGAAGACTTCCCATAGAAAAGGCCAGCATACAGGCACAGCCATGAATACCACTCACATTCGTATTAAGATACGGTTAAAGGACCATTTCCAGAACAGATGATTTTGCCAGTGGGCAGACAGGTTGTGAGGCACGGGGTGCAAAATATAACATGCCCAGACCAAACAATGGTGATCAATGGGTGACTATTATGCAAATGAACCATTGCCCACTTCAATCCTACTGGCTAGACAGCAACAGGAGCCCAAATTGATGGCATAGTTCCATAACGACAAAAACAGTTGAAAATTGGCTGTCCACTTGCCAAACTTGTGGAAGAGGCTGGAGTGATGAGTTTTCCTACATTACAGACATGTTGTAGAGCAGCCCAACAAATGTCAAGACACTAAATGAGTCTATGAAGAGTGACTAAGCTCTCCTGCAATTATGGATTATTGTGGTACGAACAATTTTCTTTCAAGTATATCTAGATATTTATCCTGAATCTTCACATAATTATTTGAAATAAGTAAAATTAATGTGGCAAAAAAATAATTTGTCTTGGTTTATCGGTTTAAAAAATTGTAATAAGGATGGTTATCACATTTTTAACTATAACAAAAATCAAAATTTTATGTTTTCTATACAAAAAAATACTACATTTAAAAAAAAAGCTATTTTTCTTTCATCTGTATCAGAATATCTATTTAAAAAAACCATGTTCAAAAGTTGTAGTGCTTGAGTTATCCCAAACTGTGTGCCTCTAAAAAGTAGCAAAACCAAATAGTTTCAAAAATACTTATACTAACCTGTTCTAAACTTGCTAGATCTTTGGCACTGGTTTCATAAAATCTTAAATTATTTTCTTCAGCAAACTGAAATTTAAGTAAATTAGAATACATAAAATATTTATTGAATTAAATAAGATGACGAGTTGAAAGAATATAATTGAGATCCTAAATTTACAAAAATAATACCTGAATTATAATAAATTCAAAGACAAATTGGGGAACCAACAATGATGAACAAAAGAAAAGGTGGCTAGAATATTTCAAAGAACTACTAAACAGGCCAGCCCCACAAGTACCACCTGAAATTCTCCCTGCAGAAGAAGATCTCCTCATTGACTGCAATGTACCCAACAGAAATTAAAAAAATATGATCAAACTATTGAAAAATGGAAAGGCTGCTGGCCCTGATGGAATACCTGCAAAAGTACTAATGGCCTGGAACTGTCATCAAGCATACTTCACCAGCTAATTGTGACTATTTGGGACAAAGAAGAGATACTCATGGAGAGAGGGTGGAAACTATAGAGGAATCATGCAGCTTTCTGTACCAGGAAAAATACTAAATAGAATTATTCTGCAGAGAATAAAAAAGCAATAGACTCCAAACTAAGAGATGAACAGGCTGGTTTTAGAGAAAGCAGTTGTGTACTGACCAACTTGCACAACTGCACATAATCGTGGAACAGTGCTTGGAGTGCAATGCATCATTGTACCTAAATTCTGTCGACTTCGAAAAAGCATTTGACAGCTTAGACAGAGATACACTCTGGAAACTACTAAGGCATTATGGTATTCCCCAAAAGATAACTAACTTAATTAAGAATACACACAAGGATATGAGTTGCACGGTTATACATGTCAGTGGACACCTTTCAGACAGTTGGAGGATTTGGATTTTGCAGATGACATTACACTTTTATCACATAGCCACAAACAAATGCAGGAGAAAACAACAAAACTTGACTCTGTATCGCAGCAAGTTGGACTTGGCATAAATAAAGGGAAAACCAAGACCTAAAGAATATATGCAGTGGATGATGGAATCATTGGGATTAACCTGAGTGGAGCATCTCTTGAAGAAGTTGAGACTTTTACATACCTGGGAAGCATCATAAATAAAAATGGTGGCACAGATGAGGACATAAAGTCTGGGTCCAAAAGGCCAGAGGAGCATTCAATGCCCTGCGAAACATTTGGAACTTAAGTGAAATACTGACAAAAAAAAGTTAAAAATATATAACTCAAATGTCAAGGCACTTCTTCTTTATGGCTGTGAAACTTGAACAACAAAAAAAAAAACATTAAAAAACTGCAGGTTTTTATAAACAGATGCTTGCGAAGGATCCTCAAAATAAGGTGGTTGGACATAATTTTTAACACTGTCCTTTAGGAGAGAGCATCAAGTGTTCTGGTGGAACGGAGATACAAATGAGAAAATGGAGATGGTTAGGGCACACATTAAGAAAACCAAACACTGAAATCACAAGACAGACCCTGAACTGGAATCCTCATGGTACTACGAAAAGAGGAAGACCAAGAGCCACATGAAAGAGGGGAGTAGAGACAAAGGTGAAGAGAATGAAGAAAAGCTGGGCTGAATAAGAAAAGATAGCCCAGGACAGGGACAGATGGAAAAGTATTGTGGATGGCCTATGCTCCATTTGGAGTGAGAACGGCTAAGAAGAAGAAGGTATAATAAATATAATAATTTTGAAACATGCAAAAATGAGTTTGAGAGTTTAGTTTAACATAAAAATGTTTTTACAAAGTTAAGGTTGCACATATCAAGTTATAAGAGCCAAATATGATGTAAAACAGAAAACATACTCTTCTTGCTGTTGCTGTTGAAACTTGACGTTTATGGCTCATATCACTTTTATTACCTATAACAACAGCCATAGTGCCATCGTTTGCATACTGAGTAAAAAGGAAAAAAATGTGTAAACGATAATTAGAGATCACTGAAGTGGAAAGAAAAGTTAAGAGTGAAAAATAAAGAAAATTAAATTTGGAAGCAGAGATATTTACAATATAAGACAGAACAAAATTGAGTTAGCAAAAAAAAAACAAACAAAACAGGTTAACGTATTCATCCAATAGGAGTTTTTTTAAAGAAATCATATCAGATATCATATATATATATAAAAGTGAAAATGCGTAGGTTTGTCTGTTTGTTCCAAAAAGGCTTTTACATGGATTGATGTATCTTGACCATACTTGGCACATATATCTATCATTATCCAGAAGGAACTCTTAAGGGGTTTTGAACTTTTTATAACATTCCGTTAAGAGCAGGAGGCAAAAAATTTTGTTTATTCATACATAAGCTTTATAAATATAATTAACAACAAATACTCCTATACAAATAGATGGATCGTGACCAAACTTAGTACACTTGATTATCCACATTCAAATACCAAAGGGTACTGAACTCATAATATCCATTCCTCTGGGGCTCCATTTCAATTTTCCTTATATAAGCTATATATAAATATCAATAGGCTTTGACAACACTATAGTTTGTATGTGAATTGATGGTAGAAATACACTTCATTATCCGTATTGAAATATCGGTGGATTTAAAAATAAGAATATCTAATCTAGAATTTTCCAGAAAGTTCGATAACTTTAAAAAGCTATATCTATGGCATTTTTAAACCAATTTTAATCGGACAAACTTTTTATTTTAACTCCATAATTTATCGCAATGATTTTTATGAGGTTCCCCATCTCAGGCTAAACTGATTCGTTAAAACTAAGGAATGGGCCCCCTCTTTTAACTTAAATGTATTATAGCTATAGCAGTGCATTTAGTTGTATAATTTTTCGGGCTTTAAAAATAATTACTTAGAGAGCTATTGTTTACACGTTTACAGGAGGTTATTAAATTTTATCTAGAATGTTCCAGAAATTTCTATATAGTTCTACGGGGATATATAAAGGGATATAAAAGCTTATAGTAGTAATGTTAACGAGATCCAGCAGTAAATTGAACCCAACGGTAACGCGATCCAATCCAGTAACGGGATCGAGATCATATCAGTAAATGGGATCCTATCAGAGAAGAGGATCCCACCAGGAAACGGGATACTAATGGGATTGGCATCCTAACGGCATTGGGATCCCACTCGGATCGGAATCCTATCAGAAAACTAAAACCAACCGAGATCGGTACCCCACCGGTATTGGGATCCGACAGCTATCGGGATCCCACCTGTATCCTTATTCCACTGGTATCGAGATATCACCAGGTTCGGAATACCAACGGGATTGGGATCCTTCCGGAATTGGGACCCAGAGGGATCGGAATCCCACCGGGAAAGGTATACTAACGGGAGCGATGGGATTGGGAGCCCACCGGGATCGGAATAATTATAAGATTGTAGACCGTAGAAGTTCTTTTGCTCCAAATCCGATCCCGGCAAAATGTGGGGTACATCCGATAGTAGGTGGTAAAAGTAGAGAGAACAATAAGTGAAATAGTGAATATTGTTCATTATTGTTTATACTTTTAAAAGGATTAAACAAAAACAAAAAAAATTATTGCACAATTGATTCTGTTGTTAAAAATTAATTTACATCACAAATGCTTTAGAACTTACTCGTTTGACATACAATAACCACTTAGCCAGTGATTCAAAGGAACTTCTGCTGCATATATCATAAACCAGCAAACACCCCTAAAATAAAATAAAATATTATTCAACAACACTATTTAAATTTTACCAGTTTACTTAAAAATTTAAAAAAGGAAATTTTTTAGGTGTCTCCTTTTATCATTATATTATATAGTCACACATTTATTTTGTAGCAGCACAATGCTAACTAGGTGACAACATGTTGAATCAAGTTTAGAGCTGAGGATATTTCTGTTGATAGTGCCATCACAAGTTTTTAACTACAGATGCTTGTTTATAAGTTCAGGTGACTGAGTGTGTATACAGAATTTCCTCTTTGTTGACATGTTTTCCTTTTCTTCGTGCTTTCCCTCTTGAGTACTGTAGGTTGTGAGGTGTTCATAGCCTTTGTATTCAAACTGAGTTTACAACTGTGCTGCCTAAGTATATAAAGGGTTCGTTTCACTGAGACAGTTTCAAAAGACTTATTTCATTTAATAAAATATCTGACCTGTGCCCTTGAATAAAATTGCTTGGTGATGGCCTCGTAACGTTCTTGACCTGCAGTGTCCCAGATTTGGATTTTCACATTTTTTCCATCAAGGTTGATCATTTTCATTTTAAAGTCAACACCTTGTAAAAAAATTGCAAATAATAATTATTATTAAAGCCTGAAAAGTGTGTGACCCATTAATAAGCCAACCCCCATGAAATAATATACCAGTATAAGCAATACGATACAATAAGTACGAAAGAATAGTTTTTTTTAAAATCCAAACTTTTAAAAATTATTTTGAAGTAAAAAGACTTAAAAACTAATAAACGAACAGCATTGTACTATGTAAATCATGCATGTAAAATGGTATTTACTGTACAAATTTTCGGAGAAAATTATAAAAATTTCATTTTGACCCGCTCATAAGCTGACCACCCAACTTGTTCTCCTGAAATATTTCCCCCCAAAAGTGTGCTTATGTACTAGTATTTACGGCACATGTTACATCTCTCTATATATATAATTCGCCAGCAAAGGTCAAACACCACCACCACGCAGGCTATATATAGATACGCCAGATACGTGTGGTTAAATAATGAGTTCACTAGCGCGCAAAATAAAATTCCCGATAACTACACTAAATGATATATATCTATTTTTAATAACGCAATTGTGTTTGGTGCGTAATATCATCTTTTCGGAAATGGAATCGTCTCAATTTAAGTATTGTGTAAAAAATATTCGGTTTAAAAGGGGTTGGGACATGAGAATATTAATATAGTTCATGGGCGTGAAATAAAAAGTATGCAGTGAAGTAACATGGGGGAAGGGGTGTAGCAAAATTGGCATTCTGAAATGCACCTAACTTGAGTTCACGTTTTTGTAAAGTAACTTTGGTAGATGGGAAGTTCACGCATTGCTACCGCCAATATTTGGTGGGCTATAACTAGTACTAGTTGACAAACTTTGCTGTTTAAAATTAAAATAACATGATTGAGTTATGACATGCCATAGCCCTATGTTAAAATGTATTTTTAAATAAAAATGTTCATAACTAAATAGAAATTCTATTCTATGGTTCAATTTTCTTTTGTTTGCAAATTGGTACATTTTTATTTATACACATATAAATTTGTGGGTTTTTTTTTATTCAACATGTAATCAAATATATATACATATACATACATACATACATATATAAATTTACGCACACATTCAAAAGGAAAGCAAATAATTTTAAAAATGCAAGCATCTACTTTATTTGGGTGTCAATCAGGCTGCAAACTATATTCACTTCACTTTAAATTGAATCTAACTTAAAATGCAATATACCTGAGAAATGATAAAGCTTTAATATTATGCTTACCAATTGTAGTAATATGATTTTCATGGAACTCATTACAGGCATATTTACATATCAAACATGTCTTTCCCACTCCTGTATCTCCAACGAGCAAAAGTCGCACCAAGGTATCATAGCGTTTTGCCATCTTCAATCAGTGTAAGTCTTGTTGAGACATGAGTTGTGCCACTGTGTCCTTAGGGTTTAGAGTACAAAAGCCATTTTGTATCTAAAATAAGACAGCAGAGATATTTTAAAATAAATTAAATTTGACTTTTAATCTTGGAGGCCAGATTGAATAAGAATATTTTTTATTATATACCAATGAAAAATTTTCAAATAGTGGCGTAGCTAGACATCAAATTGAAAAATGGCATATTTACAGAGCACACACTACTCTGTCAAACGGAAATTCATAGAAGGATAACCGATCACATGTAAATTTTCCAAAAGTGTAACCAATCCAAATGCGTGCTTTATTATCAAGGTAGATGCGTCAAAAACACCATGTTGACCACTATTCAACAGCGAATGAAGTGTTCGGTAACTTTCATAAATGACAGGCAGCAATATGTATCTAAATTCTGAGAAACAAAGCTTTCCACTGAAACCAAATAAGATATGGTCGGACGATTCAAAGTACCGTAAATGAATCGAATCTGTAAAAGTTAAAAACATAAAAAAAATGAATTTTTATCCACTTTTAGGGTTAACAAACCAAATCTATTGAAACCCAGAAATACTAAAAAATAAATAATTTCCCTGATTATTCAACAGCAACACCTCTTAACATTAGAGCACAATTGTCATACAGCACAAGGTGTTTTACATGTTGTCTGTGATTTTACATTTATTTGCTACCTTTACCTTTGGGATGATCTACTTGAGGATGTTAATCATAAAGAGCAGTATTTGCAGACTAAAAGCTTTACTCTTGAAAAAGTGGTGACCAACCTAGAGGCCTTAAGATTGTTTCTGCACAAGAAGCGCTGTCACTTTGTAGAACATGCTATTGAAAATGTACTTTTAAAATCAGACCTATATGGAATTTCGGTATAGAGAAGACAAAGGTTTAAGAAGAGAATGAAAGGAGAACAATTAATAGATGCTGGACTCTCTCTGCGAGAGAAAACAGAAAAAAGATTCTGGAGTTCATCGTTCACTTTCATTCTGAACTCCAGATCAAATCATCAGTGATCAAGGAAGTAGCAGATATGTTTGGGGTTGTTCAACTCAAGAGCACTATCAGCAAATATAGAAGAGTTATTGGTGTCCGTTCCAAAATTAACCTCTTTCAAAGATGATTTATCAGAGGAAAAACTTTTGAAAGAAATATAAAGACTTAGAAGACACTAAAGGCAGCTGATATTGAATTTTCCAAATTCAAAGAATGGTCAGTATTTGATGTATTGATCAATCTGGCTCCTATAAATTCTAAATTATATTTACCTCCTGACCTTTAATTTAAAATGTGCATGAAAAGTCATTGCCCTTAATGGCTTGAAATGCATTTTTTTAATGATAAAAAAATTGTTTAGATGATCATTTTTTTTTTATTATTTAAATTTCATTAATGCAAATTTTTCGAATAAAAAAAATATTATGAGTAAAACTTGTTAAATGTTAAAGATACAAAGCTAAAATTCTTTGTAGCGTGTTAACGATTTAAAAAGCAATTACTTATATTTATTTTAAAAAAGGGGAACAAAATTATCAGCTTTGTTACATGCTGGGAAAGTCAAGGAAAGTTAAAGCTTGGAATTTGTGGGCTTAAATTAAGTTGTTATAAGCTTATACTTATACAAATTTTATTTTCATTGAGTTCAATTGAACATTTTAATCATTTGAAATCATATGGGAAATGAACATAACTTTAAATTTGCAATATTAAGAATAAAATAATTAACAAAATTGATTACTAACTAAAAGTAATACATAGGTGGTCATTTATTGATGGTAATAAAAATTAAATCTTAACCCTCACATTCATATTTAATGCTCAAAATAGCTCTATAATTGTTACCAGTTATATTAAATGTGTTTCTTTAACTAATTTAAAATACTTTTAAAAAAGCAGATATGTGAAGAAAAAAAATATTCATATTATTCCCTTTGTGAAAAATAATAGAAAATCCGTATCATTGTTTTTTTGAGACTCCGAGCATTTGTAAATTGATTTGTTGTTTTTTTAATATTAAATGGATAACTTAGCTCTTTCTTATAGATATTATACTATTGTTTATTAAGTACCAGTAATAATTTAAGTTTTTAAAGCATAAAATAAATTTTACAAAATGTTAAGCCCATAGATTTAATAGTATAGGCTGTATGTGCTTTTTGAAATTATCTTGGGCAGTTTATTGGCTAAGACTGTATAAGTAAGGTGACCATTTTTTTCAAATTTAAAACCAGGACATTTAAAATCCTTTTGGCAATATGGGTGTCCAAAACAAAATAATTATTATTATTTAATTTTTGATCACACAGAGAACATTGTGAGACGTTCTTTTGAAAAAAATGTTAGCATGATTCTTATTTGGATGAATAACATATTTTTTACTTGTTTTATTTATGTCTTTCATATGTTTTTATTTTGTTGTCATAAACTGTACTGATTCAGCTGAAGGCAACCCAGGACAAAGTTCCAAAAACAAGTAGTTCAGTAGTGTCTAGGTAAAAACAATTTAAATGGTCACCTTAGTCTACATGTCTTAGCAGAATGAGAACTGGTATCTAGGTGTATAAGTTTAAGTATCACTGATTTACTCAGTCAACTACTACTTTTGTTATTTTTTAGTAGTACAATACTTATATACGAATAAAAAAATAAATGTAAGCCTACTATTAATTACTTGTATAATTATTAAACTACATTTCAATCGTGAATTCCACTAAATTTTATTTCAAAAGAAAATACTTAAATGGTCTGAAAAACAGGAACACGTCAATAAATGAGTTTAAAAATTTAAATTTAAATCAATCCTTTCAGTGATGCAGCTGACAAGATTTATATGTAATTAAATACGACTAAACAAGTTTACATTGTTGCAAATTTTTAATCACTGCTTCATTATAATACTGTGTCTGTTAATAATAAGGTACATTCTCATTCACACTGCAGATTTTATTCTGAAATTCTCAATAGGGTAGGCTGTTGCAATAAAAGTCGAGAGATTTCTGAGACTAAGAACAGTTACAATGAACAATACCATAAAAAATATATCCATTTATTTTAATCAATAAAATAATTTAATCTAATGCTTCTTAACAATATAAGAAATTTAAATAGCATTGACTTCAAACGAGAACAACACAATTTTTTTAATAACCGACGCTCAAATACCTAATCCTTCTACCTTTTTGATTTGTCACTTATGCTATGTTATATGTTAAAATTATTTTTATAAAACTTTAGCCCTTAGCACACCAGAAAACCTAATCCGAGTAATCTTTTACTTTCAGTCAGCCATACATCAACACCATCATAATAATTAACTTTAGACTGATTGTGCATACTCAGATACTGTGATCTGATTCTATTAATTGTATCAATATTCAATCAATCATGAATGATCATTCAAATAATAGATTATAATGTATTCAATTCTGAATCCAAAAATATATAACATGTTATTATTGCTATGTTCTTCGGTGAACTGAATGAAAAAGTGGTTACTTAAGTGAAAAGTAAAAGTACCTAAAATTAAATAAATTGAAATACTAAAATTTAATAAGAGTAAGTATTAAGTATAAGGCACAAGGCCTAAAAAAATGCGAGAGAGAAAAAAAATGTCCAGAAACCAAGAATATTTTAGAGCGAAGAAGACAACCTAGGTTCAAAAGAAATACATTCTCTTAAAATTTGGGGTGTCAGACAATCTGGGACATTAGGAAGCACGAATACCAATCAATATTATTTATAATAACTAGCGTATTCCGATTTTAAAAAGTGTTCGTTAGTTATAGTATAGTTACCAATTCCGACAAAGACTAAGAGAATAAGAGTTATTCCCCCCTTGTTTATGGCTCAGTACACCGTTATTGTATCGGTCGCTTCTTCACTAATACTAATAATTAATAGTGTTATAGTTATGTTATGACCTGTCAAAATTGACGCCCATGCGAAGAGGACCTATCCTTGACCTTAGAAAACGTACCGGTACCATTCAACACAGTGGGCCTATGGTTTTTAGAAATACCCGGTAACTAAGTTTATCTTACACGTCGCGCATATTGATAATTGAACAGAAATCTACACGCCACACGCTCTCCTACTCCTACTCCTCCTATTTTTATTTTTCGCGCTACTGGCTTTTTATTTTGTTACATTATGTGATTAACACATTAAAATGTGAATGTTTATGTTAATCCAAATGAAATGCTACTTTATTAGTAATTTGATTCAGTTTTTAACTAAATGAAAATGATTTAATTTTAATGTCAAGCAAAATGTAACTTTCACAACAAAAATAATAACTAAAATATCGCGAAATCTTACAAAACCGTGTTCGTTTGGTCTTGGTAGAGTAGTATTATGATTTCGGTAAACAGAAAATATTAGGCATCAAACTGCAGTGGTATTTAGCTATCATCATTATCGGGAATTTACTTACCGGTACCTAATGAGTACCGGTAATAAAGAGTTAAAACATCTTCTACTTCTACCCCCAAAGCTTCTGCAATTCATATGGTGTTTAATGTGGTTAATAATGTATGCGTAAGATAATAGTGTTGGAATCGAAATGTAAAAATTCTTGCACATGGCTCTAATATTTGTAGTGGTAGGCCTACTGACCTATGACTATGAGTCACAATACATAATTCTCTAAATAATGAGTCATTAACGCTTTAAGTAAGTAAGGGTGTGCCAAGCTGCCCCACCCCATTTTCCCCCCCTCAGAAAAGTGTGTACAACTACAATAAGGCGTTAAATTTGAAAACAGTTGTCATTGTGAAATGGAGCTGAACAATTATCAAACACCCCCCCCCCCGATATATTCATATCCGGAAATGCGATCGAAAGAAATTTCGTGGACGGTAATTTTATCAAACGGAAATTTGGTCGAATCTTTTTTTTCAGTTCTTACGTTAACATTTTTGCAAAATTTTAACTTCTGAACTGGAAAAAAGATTTGACGAAATTTCAGTCAATCAATTTGCTGTCGACGAAATTACTTTCGATCAAATTTCCGGCAACTGATTATTGATTGCCCCTCCACCAAGTGACAGCACTTTTTTTATCTAAAAAAAACCCAACAAACCCTAGTTAAGTTTTCAACTCCAAATGATCTAACATGTGGTGTAGCCTACATGTACTGGAAAAAATGTTGTCTTAAAATCTGTAGTCTTACAAAAAGAATTCAGCTATACAAAGTCTGGGGATAGATGAAGGGTGAATTCAGAGTTGGCCTTGGTTACCAAAACACCTAATCTTGGCACTATCTAATGCAACAATTTCCCTTGTTCATGTACGGTACAAATTGTTTGGCACTTGTTCTTAATGAACGTGTATCGGAAAGGCATCACCATCTTCAACCAAAAAGAAATCAGAATTCAGCTAAATCCACACAAAATTATTAATTTATTAATACTTGGGAATGAGTTATAGCATGGAGGATGATGGAGGTTTGAAATTGTAATACCTGACAATCTGAGGATGGGATTGGATAATTATACTATGAAAAAAGAGTGGTGTGTGGGGGAAAGTGGACAGACCAAATCATTTATGGTGGTCCACACAGCAATACTACATTGAGTATGCATCATTCTGTACCAGCAGAGTACATTTTTAATTTTTAACAGTGCATTTTAAACTATCACAATTGAAGTGGAGATCTATGAGGAATGTGATCAATCTAAGTGGAAACTAATGAACTCAAAGCACAGCTTATTGGAAACCTGTTTAGTATGGTAGTAGTAAAACATGTAGACTATAGACCGTTTACTAAGGTCAGCTTACAATGTGATCTCCAAAAAACAAAACAAGAAAACAATGAAAAAAAACATTTAACAAATGTTTTCATGTTAGTTTAATTATACATGTTACTTTTTATTTTAAAATTCAACTGAATTTAGGATCTGGCATTGGGACCCTTCTTACGACCGAAGCCAGCCACAACATTAACAAAACGTCTGTTGTATTGCATGCGGCGCTTGGCACGGCCAGTCTTGCCTTTCTTCTTTTCTTGTTTGTCAACTTTTGGTGTCTGACCACGCACCTTGCCAGCACGAGCCAAACTGCCGTGAACTTTGCCTGTAAAAAAATTTAAAAAGGGTTTTAAATCAACAACCACAGTACAGCCTTTCTACTATTTATTTCAAGTTGTTTAACTCATTCCCGACTAAATGCGTCTTTTACGGGTTTCGCCTGATGCGTCCAAATAAGTCCCGGCGCATAGCGACACACCTCTCTCATATCTATTTAAAAATAGCAATGAAATCTCGCATCCCTCGAGACTTCCGGCGATGGCGTGGTTCAGCGTGATTTTAATTTAAAAACCGGAAGTTTTTATCTTGTTTCACTTTAAAACTATGTGTGCTTTAGTATGGCGCGTCTATATGTAGCATGTGTTCGTCTGAGGTTCCGAAAATCGTTTTTTGGCCATTGTTCGTTATTTTCCCCCCGCTAATGTTATATTTATATTAAACCTTATTCATTTTGTTTTGCATTTGTTCTTAATTCATTAACATTAAATAATATTTAGTAGCTTAAAGACATATTAAAAAAATGTAAACAATTTCAAAACGGGGTTACTTCCCTTTCTCAGGCAAATAAATTAAATACGGAAGTAGCATTGCAGGAGGGAATGAGTTAAACAAGTGGATAAGCAGATAATATAAAATAAAATTTAAAATATCAAACAGGAAGTTTGTAACACAAAATCTCTGGATCATAGAAATTAATAACATCAGAGATGGACCTGTGCAAAAAAGAAATCACAGCATATTGATTATAATTATATTGCAACTCACCTCCAAGCAATCGCAGTTCAACATTTAAAGTTGATTCATTCTTGAACGTGACCAGCTCACATGTATCTTCCAAGGGTTGACCCTCATAAAAAACTGCCATCTGTTCCATTGGGAGACCCTCACGTTCAGTAACAAATGACTGCAAGTAGGTATATAAGAAAATTTAAAGGTTAACATATGATGAGGTAATGCTTCCAAGCCATGTGAATTACTATTTTCAACATATCAGCCTATTAATTGATATCAGTATATAATATACATATCATGAAGATTAAAAGCTACAACTATAATAAATCAGGTTAATTTAGTTAACACAGATGTAATTTCAAATTAACCAATGAATTTTTACCTTGACATCTTCAACTGTTTTTTGCTGATTCAGGTCCAAAACATGGGTTTGAATTGAGTGCACAAAGATAGGCATGGTGAATATATTTCTGCAAAAATAATAAAATACCAGATATGAGAAGAATTTTTTTATTAAACTCATTCAACATTGAGGTATCTTTTTATAATTTTTATTGATCCAAATAAAGGGAAATATTTTTCTGATAACTTAGTACAAATTCATTTTCAGCACAAAAATAAATACTATAACTCCTTTAGCCTTTAGGGACAAGAGCAACTCAGTGATCATTTAGATTTTGTAAAGCTTTCCTACCTATACATCTCCTTCCTAATTTCCTAAGTCAAGTGGTACTGCGACAGTTTTTTCCAACTGCTGCAGTATTCTAGCAGCCTAACACTAACCCTAGTTTTAACTATGTTTTTTAGAAAAAATAATATGCTGATTAGGGTATTTTTGATTGATGGCTTTTAAAAATCAATACTTCATAGGGTGGTTAATTATAACATTTGAAAACGAGGCTATTTTTTTGCCGGTAAAACCATCTGATAATTTTTAAAAATGAAGGTGTGAGTTTTCTGACATAATTTGGACTTTAGTTGGAAACCAAAAAAGTGTTTAAAAGTTTAATCAATGAAACCAAGTTGGGTTTTCATTTTTATGCTTTTCTCACCATTATGTTACTGTGTAGCACACGCTTTAGTTGAGGGAAGGGAGCGACTGCCCAACATACAGAGGGATACAGTAAATTTGCTATGTTCGCCACTGACAAGATGTATCTTTAATCTTGTTTGAAATTTCTAAACTATTCTCATCGTTTTATAAATTCTACCGTAACACATGTCTCCCTTTTCCCTCTCCATATCACTATTACTATTAGCAGTCAACTTTTTTTTCCACAGCTGCCATGACCCACCTTATGCGAAGTCGTGCAAAAAACACTGGCAAACGAGTGGCTATGGTTGTGTAAATTTATGTATGTTTTTTTACTTCTTTTATTAAAAAGTTAAGGATATTAAAGGTAGAAATAATAATATTTGCCAAGCCCATACTGGAAAAAAAAGGAACAGGCGAATGTCTGAGGCAATTTGAAGTATTATACAAGAATGGGAAAATAAATCCCCCCCCCCCCCCCCCAACAGTTTTATAAAATAAAGTAGTTTTAAAATAGTGACTCAGTGTCGTGAACATTTGGGCATGCTGACTACATTTTCTCCAACTTCATGGAGGCCTAGGACAGCAACTCTCTCAAAAATTATCTGCTCAGTTTATGTTAGCCACTTACATATTTTCCCTTGTCATGTCGTCTCATGTCAATAGTAACAGTTACAGTAACAGAGTTATCCCAAAATATATCGCAAATATAACTTTTTAAAATAATTGACCTACAATTACAACTATAGATAATAACTCCTAAAGAGATATAATAGGTAAAATAGGTTGTTACTAAATAACTAGGTCTTAAAACTGTAACTTCATTTTCACAATTTGTCCATGCATAGTAATGACCCTACTGGGTCGTGGAAGACATCGGCCCTGATGCATTTTCATTTTACTAAATTTAAGCAAAAAAATAAAAAAATAAAAGGGATTGAATAAAATCTGTTGAAATTATTAACAAAGATAGTGCGCAAGATATACGCGTGGCGGCATGTCACGCTAGTAGTTTTTATTATTCTGAATGAAGTGCAGTTTGGTAGATCTTGTGCCTTGTGTGGTCTAGTGGTAGCTTAATGTTATGATTTGAGGATCAATTCCGGGGAAAGGATAGTTTTTTTCCCCCCATTTTAATTAAAAATATTTGATACTATATTTTTATTATCATGTTCATCAGCAAAAGTAGTTTCATGATAAGTTTTAAATATTTTGTAGCAATTTAAACAATTTAAAATGAAATCTTTTACTTTTATTGGTTGCCTACTCCATACTGGCCCCTAATTTATTTTATGGCTTATACTTATGGATTACTGGTACACAAACTCAAATAACAAACAAAACAAAAATGTTTACAAGCCACTTTCACTTAAGTTTTTTTCTATAATTGGATTCAAGATACTAAGTACATTACTTGGTAGAGAAATAGATTTTAAAATTAACAATTTAATAATAGTTTTGAATCATTCGCAGTCACGTGACAAGGCTGACTGACAAGATATCTCTCGCCACTTTGTTACGGCGGTCATGTGACTTGGTCGCCGGACAAATAGTGCGGGAGATATACGTCCGGCGAGACGTGTAGACACTGGCAATTATTAATGTGGAAAGAGAAACTTGAAACAGTCCTTAAATACCCACCAAGTAGCCACAATTAATTTTAGGCCAATTGCCCACCTGGTACAAAATAAAACTTAAAATGTATACTAAATATAGCCCATCTATTAATTATTATTAGTAAAATAATTATAATTGCCTCCTACTCACCTACCAGCCTACTACTTGCCTATTCATATTCCAAGCATAAACTAAATAAATTTCAATTAAATAATTAATGAATTTAAAGTGACACTATTAATTTATTATTGAAAAATGTAATATCGTATGAATATAAAACTGGAAGTTCGACTTTAAAAATCATAATAAAATGAAACAGTTCAAATATGCTAATGAATCCTAAAGCATATCGTTATCGATAAGAGGTGGTTGAAAAAGAAGTCTTTTTGTGCTACTCACATCTTTCAAATTTCTCACAGTAACACTTCAAAATAGTAACTTAAATCACTGCTGTAGATTGATCGGTTTATATACGTTAAATTTTTGGCACAAAATCAACGAGATCACGAAGTAGAAATTGAACAAATTAATTTATATTTGGAACTTACCACGCCGTTGCACTACAGTGGTGAAATTTTATGGAAAAGGATCCCAAATTAGACAGCGCAAATAAACGTGAAAATAGACACTAACCGAAAAGAAAAACACTTACGGAAATTTTCGGATATCCTTTTTTTTTTTCAGCCCTTTGGTCGTTGCTGACGTAGTACACTTGCACAACAGCGGGCTGTAGAAACTTCCTTAGATATGCTAGGGCAACACCTTGATACTTGATAATTTAAATAAATCCTCAATATGACTGAATCATGCCCTTGTTTGGTCAGAATTGGTGAAAACGTAAAAAAATACCGAATTTTCAAGTTAGAGAGGGATCAGGTGGGAACACATTTTATCATATTACTGTTTTTTGTTAGTGGTTTGTCTATTCGGTAAGCCGTCTAAGGCGTCTATTCTATTACTATTCAAACTATTGAATTGAGTAAGGCCTATCGAATTGTTATTGTGTAGCGTACCTGTTTACTGTTTAGCCTCAAACTCTTAAAGTCTTACAATATCATCACAAAATCATTCAATACATTATCTTAATAGTAAAAAACTAAACATACAGAGATAGCACCCTGATGTCATTTGTGTTTTGTCCCTGGTTCCGAAATGTCAAAACCCTGGTTCCGATAGGCTCAAAACCCAGGTTAGGGATAAGTTTAGGGTTCATGTTAGGTTTAGGGATAGATTTAGGGTTCAGTTTATGTTTAGGACATAAGTTCGCTGAGCGCGGCAACCAAGATGGCGACCACAGTGCTATCTCTCCAAATTTACCCCCACTAATTAATAGTGATTCTCAAGCTTCTCAACACCTAGAACTTAATTATTAGACTTCAGTAGTTATATGCTAGTCTTCATCCTAGTCCTAGCTTTTACAAGGTGGGGGTGTAATTTACAAGGTGGGGGTGTAATTATACCCCACCCCCACCTTGCCTGTTCATATATTTCTCCAGGTAACAAAATTTTAAATAATTAATTTGAGAAAGAAAATAATACAGTTACTCAATATATTTTTTTTTTGGGGGGGGGGGATTTGTGGGTAAATTTATGCAATCTGTGCCACTTATTTCCCACGGCTGCCATCTTGTTGCAATGACTCGTCACAACTCATGGCAACCAAGAAAGTGACAATGCAAAATCAAAAAAGGAGTGCAAACACACGTCTGCTAAAATGGGGAGGAGAAAGAGAGACAATTTTTTTTTAGCTATTACAGAAAGAAACAAAAATAGTAATAGGAACAAAACTTAAAAATTTAATGAAATAATTTCAGCCGGTACATTAATTTCATGGCGAACCTAGCAACTTTATTGTGTCCCTCTAGATATGCAGCAAGAAGTGTCTATGACCTGCGATCACTCTCTTTCCTAGTACATGCTCCCTTCCCTCAACTAAAACACATGTGCTACAGTTACACACTGTGGTAAGAAAGGTGTAAAAATGAAGAAAAATGATGAAAAACCCATCTTACAGTTAAATGGAATACACTTTTTGGGGGGGGTTGAGTCTTTGATAAGAAACATATATTTTAATCTGAAAGTGAGGCAATGCACAATTTTAAAAATACACAGATAGAGACTAGAAGTCAATTTTTGTACATAAAACAAAATCATACAAAAACAACTTTAAACCTGTTAAATCTTTAGGTTTTGAACAATTTGTAAGCAATGCATTGCTGTCATTACATGCCCTTTTCAATTTTATTGCTTGATTGTTTGAATTTCGACTTGCTTCATTAGTTTTCTGCCTCTTCTTAATATATTCAACAATGATTTTATCGAGTTCCTGCTATAGATCAGCACCAGATAGCTTTTTACAGTAAAAGGATCAAGTTCTTTAGTTGATGCTGTAATCTTTGGCTATTGATATATATTTAGAACTAATCTTTACATCTTTGAAATAATGCAGTATTATATTTGTATCAGCGTTTACTTTATCTGTTTTTTTAATAGAAAACTGGGTTACTGTATGAGCATGTATTTAATAGAAGCTTCATCTAGTGTTCTGTTATAGCCCATGTTTACCTAATTTTGCTTTTATCTAGAGCTATAGTTTCCACCACTTATTTGCTTTGATATTGATATCACTGATTAAATGTGTAGTGCTCCGTTTCTACCCACCCCTCCCTTGATTGGGAAATGTTTGTTGACATTCTAATATATTCTGAATGGAAGGTAGAGAATGCACTTGGGTGATGCAATTTAAGAATTTCTTTTCTGGAGGGTTCCAACTCCCTCCTTATAAACCCAGCAGCTTTCCCAGCCAGCAGAGAGATTTGCTAGATTTCCTAGATATGATGCTTAATAATATACTTATAAGAGCCTTTCTAGATTTTACTCTTTGTGTGTGTATATTAGAGGATTATACTTTTTCACTTACTTTGGTGTAAGTTAATATAGTTTTTATTTCTGTAAATTTATTTAGTATTTTACTATTTAAACTTAATAGTTTAATTAAACTGAATATTGTTAATATCACTAGATTTGGTATAGTTTTTGCTAGAATACTGGTTTTCAGTCCTTTATTACGTATCTAACGAGCCAAATCTTAAATCAATATTAAATTTGCAAAGCCATGTAACGGTCCTTAACAGCACCCTTAAACATCAAAAGTAATAGACTTGCTGAAAGTTTCCACTGAAGCATTTTTTGCTGCCACTATTGCGTTCAAATGTGTCTGGGGGGTCATCCCTAGTTTTGGGCTAATAACTAGGTGGAATTTTAATATGGATTTAGTTAATTTTTATCATGCAAATATTCATGTAATTATTTACCCATCACATTTTTCATGCAGGTGACAATAGGAAGATCTGGTGATGTCACCTATTCAATATTATCAAATATGATTTCAAGATGTCACACCACAATAAAACGCCAGGCAGATGGAACATGGACTATCATTGATAACAAGGTAGTAGAGATAAATTGCATTAAATATAAAACACAGTGAAAATGTATGTTTTTATTTTACTGTAAGTTAAAGAGGATGTGTGAATTTTTTTATTTATTTTTTTTTTGGTGTGCTATTGCCTATGAATTTTTAAAATAAAAAATCTCTTACTCATAACTCTAAAAAAAAAATACAAAAGTGATAACATTATTGCAAGTCTTATGGGTAAGTACTGGCCTTGAAAATATAATAAATCTGGCGTAAATATTTTTAATATTACTTTTTCAGTTAAGTCATCAAGAAGTCTCTTCTGTCATAGCTGGCTAATACTTTTTCACTATTCAATTATTATTACCAATGAACAGCATAATTGATCATAAGATCAAAGGTTTGATGCTTTAGAATAAACCATTTTTCCCCCTCCTTCTATGTGATTTAAAATCTTATTTGATAAAACCTTGTAGTTACTGAAAGTAAATTTAAAACTTCTTGTTAAATAAAATTATTATACTTTGTTTTTTATTTTTTTTGTGTGTGTTTTGTTTTCAGAGTTTAAATGGAGTATATGTCAATAAACAGGCTCTAGATCCTAATATTCCACATGCACTAAAAGAAGGTGATCTAGTACAACTGGGTGTGTCCACTGCACCAGAAAAACCTGCAGAATTTGTGTACAAGTTTTATTCTTCATTGAAGGTATTTTATAATAATTAACCCAAACACATTTTTCAATATCATTTAATAACTTGAGCCATCGGTCTTCTTTTGTATTTACATTTTTATTAAAACCTCTTTTTAAAATATACAATTTTATTATAACTTTAAAATGCAAACTTAAGTTGTCATATACTGACTGGGCAAAAAAAAAAAAAAAAAAAAAAAAAAAAAAAAAAAAAAAAAAAAAAATTTTAATAACTTGAGCCATCGGTCTTCTTTTGTATTTACATTTTTATTAAAACCTCTTTTTAAAATATACAATTTTATTATAACTTTAAAATGCAAACTTAAGTTGTCATATACTGACTGGGAAAAAAAAAAAAAAAAAGGAGAAATAACATTTTATAATATTAACCATATGCTGTTTTAATGAAGCACACAATTACAAAATACTGCAGATCCGAATGGAAAAGAAGAGAAATAAGAGAATGAAATATGATCCCTCCTTGGATAAAGACACACTTAATGCTGGTGAATCATCAGATGAAGACAGAGAAAAGAAAAGGAAAGCAGCCTGTGAAAGAGTAACATTGAATTTTTTTCATTATAATTAAATTTTCTTTGTTAGAGCTAACCTTTAAATCAATGTCCTTTAACTGTTGAATTTGCTTTACTTAGTATATAGATGTTTTTTTAGTGACCAAGTAAATTTATGTGGCCGAAATTAATTTTTTTTTGGTGTGCCTATAAAGTATTGGTACAGAGTTCAGGTTCTTTGGATTACATAGAAGTATTTTCTATACATTATAAATATTCTAGCATTTTTATCTTTTTTTAGTTTAGACAATTTTATAAACATTTTGAAAATTATCCTGTGTAATTAAATTGTAGTAATGAAAGCTCTTTGAATAATTGAAACATGGATAGATCTACATAATGAACTATTAAAATCTTTTAATTTTTTTTTTACTCACAAATTTTTTATCAGCTCCAGGATGGTGCCAGAGATTTACCCAATAATGACTTACGCAAAATCATTGAAGAATCACAACAACTGCAAGCAGAAAAGGAGAAGGAGTACCTATCTCGTTTAGCTGAAATGGAACGACTGTTAAAAGAAAAAGAAGAAATGCAACAAAAGGTACATATCTTAATATAGCTTGGCTCTGCTTAAATGCCTTGTGATCTGTAATCAATTAAATATGATCACTTTTTTGTTTTACCGCATTTTCCGGCGTATAAGACGACCCCCCAACTTTTCCTGTTAAAATATAGGGTTTGGGCTATACTTGATTTATAAGACAACCCCTCTTCAAATGCACACCAAATAAAAATTAAAAAACACCAGATTTGATTTCAATATGGTAATTTTAATTCAAATGCTTATGACATGCAGGTACTTAGCAGGAAAGCTGCCATTTATACACATAAGGCTGTAAACATAAAACGGGCAGTGGATTAAACTTTTCCCAATTCACTCTAAAACTGAAAAGAAGGATAAGACAATAAACACATGGGAGCTGCCATATTGTTTGTTTTCTAAGCTGTGAACCAAACTGGAACTGGAGGGCGCCTGTCCCTGAAGTTTACACGCGGTATACCAGGTTATGAGATTGACGACCCACGACTTTTATAAAAAAATTTCATGGGTTAAAAAGTCATCTTATACGGCGGAAAATACGGTAAATTAATTTCTATAAAATCAATTTTAAAATAATTATCTTTTTAAAGGTTCAAGAACAGCTAGAAAGAGAAAGGCAGGAAAAAGAGCATCAAGCCCAGGAAGTTAAAGAATTAAAATTGAAGGAACAGGCAATTTTTCAAGAGATGCAATATAAGCAGGTGTGGTTTTTCTGGTATAATAATAAATTCTAATTTAAAATGAACAATATGATTTACTTAAAAATGTTTAGCAAAGGAGCAAAAACTCCAAAACATTTGATAGATGTTGCAATATCTACATTGACCCAAATGTTTTATTTGTGTCTCATATTTCTTCTGCTTTGATAAATAATTCAACGCAGTTCTCACTGGACAAAGTTTAATTTGTTATGAATATCAGAGTTGTCATGAAAGCATTTGAGGCAAAAATTATTTATCAGTGTTTGCACACTAAAGATTTTTGACATTATTTACTGAGCACTATGATTAAACATATATAAACAAAAAAACTTGGTTGAGATAAATAAGGAAAAAATTCTTTGTTTTTGCATTTCACAATTTTAGGAGCTGCTGGAGAAGGAAAAAGAAGAGCTGAAGATAAAAATGCAGGAAGAACTTGAAGCAAATCTCAGGGAGAGAGAAGCAGCGCTTCTTGCCCAGTTAGCAGTACAAAAGGAATCTGTGCTTAATGAAAAGAAACAGGTAATCATTCTGCATTTATTGATATAGGAAATAAGATAAGAGTGAATACTTTCTAATTGTGGGTGAAATGCTGATTTGTTAAAAAAAAATTCTTACAGATTGAAGAAAGTTTGCAGATAGAAATGGCTAAAGTATTGCAAGAAAAGAATAAAGAGCTTGAACATCAGTTGCTGGATCAAAAGGAGAAATTAGAAAAAGTATGTAATAGAATAATTGTTATTTGTCAAGGGATGTAACAAAAAAATATGAATATTGCTTATTCCTTTCTCAGACTTATATTTATATGCTTCAATATTGTATTTTAAAGTATGTATAGAACTGTTTTTGTCTGATTCAAAATTTATTTCAGGCCTTATTTTATAGCCATCGAGCTTTTAAACTGTATTTTTTAACTCTCTGATCATTTTTTAATCGTGTAGTGGTATGACGGATAATACAAAAAAAATTGTCAGGCATTTTCTTTATAAAGAATCCTTCCTTTTAAAAAAAAAATAGGTACTGGAGAAAAAAGAAATGGAACAGAAATTATTAGAAAGCCAACTCTATGAAACCAAGGAAGAAAGTGCCACAGCCAAGTTGCAGGCTCTCAAAGCTAGAGAAGAGGTTTTGTCAAATTTTGTTGATCTAATGGAGTTGGAGTTGCAATGTTCTATTTGCAATGAGCTTTTTATAAAAGTATGTATGAAATTGTAACTTACATTTTAGAGAAGTAATAAAAAATATAGGCATGTTAAATCACATATTTTTTCATAAATCATCAATACCAGTAATATTTTAAAATTTAGGGGAGTAAATTGATACATTTATGTTGTAGAAACTTTGTCATGAATTTTGTATAAAAGTTGGAGTCAATGCCAAAAAGTTAAAGTTTATGCAAAAAAGTTAAAGGTTATGCAAAAAAAGTTAAAGATTGTGCAAAAATTTGACACACACATTTTCTTAATTTCAGGCTACATCTTTGAACTGTGCACATGTCTTTTGCAAATTATGCATTGGCCAGTGGATGAAGGTTAAAAAAGAGTGCCCTAATTGTCGTATGGCCATCACATCTCAAATGCAGGCAATTGCCCTTGACAGTTACATAGATAAGATGGTAGAGCAGCTCAGTGAAGAACTTAAGATGAGACGGAAAGAATTGATTCAGCAAAGAAAAGGCAATGCTATAAAACAATAGCTCTTTAAAAAAGTTTGATAAAACACCTTAACATTTTTTTTAAAAATACCGTTTTGTTGTGAAATAATAAGGGAAGGTGAGAAATGGTTATTATTGTGTTCTTTGTTCCATTAACAGATTTTTAATCAAATTAACTATAATTTTCTTTTACAAAAAATATGTTATGAAATGATATACTTATACAGTTTAATTTTCTTGACCCTGTCAATCGGGGAACAATCAGAGTGGCCCGAATGTGTTGTGTCTTTACCCCTTTATTGTAATTATTTGGACTTACCCAATTCCAGAGTATGTGATATGGTTAGAAAGCGGGTTATTTCCTGTTTTAGATAAATATTAGTTCTCATCAGTACGAAAGAAATCAAACTTTTTAATTGCCTGTAATAATGTATTTTCCTGACTTACTTTGAGGACTGCTGTGTAGAAACGTAATCCAGGTATGAACTGAAAAAATCTAAGCATTTTGATTGGTTACTGTTTCAAAATAGCTACTTCCAGTGTTAACATTGCAATTGCTTGCTAGCCTATTTCATTGGCAATCATTGCATCAAATTTTGATATTTTATAATATATTTATTGTTTGTTGCAAAGAAAATGAAATGTACAAACAGGTACTTTTAATTTAGAGTTGCATTAATGTGACTCTAAGTTCTATAGTAAAAATTATTGATTTTTGTTAAGATCAATGTCAACAAAAACCATTCCACTGCATCAGTAAAGACAACAGGTTCAAGAATTTTGTTTTTAATTTATTAATTTCAGATGAGCAAGATAAGTTTGATGGTTTCACAGCTGGTCCTTCTAATTCAATTTCTTTTGGTGGAGCACCAGTAGCCAGAGGAGGTAGAGGGAGAACACGAGGAGCAGGCAGAGCACCAAGAAGAGGAAGAAACAGAACTCAGGCACAGACAGCAGCACTAACAACAACTGTAGCACCAACACCCATACCACCTATAATGGCAGGTTTGATTTTTTTTTAGCCTTATTTTTTTTATGTGGTTTATTGAGATAAATTATCAAACAATATGTACTGTATATATTCGCATATAGAGTGGGCCAGTAGATAGGTCACACCCTTAGTTCAGGGTTGTCAAAGTGGGTATTTGCGGATGACTAGCAGAAAGATTGCACTGTAACTGGAAAGTTACATGGCCCTTTTTAAACATAATACATTGGGTCCCCGCATAATGAGCCTAATCCATTCTGGAGCAGGTAGAGCACCTAGAAGAGGAAGAAACAGAACTCTGGCACAGACAGCAGCACTTACAACAACTGTATCACCAACACCCATACCACCAATAATGACAGGTTTGCTTAGCTTGAGGCTTTATTTTTTATTGTGTTCTGTTGAGTTAAATTATCAAACATTTTGCACTGTATACTTTTGCATATAGGGTGCGCCAGTGGATAGGTCGTACCCTTAGTTTGGGGTAGTCAAAGTGGGTATTTGTGGATGACTTGCAGATAGGGCGCACTATAATCTGGAGAGTTACATGGCCTTTTTTAATTTTACACATTGTGTCCCCGCATAATGAACCTACCTCATTCTAGAACAGCGTTTTTGTTCCAAATGCAAACAAAATTTAAAAAAAAGGTTAAAACAGGACACAAAATACAGGTTAATTTCTTGATTCTCAATACAGTTACACATATTTAGTCATTTCAAGTATAATAAAAACTTTCTTGGGCCATGCACAGTTTAAAATACAAAACTTATGCATATAATCAACAATACATTCATAGCCTGAAGTACAGAGGTATTGATACATCTCATACCTCTGCAAGATATTTTTTATCTTAGTTTTTGTAAGGACCGCCTGACAATCCAAAACAAAGAAAATATAAATCACAACTTAAAATTGTTCACCCATTTATCATGATTTATCCAAACAATGGTAGACCTGTTTACTCTAATGATTTTGAGTACAATGTACGCTTTGAGATTTCTTTTACGGTGAGACCCGACAGGACTACGATGTTAAGATTTTTTAATTTTCAGGTTTTGAAGTTTTATTACTTTCTTTAGCAGTGAATGGACCAAGAAAAACAATTGGCTGTAATTTTTTTTGATGTTGTGACCATCCTTAATTATACTACTCACACACTGAGAGGGGAGGTGGGAGTTATTGATTAAGGAGATTTTTTGCGGACAGGCGAATGGGTAGGAAATAGATGGAAGTGTCAAAAGCTATAAAAATATCACAGCATTGTTTGTAATGATGGTGATGATTGTTTTAATGTTACTGCTTTGTGTGTCACAATGAACTAGCAATGGTAATATTTAGCATAGTCACCCTAGTGACAACTGCTTTCGACCATCCTTCTTTGTATGCTGCCATGCGTGTGACAGTTTGTGAAATAATTAGGCCTATTTCATTCGCCTGAACCACTGTGATTGTTAAAACTGAGAAAACTAGGGACGTGTAAATATTTTTATTTTTATAACAGGCATTCTCAACTGTTCTCCACAGGAATGTTGGATTTTGAAATATTTTATAATATCTAGTTAGCAGCGTTTTACGTCTATTTTTAAAACTTGTAAAACAGCTCTATCTCCTCAACGATCTATCCCCTGTACAATTTTAATACTGCAACAGCTTTGTATCAAAAAACTACTTCTACAGCTTGCTGTAGTTAATTACACTATAAATATGTGAAAAGAAAAAAATCAGGCTCCTATTTGATAGGGGAAGGCAAGGACAGATGCATAGTGGACTATAGTGAGTTCTCACCAGGCTAAATATTGCAAGCTATTTAGGAAAACACTAAGCCAAACTTTGTGGTGATATTTCTATCACCTTAATAGGTCTAATCAGAAATTATGGATTTAACAGAATTTTAAGTGACAGTTTGCTCTGTTAGAGACTGTCACCATCAGGATAATTATTGCAGAAGTTATGCATTCTTTTGACCCCCCCACGCTGTCATTAGACACCCTCAGTGCGTAATATATGGATGGTCCCTTACTTTGACAAGGTGCAGCAGGGGGTATGAAAGTATATAATTTTTTTTTGCTATGGTATAGAAGTCCCATTATCAGTGTGAACTGAAAAAAAGATTAGACCAAATTTCTGTCGATCAATTTGCCATCGACGAAATTTCTTTCAAACAAATTTCTGGATACGTTTTTTCTTTAAATAGAAATTAGGTCATCAGAGCGCTGTGAGCATGCTAAAATAGCATGGATACAAGCATTAAATAAGTATTCAATCAATCAAATATCCCAGTGATATTGAGTGGATAAGTCCCAAGCCGCATCCCTGATTGTTATCAAAATTTTTGGTTAAAAAGTGCAACCTATACACGAGTATATATGGTAGTTTTAAAGCTGACCTGTGGAGTCTGAACATTTTACACCTTATCTCAAGAATACCAATATGATATCTCCTAAGGGGCCATCCACTGGGGAGAAGGGAGCTGTTGATTTCGTAGATTTTGCGTAAGCGTGTGTATGGCTGGGGGGTCCTGGCAGAAAATACATACATTTATGCACACAAAAAATAATTATTATTGTCCTGAAATCTGACTGTCCATAAATAGCCTATTTATATCTATAATGCTGTAAAAATATAAAGCAATTTTTTGTAATTGTTGTCATACTGTTGCTTTGTGGTTTCACAATTGAACAAGCTAGATATCACACTAGTAGTATGGTAGCTACAATGATATCTAGTCCACCATTTGCTTTTAAAGTAAAAACTGAGATGGTGGGGTTGTCTCCAAGAATTTGCAATTAATTTGCAAATTGATATTATTGTCATTGTTGAAAATGTTCAGGAGTCGCTTTCAGTTGCATATTTTTAAAATTAACGATGCAGAGATTTTGGAAGGGTTGTAATAAAGACAGCATTAATTAGTCTCCATCTTTATTCTTAAGTGTCTTAGTAGCAGGCCTATTTGGTAGATGGTTGCCACCTGCACTATTGATTCAATTTCTCTGTCTACTTAACCATCTTCAGCAAAAACGCTTCTTAGATATTTAAATTCTTGGTGTTGTCAGTGCATCCGACCACTAATACTTATGTCCAGTTGTTTTGGGGTACAACCTCCTGAAATGACCCCATTCTTATCTGTGCTGATTTTAAACACTTAAAGCATGCAGATAATGTTCCGGATATCAAAATGGCTCAACGACTGTTCCTTGTTGTTCATTGGTCATTTGCAAATAGCTATTTAAGTGCCTCGTGATTTAAATTGGCTTCTTTTGTTATTTTGTCAGTGTAAATGATGGCGATAGAATGCAGCCCACTCTGACTCCTGATTTTACCCCAGATCACTGAGAAAGTCTATTGGGGTTATGCACAGCACTAAGAAGACTCGTATGGAGCTTCCAGGTATTGTCAAGGAGCTGTCCTTTCACTCGGTACCCTTCAACCACATCCACGAGCTTATTCCTGTCCACCCTGTCAAAAGCTATTTCCTGGCTGACAAAAATTAGACTGAAGCTTTTATTGATATATTCACATGCTTTTTCACACATTTTCTGGAGGGAGAACATTGCATCTATGCAACCTCTTACCTTTCTGAAGCCGAATTGCTAAGAAGTGGGTCAGTTATAGCTTGTGTCTGGTTCAGGATTTTTTAAATATTGTACCTTAGTAGGAAGATGCCTAAGTGATGCAGTTTTTTTTATTCTAGTTCTTCTATAAGTGGACTAATACAGCTTTGCCAGACTTGCACCTTTCTTTTCACTCTTTTTGAAATATGATTGTGAGCCACTTGATACGTATCTCTCAACAAGCAGGGATGGCTTCTGTGGTAGTTTTATCTACACCAGCTGCCTTGTTCTTTGGACTTGTCATTATCCCATCTCAGATCACTTCAAGGATAGAAGGTTCTGTGTGCTCAGGAATAAAACTGCTTATGACATTGCTCGCATTAGCAGGATTGAGCAACTCTTTAACTCATTCTGGACGACTGTGTTAAGATACTTCATTTATTTTACCGGACAAAGGAAAGTAATTTTGTTTTGAAATTAATTTACATTTCTAAAATATTATTTTTATTTGATAAATATTCATTAATTTTAATGAATTAATTATTATGGATAAATGCATCAAGAAATCAATTATATTTATGAAAAAGATAACATTTATGGCGGGGAAAAAACAACACCACCGAAACAATCTATTTTTGGCATCTCTGACAAAATGTTAAATGTGGTCACAATGTAATAATGCACACACAGAATGAAAATGAAATAAGACAGACACATGTGTTTTTAAAAACTGAAATCATGCACAGTCACACTATCGCCAAACACATCTGACAGAACCCTCCCAAGAGGGCATTTGGTCCTAATTGTTAGGGAATGAATTTATTTTCATCTAATAGTGGGAATGCATTTTGGTCATAAATCACAGAGGTTGGTGTTGAAGGATCCCTGAGTGGCATGTAGAACCCTCCAGATGACTTTTCAAATAAATCACTCAACTCTTCTACTTAAATATTCCATAATGCATTTAACCAGTTTCTTGATAGTTTTTCTGGCGAGCACATAGTTTATTAATGTTTCTTCAGTTTGTGATTTCACCCATACACTATGCAGTCTCTTCTTTTTTTTGATGGCTATTGCTATTTTGGCCTCATTGTACAACCATTTGGTTGCCTTTGTATGACCTTGTTTAGATTTATGGGTTCCACAAATAATCTCAATGTTTTTCAAGAAGAGTATTTTTAAAGATGTACCATGGTTCATCAGCTGTCAAAGTGTTTGCAATATATCTTTATGTTCCAGTCTAGATGTGACAATTTTTCTAGTTTTCCTGGATAACTACATTCTTCTGCAGTCTGTGTATGTTGACTTTCTCCTCAGCGTAATCTTTTTGTTAAATTTAATTATTTTTAAACTTTCCACATTACCACTGGTCGATGGTCAGCAGTTGGTATTGTTCTGGAGTTTGCCATGAGCTTTCTGATAAGGAATCTGGGATGATCTTGTTAGATCATTCCTCAACGATCTGAATAACCTAGGTAAAAAAAAAAAAAAGCTTATTTTTTCCCCATTAACTCTTTATTATTAACAGCATGCTTCATAATGTAATGACTTTTTTTCTAAATGGTTACCTGCACTTTAAGTTTAATAAATGGAAAGCAGTTGGGGGGGGGGGGGGGGGGCATCAATATATTACTTAAGCTATAGAAAAAAAAATCAACTTCCTCCTCCTTTTGCATTCAAACATTTTCTACACCCCCTCTGCCTAAACACAAATAAAAAATCCCCCCTCAGCACGTTTCAATTTATTTATAATTTATAGGCAATTATGATTTACACTGCAATTAAACAGTCAGTCTAATCCTTGTTAAAAAGGATTTCACTAGTTTTCTGTGCTGTCTGTCTGATGCAGACTTAGCACATACAAGCTTTGGTTTAGCTGAACAAAACAGTTACATCAAAAATGACGTCACATACCCTAAAACATTCAAAGGAATGTCGGACTAGTCAGAATTTCAGGATATTGCATAATTTGTGCATATTTAATTAATATAATATAATATAATATATACAGTGGAACCTCTCAATATGAGTTTAATTCGTTTAAGGCTCTTACTCGTTAAGCGAAACACTCGTTAAACGAAACAATTTTTCCCATACAAATCAATGTAAAATACTATGATGGGTTCCATGCTGAAAAAATACTAATTTTGCAAAAAAAATTATTAACATTTATTCAAATAAAATTGCTTATGAATTGTTAAGGAGTGTAACAACTTGGAATACAATTTAGATTTGAAACAAAAAACATAAATAAAAATACGTAAATAAAAATATGAATTTATGACAAATAATTAATCCTTTTTAACTAGAAAACTGTCTAAAGATATTTGTTTTTGCCGACACTTCATAATTTGATGAAAATGTGTCACAGCATTATCATTGAATAAATTTGTAGCATGAATAGCCACGCTCACACCTTGATCTCGCTTTTCAATGATTTTACGTTTCATTTCAACAGTTACTTTTTCTCTTTTATGATTGTCTTCTTGTGGTTTTTTTTCGAAGACATTTTAGCATAGGTTTTTACACTTTGTACATAAAAAAAATTACGAATACTGTCTGAATACAAAATTTGTAAAAACTGGTGATCACACACGAAAACAATACGCTAACAGACAGAGTGCTAAACACAGACTATTGCAAGGGTTCTCAACCTTCCTAGTGCCGTGACCCTTTAATACAATTTCTCGTGTTATGGCGATCCCCCAGCAACCTAATTATTTTCGTTGCTACTTCATAGCTGTAAGAATATGTGTTTTCAGATAGTCTAAAGCGACCCCTGGGAAAGGGTCGCGCTACCCCCAAAGGGGTCACGACTCACAGATTGAGAACCGCTGGACTAATGCATCGGCACGGAAGTCCCGGCTCACAAATGAATGTCAGGAAAAAGGGACTTCCCCTTTCTGCGTAACTTGTTATGCACAATATTACTCGTTATGAGAGGTGCTCAAACTATAACTAAAATTTGGCAAGAAGAGAAAATCCCAACAGAATGGGAAACAGCATTAATAACCCCAATACACAAGAAAGGCCCCAAACTTCAGTGCACAAACTACAGAGGAATCTCCCTATTAAATGTTACATACAAAATACTGACGAAGCTTATTGCCAAAAGACTACAACCTTACACTGAAGAAATACTAGGTGATTACCAATGTGGATTCAGGCCTAACAGATCGACTGATTAGATTTTCACCATCAGATGCCTATTAGAGAAATGCTATGAATATAATATACCAGTACATCAACTGTATGTAGACTATAAAATGGCCTATGACAGCATCAAAAGAAACTATTTATATGAGACTCTGCAAGAGTTTGGGATACCCAACAAACTGACAAGGCTAATACATGTAACACTAAACAACTCAAAAAGCAAAATCTAGATTCAAGGAGAATATTCAAGGGAATTTCATATTAGACGAGGCCTAAGACAGGGAAACTCACTATCTTGTATGCTCTTTAACCTAACATTAGAGAGAGTTATTAGAAACATACACATTGACACTCGAGGAACGATAACAGGATACTTTCCGAGGGAACTCAAGACCCACAACCAATGGGCACACTCTACAACCAACCACTTCACTATCTTGCATATGCTGATGACATAGCACTTCTAGGGAAAAGTATTAAAGACATATCAAAATCCTTTATTGAATTAGAAGACACATCTCTACAAGCAGGGCTGGAAGTTAACAACCAAAAAACAAAATACATGACCATGATAAGAGAGGAACAAACAGATGAAACAAAATTAGAAACCAAACTTTTGAAAAAGTAAATCAATTCAAATACCTAGGATCCTTGTTAAATGAAAGAAACGAATTACTAACAGAAATAAAAGAAAGAATATCAGCCGGAAACAGGGCATACTTCAGTAGTCAGAAAATACTCAAAAGTAAAAACATTACAATAGAAACAAAGAAAACTATTTATAAAACTGTGATCAGACCAGGTGTAACATATGCAAGTAAAACTTGGACCCTTACAAAAACAGCAGAAAACCTAATAAACACATGGGAGAGGAAAGTTCTCAGGAAAATATATGGGCCAACAAAGGATGAATATGGATGGAGAATGCTGACCAACCAGGAGTCATACAGTCTATATCAGGATCCCAGGATAGTAGCAGAAATAAAAAGAGGCAGGGTAACGCTGGGCAGGACACCTAGAGAGAATACCAAATGACAGAGGAACGAAGAGGGTACATCACCAATACCCCAGAGGAAAAAGGCTCAAAGGCAGACCTAGGCTTAGGTGGATAGATGATGTAGAGAAAGATCTACAGCAGCTGAAAGTCCAAGCATGGAAAAGAAAGGCATTAGTTAGGTCTGAGTGGAAGGAAGTGGCGAGGCAGGCCAAAGCCCTACATGGGCTGTAGCGCCACAGAGATGGAAGGATGGATGAGAGGTGCTCGTTATGAGAGGTCCCACTGTATTATGTTTGTGTGTGTGTACATTCTAGCCAAAATCAACAAACCCAACTCAACATGTAAGTAATATATGAATGGCTCCTTGTCATCTGAATATGGTCAATTTATAATTTTGGGACAATGATAATTAATAATGGTGATGATGGCAGTTTGATCCAGAGGTGTGTATTGCAATTCCATTTTTAAAACAATACATTACCCGGTACTATAAAATGAGGAATTAGATTCAAGAAATTTAATTATTTCATTTGTTGCCATTAACGGACAATTGGATGATGATTCATTGAGACAGATAGTATTTGAAAGTGCCTTGTATAATTCTGCTAAAGTTACAACTAGGGTTTCTAATTTCCTAGGGTTTTGCTTATCCTTGGAAATACATGGGAAAAATAACTCTCATCCCTGGATTTTCCAAGATGAATTTAACTCTACATTAAACTGAAAGAGATGGTTTTAATAATTGCTTAATTTTCATGGTCATTTAGTTTTAGTGAATGAAAAATGAATTTAAGGTTAATTGAGAGGTTGGTCACTTGCTACTGGTTGCTTCATTTCCCCCTGTTTCTCCTTAGTTATAGAAAACTTGTAATTTAATAGAATTAATAGTAGTGTTGATTTTCCGAATGTCACTTATCTAAAACATCCTCTCTTAGTTTTTATTATTATTGTGTGCAATATGCATGAGCATTTCCCTAACAACACTGGAAAACAATTCCAACCCTTGTTGCAGGATTCGGGTAAAATCTAAAAACATATTGTCAATGCAGTAACCAGAATGGTATGATATTAAAACTTTTAAATTAAAATATAAATATAATATTGAATACACGTTTGCAAAGACATAGTAACATCAAATTTTATTTTAAGCTCCATCCAGTTTTTGATTTTTGGATACAACCTCTTTTTGCTGAAAAAATTCCCTTACTGGTTTTTGACATCAATCAGATACATGGAATAGTATAGTTATTACACTGTACCATAAAGTACTGTAAGTGTATATAGAAAGAGCCATAGCGTGGGCTTCAGATTTGTAAGGGGCCTAAAGGTGTGACAGAGACATGGAAAATATTAAACTACCAGTATCAACTTTGATACAGGGGACAAAAAACTGAAAAAGGTCAGGGAGTATCATCTAACAGTGGTGTGTGGATCTGTTTATTGTGCAATCTAGTGACTTTTTAATGAAGGTGGTTCTCCTGAAAATAAAATTTAATTTTGTTTCTACTAACGTGATAAATCTATGTATGTCATTTCACTTCCAGCAGCAGCAGCAACAGTAGAAAATCCCATAGAGCTCAGCGATGACAGTGAGAGTGAGACCTCTAACAGCAGTGATTTTCCCTATGACTTTGTAAGAGGTGTGCATCATGATGATGACATCGATTTGGAAGATATGGAGATGACAGATAGTGATTCTTTGGAAGGAGACCCAAGAGTTTACTATGGTGGATATGGTCGTTGTTACAACTGTGGTCAGTAAAGTTTCAGTTTTGAAAACAAGAAAAATATTTTTGGGTTAAAATGTTATTACTTACTTTAAGAGCTTTGTATTTGTTCTAAATGCATCTTTTCAGAAAATCATTTTAAAATCCTTTTAGTGCTCTAATAATATAATTTTTTTTATTGGAGTTTATCTAAATCACTAACAAAAAAAAATCATGGATTTTAATGTACATTCATTCAATGTTGTTTCAGGTTTACGAGGGCACTGGGCAAATGGATGTCCTAACTGAGACTGAGAGTATTTTTTCATGTTGTTTTGCTGTTTTTAGAAACATTAAGCACTATTCCACTTCTGGAATTTTTGCTTTAACTTAATTTGCATTCTGCTTAGCATGGTTGTTTCTAATAAAATCCTGTGATGAGATCATTTTGCCTTATTGCTATTTTAAGTGAGAAATATGACCTCAGTATCCCGTCATCAATTCTGATTGACACTAACATTAACATCAGTTGCAAAATGATCTAATATCAATTGCCAAAGTAAGATTGATGGAAAGTTATGATGGCTTGAAAAATGCTTGTGCTGTATACCAAAAGATGATAGAAATGGTGTCATTTTGGAGTTACATATTGTTGATCTTAGCCTTACTACAGAGCTCCCATTGTTATAAATAAATCTCAATATAAAAACATCATTGTTGTTGTAGTTTCACCTTTTCTTATTTAAAAAGTCAAATTAATAGTAAGCTTAGTATTGATATACTATTAATATTTTTTTTTAAAAGTGCTTAATAATCTCATATTTGCTCCAAACAATTGCTCCAAACAATTGCTCCAAACAACTACCCTAAGCTATTCATATTATCTCAGATCAGACATTTTAGGATATTTACTTGGCACAATATCTTATTTCTTGCAATTCATTTACCACAGTACATTACAAATATAGAGTCCCCTCAATGTGCTATACCAGACATAACATTATAAATAAAGCAATAAAATTCACTTAGAAACACTCATTTTAAAAAAGAAAATAGGGTATTAATTACTATCAAAAACTGAGATGACACTAACAATGCCCATAGTGTTGATATTTATTTATTTGAGAATTGCATTTAAGAGTGCATGAGTATAGATATGTAAAAATTGTGCATGAACTTAATACTGCTAGAGGTGAAAGTCAATCTTAATTTTGTGAAATGGTTGTTTCACAAACTTGGTGATTGCTCAACATGTAATTTAATGGTAATAAAAACAGTAATTATAATTAAGGTGCAATCATAATTAATCACACTGCATTTTATCATTATACCCTTTTCAGTAATTATAATAAAAATTGATGTCAATCTCACATTGGAAATACTGGTTTATTTGATATCATATATTTATCTATAATAAAGTATTTATAAAGGATGTTTGACTTTGTCTACTAAGTGTTGGTAAGGTAAGGGACTAGTGAATAGTGTTAAGAATCAAAATACAATACTTCTGATGGTTGTGCTGTTTTTGTACCAGTGTGTCCTAAAAAAAATATTCAGTTTCTACAGACGTTTGATGTTTAAAACTTCAGGGATCAATTTAGACAACTAAAATAATATTGAAGTTAGTTTCAAATTCTTAAAATGGTTTATACAGCATCAGCATCACGCCTGAACATTAGTTCACTCTGGTACTTAGAAGTTTCATGATGAAAATCAGGTCGCAGAAGCTCAGCTCTTTGTGGAATTTTAATCTTCCCTTGAACTCTGATCCAATCCTCAGAATTGTAGTGCATTTGTTCTCTTTTTTCTAAGAAGAGGTTTTCATCATGCTCGTAGTTAGGGACAGCTCCAAAGCATGCATTCTTAAAAATATAAATATTTTAAATGATGATATATTCTGCTGCATCTATAAAAAACTAAAAGTTTAAGTTAATTTTAGCAAGAGGTTTTTCAGTTTATAAAGCATATTCAATTTTAAACTTTAATATGTGTGTAGTGTAAACATTTTATCATCTATGGGTACCCTATTACTATTAAGGAAAAACATAACATTTTTTATTAGCCATTTTGTCTGTGTAATATACTCATAAAATAAAATTATATATATACTTGTTTAAAATAAAATGAAGGTATGAATATTAATATGCCTATTCTGTTGCTACCCAAATGAATTATGATGCTGAAACATGAAGAATGTGCATTTGCCTAATAGTAATAGAGATATTTTAAAAAGGATTTCAGCTACTGGTTAAATTAAATGTTAACTTGTTTCTTTATATATGTGCAGCTTGCATGATGTTTTTGAAATCTTGCAAATAAAATTTAAGAACAAGGTATGCTAAACTTGAATTAATAGACAGGACAAAAGATTTGGACGTTTCGGCTTAGAGCCTTTATCGGGAATATAGTTAATGGACTGCATTCAAGTTGTGTAAAAGAAATATAAGAACAAGGTATGCTAGACTTGAATTCATGGACAGGACAAAAGATTTTGATGTTTTGGCTTACAACCTTCATCAGAAAACAAGACAAAAAGAAGTTTTCAAAATGTATCTTAAAGATATCTGCCTATATATAAATATACATATTATATCAAATAAAAATTAATAAACCTTTGTTATTATGCTTCTATTTGGCATATCAGTTTTCCATTCTTGTACATACAGCTTTGGTATGATTGGATGCGATCTTGAATATTCTGGAACTCTGAATATATAGGTATATGAAAAGAAGTTACATTGCTAGTCATTTTAATTTTTAATATTTGAATAGTGAATTAAAATGTAGAAGATTATTGTAATTTTGTGAAATAGTCAAAGCAGTTAACAAGCAAGAGCAAAATAAATATAGACTTTCCATTAATGTTGAATATTTCATATACTATTACCGGTATTACTATTAATAATTCATAGTTAAAGCCATAACGTAATTTGATATACCCTGTAATAATTTATTGGTGAAGCTAATAACATTGATCATAAATTACTTAACATGACATGACTCAGCAAATGTAAAATGCCAGATATAGTCATTAAAATTTGCAGATATAGTATACTGTTTAAAACTATTTAAAATGCATAAGATAGCCTAGCCTACAATTACTAAACTTAGTAATAATTAAAAAGGAAAACCTAGATGTGTACGAAATAGATCAAATAAATTAATTACACTCATAAACAAATGCATATACAAAAATTAACAATTCTTGGGTGTCATTATGACATAGACTGATCACTGATAATAAGCAAATGTATTTTTAAAAAAACAAAAAACTGTCCATATTTCTGTCAAATTTATAATAGGAATTGTCAAGTCTTTGCAGTTGAATGTTAGTCCTAAGAATTTCTAAGAGTTCAACTATAGACTATAGCATAAAAAATAGAGGGTAACACAGAAAAATTTTTTCCCTTGAAGTTGTTATGTTAGTTATAATACTAACTGACACTAAATTATGCATTTTTGGAACTTCTGTTTCATACATAAGTTATGATTTTTAATTTAAATTATCTGTGTTTCTTGTTTTTTTCATTGTCTGCTGAAGAAGGCATCTAGCTGAAATGTCCCTGTAATTGTCCTGTCTTTTCTTTTCAAGCCTAAACATATCTTGTTCCACTATTTACATGTATTTTTTTTCAAGTAAACATTTTTTTTAGAGTAAAGGATTTGATCAAACTCTGGCTAAGATATCGCTTCTTAGCCATAGTGTAGCTCCATAAAAATCAAAATAAGTTATAATATATCTATTACTGGTAAAGCAAATTTATAAATTAATCTTAAAATTGATATTTTTTTAGTCAGTCTACTTATCTCTAATAAATTGGAATGCCAGATGCTATATTTTGCCCCCCCCCCTCCTTTTTTTTTTTGGAAAGTGTATAGTATATTTAAAGATATTGTAATTGTAGACAGTGATCGACAACATGTAATATAAATATAATGTTTGATTTGTTTAAAATTTTCTTTTTTTTCTGAAAATTTGACATGTCATTAGAAAAGGACCCCTAAATGTAATTAATAATTATCTACACCTTCCAAAATATTTGAGTGGAACACAGTTAGTCAAAGTTGAACTTCTGTTGACAGATTCCTCAACTATCAGTTTTTATCAGTTCTAACATTTATTTACCTTAATTTTGTTAAAGAATGATTATGCAAAAGAGAATATTTAGGAGTAATTGGAGTCTAAGAAATCTAGATATGTGTAAAAAGATATACAAATATTTTAAAAGAGCATATACCTTCTGGTGCAAAAGCTTACCTCTTAAACTTGCTACTATCCCTTTAATAAAATTTTAATTAAATTATTAATAATATTAAAACAAAATAATTATTCTACATTCAGTCAGGATAACAAGGTACAACTTCACAATTAAAACCAACTGACTGGCCCAAGCCATTCATAACATCACAAACAAAATATATTGATGTGCTAGTTAGATGTTTGATAAAAATAAGTTTCAATTATTGCAACATTAACACAAAGGGCAGCGCCAAAGAAAAAAGTGGCAACAGCGGCAAAACCTGAAAATATAAACCCTCAATATGTAGAAATGGAGATGCCTGGCGCCCCTTTTCTTTGTGAAGTACATGTGATTATATTCTTTCATTCACTATCTTAAGACAATTTTAACGCCACCCCCCCCCCCAACCTGTTGGTACCCAGGTCAAGTGCCCCGTCACCTTCCCCCTACCCCACTTTGGCACAACCCTGTCAAACAATTATTACATGTGATTATATTCTTTCATTCACTATCTTAAAACAATTTTAACGCCCCCCCCCCCCCCCAACCTGTTGGTACCCAGGTCAAGTGCCCCGTCACCTTCCCCCTACCCCACTTTGGCACAACCCTGTCAAACAATTATACATTTCTATATAAAGTTATAGTTTCATAAAATTTCAAAGTATTTGCATAGATTAGAGGTTCTTAGACTAGGGATAGCAAAGATCCAAGAGATACCAAGAACCTGTGTGTAGTTAACTGTACACTGATATTTTGATTGATTATTAAGTAATTTGTTCAATGAGTGACAACATATTTGGAGCAGAAGAATGTTAAAAGTGTCCAGTAGTTCTAAAGGTGGTTATTATGGTCAAGGTTTCATTTAGATTTACTGATAGTTCAGAAAGAATGACATTTTTAATAAGAAGTTGCTTTTTCAAAGATAAACATTTTCACACTTCTCTGAACGCAGGTCCCAAATGTCTAATAGTGTAATTTTCTGATTGAATGTATTTGTCTTGCAGAGTATTTTCTCATAATAATATAATTTAAACAATAGCATTGTCGGTAGACCACAAGCCTGGCTCAAATTGGACATAATGTTTTTCCAGGAAACATTCTGCAATCTTACGACACAACGCCAAAAGCACTGTATGACAGCATGCTTTGGTTAGTATAGTTTGCTGAACACCATCTCATAAATGTCTGCATCTCATGTCTTTAGTCCAAAGTGCTGAGTCACCTGATGGATTTTCATGGATATGCCATCCGGCTATATGACATGAAGTATATGCAAACTGTAGGCTTAGCACACAAAAAATTGTCATAATGAATTATTTTGGGTTTATGAAGTGAAATGCAAGCATAACATGCTTTTTAAAAGCATTGAAATTTGGGACACCATTGTCAACTACAAAGTTGGGACACCAGTGTCAACTACAAGAACTTTTTCCAAACTGAGCGTCACATTTGGTTTCAAGTTCAGCAAGGTGGAACATGACTTGGCCTGTTCTTCAAGCTACCTGTGTGCTTTTCTGAGCTTTAATCACAAAGAAAACGTTTTGGACAGTAATTGAAGTTGTAGAGTGACAATAATCACACTTGACCATGTACTTGGTAATACATCATTGAACTGCCAAAGAAACTGCTCATTTGATGCATTTTACTACTACTAGTGTTTGGAATTTGGGGCCAACTTTGGAGGCGTGCCAACATTTCTATAAAGCTTGCTTCTATTAATGCCATTACTCCATCTGCTTTATCAACCAATACAAGTAATACAACATACACATATCTTGAACCATTTTTCAAAAAAATTACCAAGTCAACAATATGCCCTATATCTAGTAATGATGCTCATTGGGTATAACTAATTATAATTATAATACTTTATATCCAATGAGCAATGAGAGGTAGATCTAACCTTGCGACTTTTGTGTAACTATTTTCATGAGTCCACAAATCGCAAATTCACAAATTATGTTTGACAGTTGAGTCAGTCGGCGAAAACTCTGGACAGTTGTTAAAAATTCAATTTTTTTTTTTTACAAAATGCAATACGTTTAAAAGAAAGGGGCTAAAACTAAACAGGTTTTAAACTTTATAATAAGTGACTCGGACTCAGTGTGATTGAGTGTGACACAATTGACACAATAAAAAATAAACTGTAATTTAATGCATTTTTAAAATAGAAATTTAAGGCATTGAAAATATACTTTTAAAATAACCAAAATTTATTTACAGCTTGTATTTTCACATCTTTTCGATAATTTACCTTGGGGTGCTATATGTAAACAAAGTTTTACCGAATTGGTTGGTAATTGGTACTCGTCTTTGCTTGTCACCAGCCATTTTAAAACAACCTGGTTTCCAACGGACGATTCTCGGTCTCGTTACTGGGATCTCGTTCGCTGGTGTTTTGTTATCATTGAAAGATTGTAAATAAAAATAGAGTATTCGATACTTAATCTTACAAAAAGAATTTCATAAAGCTTTTTTAACGGTGGCGATATTTAGCCCAAAAGTATTATGCCTTTTAAAATACATTAATAATAATACTGTACGACAAATTATAAAGTTTCTCATTCAACTTAGCCAATAATTAAGAATAATTCCTTATGTTGGCCTTAATCTAGAATAACGTGCAACAATATTAATTTGAGTGTTGAATGAGCTCAGTATCAAACAATAATTACCATTTCAGTTTGAGCAGAGCTGTCCTGTCGTAATAATTTTAACTTGTATTTTTTAAAATTTAATTTTACCTTTGAGTAGCAGTAAATACGAACGCAAATTAAATGATAACTTTGAAAGAAGGGGTCCCAAAACTGAAAAATCTCCAGGGCTTTAAATATTTCACAATATTTACTCTGTTGCACTATTTTCCTCTCGCGAAATCCTCCATAAATTTAGTGCAGTCAAGCTCAGCACCTAATTGTTCAAATTCAATAGTTATCTTATGTGCCATAGCTAAGTCTAAATATGATTCTATAAGCTTCAAATTAGAGAAGCTGCGCTGTCCGTTTTCAGGCACTGAAATGTAGTTTCGTAAAGTTACCATCACAGACATACTAAAAAAAAGAGTGGTTGGGGGGGGGGGGTGTCACTGACACACCATTTTTACATCTGAAATTAAAACATGCAATTTATACACTATTGACTAGCGTCAAATCTATAAAATCGAATAGTATATGAGAGTTCTCCTCACTCTTCAACAAAATGTAAAACTTTTCATTCTCACGTTGATGGGTGGGCCTTTAGGGGCCATCCATAAATGACGTCATGCGTCTAAAAAAAAAAGGGGGGGGGGGAGGGGGTCAGATTTTTGTGACGATGTGTGACGAGGGGGGAGGGCCTCAAGTCACGTGACGTCACGTGAACAGCACAACGTTGCAGTAAAGAATTTCACTTCATAACACTAAATTACAGGCAGTTTTAACATTATTTTTAAAAAAAAAGTATTATTATTATTATTTTATTTAAAACTACTACCACTGAGAGAATCAGTACAGTAGGTATGCGAGGTCCCAAGAATGGCCTCTGATCAAGTTACAGGACGCCCAGTAGTAGGAGAATCGGAATGTGGCAGTTACAATGACAGTCGTGAGAATTTATGGCTAAATCTGGACACGGGAAGTGGGATGGAGCGGGAAAAAAAGGTTGACCGCGGGGTGTATGGGGGGGGGTATCTTAGTAGCCTAAATACTCTAGGAGTAGGGCAGGGATTCTTAACCTTTTTGCAGCATTGCAGGCCCACTCAGTTTTAAACATCCCTCCCCAACCGTATAAATTACATTGTAATAAAATGTAAAATAATTAAATAATTTAGTTATCCTAGTTTTGTTTCTTTAATTAACTTTTTATAAACAGGGGGAAAAAATTACCATTACACGCAATGCGCCAATGAAATTCATTATCGACAGCTGCTAAACAAAATCCATAAAAACGTGCTTTTTTTTTTTTTTTTTTTAAGGTGCAACAACTAGCAATCGCAGCAACTAGAGTCAGTGGCGTAGCTAGTGTTGGTGTCAAACGGCAAGATAAGCTCGTGGTGTCACCCCCCCCCTTTTTTTAACGATGTATTTCTTCTTGTTAAACTTTGTCCACAGTGTAAGAAATACAAGAACAAAAACAAATTAATTGAAGGCCAGGGGGTAACTGTATTTAAGAACTGCAACGTTTTTAGAATCGCCCAATGTTATCAAAGGATAGTTGTATTCCCCAGAAGTTAAAAATAACTTCCTGCCACTTACAAAAGTTACCGAACACTTCATTCGGCGATGAAACATGCCATATAATAAGGTAACCTCATTGCTGACGCATCAACCTTGAACTTTTAATATTAACGAAACACGCATTTTGATTGGTTACAAGGGTGGAAATGTACATGTCATCTGTTATCCTTTTATGAATTTCGGTTAGACCGATCAGTGTGTGCTCTGTAATTACCCTAGCCTTCAATTTGGTGTCACCCCCTGAGATGGTGTCGACCGGTGCGGTCCGCACCCCCTAGCTACGCTACTGAATACAATTTGTTGGTCTTCCACACCTCAAGGCTGAGGAGGTACTTGTACCCCTGGTTAAGAACCACTGACCTAGTGAAATATTTCTGACACGGGTGCAGTAATTTGCTATCCATGGGAGGCACATTTCTTAAGGCAAGGCACTTAAGGAGTTTTAAAGGACAGTAGTGGACACAGGGACTTTTTATAGGGGGGGGGGGTGCAGAGATTTTCGACGTTATATTTGAGGGGGGCAGGGGCCTAACTTTTTATGACGATTTGTGACGATGGGGGTAGGGCGGGGGTAAAAAATCAGCAAAATTTGCGTGACGTCATTTATGGTTTTATAGGGGGGGGGGGTGCAGAGATTTTCGACGTTATATTTGTGGGGGGCAGGGGTCTAACTTTTTATGACGATTTGTGACGATGGGGGTAGGGCGGGGGTAAAAAATCAGCAAAATTTGCGTGACGTCATTTATGGATGGCCCCCTTATGACAGCGTGTGGGCTAAACATTTTTAAAAAAAAACAAACTTTTAGACGGCTCTAAGGGTAATCATGCAGTTTTTATAATAATTCAAAGACAAAGAAGAATTATGTTTATATTTGTCTAAAATTCAGTCGGGGAGCAAATAGATATAATATTATCCCTCCCCTAAAGATTAAAGTCCTGCTTCTTTAAGTCTACCCGTACTATTCACATATTTAAGTGTCGGTGTGGACCATTTCAACATCTAAAACATGAGTACAACTACTCTTGGTATCAAAATAACCACATTCATCATTCCAAAATGGCGTCGAATTAACACAAATACTAGGAATATTTGCTGAAGCCTGTTGATGATAAACAACTGATAGTTAGTATTGAAAACAATTCTAACAAATTAATAGCAACCTGTCTTATTGACTATTGGTAAAGTAGAATAAACTTATTGACCCTAACTGCTATCATGTTGGGGTCCCTGTAATGAAAGTTACGGCAAGTTACTGTCACTACTACTACTACTACTGTCAGTACAGCAGAGTGTTGGGCACTGATAGATTTTTGTTAGAGCCTATTTTACATTTTAGGTTTGAAGATTTATGTTCAAGTTTGGGAGGGGGGACTATATTTAAGTTTGAAAATTATGCATGATTTAGGCATACTCATACGTCCGGTAAATTAAGCATTCAGGTTAGGTCTAGACTAGATACTTCGATGAAAGAAGGGAGACTACTATTTTTTTTGTATCGGAAATGGGCGTCGGCGCCGAAAAATCCGAGTTTTTAATTTTCCGATGTGTGTGTCTATTTATTATTAAATTAGTTCTTTCCACATATATTTGAGTTCCGTTTCCGGCCTTATAATTTGGAAGACATCTTGGCCTACATTTCTAGCCAGCTATTTTGCTTTTTTCAATCGACCTTTATTTTGAAAATCTTTGGTATATATAAGGCATCTTCGCATACAAAATTTTTTGTGAAATAATAAGATAAGGTCCTTTTTGATTAAATCTGTATGAGCATTAGATATTGATCTATATCTGTGCCAAGTTTCATTGATGTAGGTCGTGTCTCACGTTTGTTACACTTGTCACAGTGACCCATATCACCATAAGGTGGCTCAGCCTAATTTCGACATGGCGTGGGCCACGCCCCCTTTTTAATGGCGGAAGTTGCCGATACTTAGGAAATATTTAATTATTACCACTATATACATCAAAATATTTTATATTTTGTGTTTCAGAATGCATTTTGAAGACATTTAAACTGGAAATGTTTTAATTTGAGCTTTAAAAACCCTGCAGAGTCCATATTATAAATGATCAGAATTTTCCCTGTGCAACACGTTGTCATTGGCAACCATTCACAGCCACTTGCATAACGGCTACGTCGTAGTACTATCTCAGAGTTTCATTCATAAGAGTTTGCCGTGTGCAAAAGCTATTAAACCATTGGTCAGGGAAAGCTTTTATTAATTATTCATGTGCCAAAGTTGAAAGTTTAAAATAAGTCGACCCTAAACAGTATTTTAGTGATAAGGGAATGCTTTGCCTTATATAAACTATATAGTCATTGCGCATGACGCGATCAGTGGAATGAGGTCACAGAATGTGGAGATGCAGTCTATGTTAAAAAATGACAAACCAAGTCGTACTTTAAAAATTCATAACTTTAAAACTACAACAGCTAAAAATATGATTTTGGTGTTATAATTATGTTTAAAATTAGCTCTATTCAACTGTGCCATTGGTTTATTTTTAAAAAATGTTAACATTTTTGACCAAAGTATCTAGTCTAGACTGTCTAGAGTCTAGGAGTTGTAGAATTCAGTCAATTTAGATTGAAGTTTTTTTGTGAAAAAATGTGTTCATTCAGAATTTAGTTTGCTTAATTTTTGCTCATTTTTAACATTTGTTTTTTCTTGCCAAAATATGTTACACAGGGGTGCCACTTTTCCGGGTTATCCCGGAATTCCCCGGATTCGTGAGGCTAAATATTTATAATTTTTCAGTTCCGGATTCGCGAGTTTTTATATTCTCTCGTTCCGGATTCGCCTGTTCAATATATTCAAATACGGGTTCTGTTTTTTTTTTTTTATCAACATGTAACAGAATGCGCGAAAAACTGGGAAAATTCCTTGAAAATGGACGTTAATTGCTGATCTCGTCTATTTTTAGCATTTCTGTTGCCAGAGAGCTAGTGGTTTCCCCTTGCACATGTGCTTTGACCTCTACACTTTTCGAGTAACGTACTACTTTGATAGACCAGAAATGTTTATTTTCTGTTCACATCGCCGATCCAGAGATATTTGAAGTGTTTGGGTAAGCAAAGTGTAAAATTTTGTAAATATTTTTTTTAATTTAGTTTTTAATTTTTGGGTAACCATTATAAAAACACTTGTCCAAGACTAAGCTTAGCGTACTTTGTTATGTTTTACTGTATGCAGGCGACATGTATTTTTTATAGAAGAGCTAGGCGGCGTTTAAAGACTTCTAAGTTAACTTTACATTTCATTACGGAGTAAGCCTTCTTATTTTAAATAGGCTAATATGATTAAGTTATTTTTATCCCTTCAGTAGTTAGCCTGACATAACTGTATTTAGTTATTCTTTATTTATTAGTTATGCACTCCTGTGTTCTGACTGTGGGTATACTTTACGGACGGTAATTCTACTATTACTATTACTATTATTCATATGGCTCTGTTGCCGTAGTTTAGTACTGGTATAATATAGTCTATATGATTATTATGTATGCCTTACTATAAATTATAAATCTAATATGATAATATATTTTATTTTGTTTCACTATTCAGGATCTAGGCTCAATAAAATAATGTAATGCCCAACAGTTCCTTTAACTTTAAAGAACTGATGGGCATTACAGTTACAGCAATCATGATTGAATAAGTCATCAGTGCTATACTATGCTGGAAATATTGATATCAAGTATTAAAGGGGAAAATGTCTGAGTCAATCATCTGATGATACCAGCTTTATCACCTATCTTAGGTGTCCACTTCTGTAACTTCTCAATTATGAAATTTATGTGTCAAACTATGAAACTCTCACACTTGGAGGATTTTATAGACACTAAAATGTGTTGACTCAAACTATCCATTTTCATCATAAAGAAGAGAACATGAACTCCATATAAGAAAAGATGCTTTCAGCTTGTGGTAGCTAGCTATACGTTTGTTCTAAAATGTCCAGATAACCCATTGCAAAAGTTGACTTTTCAAGTCTGAGTAAATTGAAAAATTGCGATTGCTAGGAAATTTAATAAATATTTACGTGTATACACCTTAATTGTTTAATTTTGTTCATTTGTGATGTATCTCAATGTTTTATTTCATAATTTCATGCTTGTTTTTATATTAATCAACAAAAACGCTGCATTGCGATAATCAGGAATTTTGAGTTTCATTAAGTTTCAGAGATTGAAAAATTTGTAAATGAAGTTTCAGGTTTCAAGACATTTTTAGAAAGGGATTTCAGGGTTCACAGCTTTCAGTGAGTGGCATCCCTGATGTTACATTTTTTAAACTTTTGTCCATTCATTGTTAAATGGTTCAAATCTTACCATTTTCATGCAATAAGACAATAGAAGTTTCAAAAAATGTATTTAAAAAAAATAGCCCATTCATTCTCATCAGTTTTGCATCACTTTTTTTTAATTAGACTTGACTACTTTTTTTTTTTTTCACACAGCCTGCCATTTTTATTGCCATGAATGACACGTCTGTAGTCATTGCAATAAAGATGAGGGCAGTGTGAAAAAAGTAGAGCAAAACGTTGTAGAACAGGGGGGGTGGGGGGTTGTCAAGCACAAATTTACCGAAGCTCATTTCTCCAATAATTTAAAATAGGCTTACATACACATATATACCTAGCAGTAAGGCTGGGAATGTCTTCCACTGTATTAAATGTTGGAGGTTCTCCAGGTTCCATATTCAAAAGATTTTTTTTTTGGCTCTGTACTTAATTGATTCAAGTTTTTCTTGGTCTCTCCTCCCCATTACATTTTGTTGAAATGTACTGTGACATGGTGTCATGATTGAAATTAATGGCACACTGGTACTTCTTTTTTCAGCCTATTAATATAAAGCATTTTTAACGATGTGGGCGAATTTTCAGCAAGGATAAATTTCTTTTACATAAAATAAAAAAAGAATATAAGTGAAAATATGAAGGACGACCACTTTGTAAACAAGTACACTTGAATTTCATATAAGACATTCATAACTTTTGAACCACTTGAGCTAGAAAGTTGGTCTTGTTGTCTTTTGAACAATTTAATGGGTTCTGTGGTAAATAATAGGGTTACTGGAAATTTGATTGAAAGAAATTTCGTCGACGGTAAAGTGATCGAACGGAAATGTAGTCTAATTTTTTTTTCAGTTAACACGTTTTGATACCATTATACTATATAGTAAAACAAAATGATGTGTTCCAAAAGAAATTTGAAGAAAAATTTTAACATAAAAACTGAATAAAAGATTCTACCAAATTTCCGTTAGATCAAATTACCGTCTATCAATTTACCGTTGTTGAAATTTCTTTCGATCAAATTTCCGGATACAAAATAATACAGCCTATTTTGCTTTCTCCAGCTTATTTTCTATACTAACATCACGTCTTATTGCTCTGATTTTATTAACAAATTTAAAAAAAAAATCAATTAAATTATTTATTACCATAAATTTTTAAAAATTTTATTTATTAACATTTAAAATTTTTATTTTTTATTGAAATAAGGTTGATGAACAGAAAATACAATTTGGTGTAAAGGCTAAGGAACTCTCTTCTTCTGGGGAAAATGCAATTCAATCACCAGAAAAATAAATTCACCCTATGAAGCAAAGAGAATGAAATATGAAAAACTCAGTTATTGTTAATGGTGCTTAACTGATCTAGTTTTATCTGAAGATCATTTTAATCAGTTGGTCCAGGTAAAGTACAATGCACTGTAACCTTGCATACCAAAAATATATTTGCTTACATTTACATATTAATGTTTGAAGATTAATTAAATCAATTTGATTTAAAGTCAACTGCTTTTTGCTCTGCTCATTATCTTTTGAGCTTTAATAGCCAAAAGTAAATTTATAATAATAATGCCTTCTTTCAAAATTATATAGACAGGCAGAGTATAAGCTTTTGTATCTATTTTTTTATTGGACCGTTAACCACCCTGTAATACCTTTTTGTTGTAACAGATTGACATGTCATTTAAATCAACTAAGATTCTTAACATTTTAGAAAAAAACAATTATATATTATATATACAGCGGGGCTAGGAATCCAAATTTATACTTAATCAGTTCCAGAACCCCATTTGAGTACCAAATCGTTTTCCCCACACATTTTTGTCCCTTTTTTAATTGATAGAAACTGGATTAATCCATTCCTGGTCCAACAAACTCAAAGAATCCCAGTCCCTTTCTTAAAGTTCTTGAATCACCCCTCACAGGTGTCCTCTTCTTTTCCTCACTAAACTTTTATGAACCCATTGCAAATACACTAACTTTTTTCAAAATTAATCAAAAATAACAAAAAGGGCACACAAGTATAAAATTAGCAGTGAAAATAAGATGAGATGCTTTTACTACAGCTTTTGACAATGAACTGAATGACAAAGCTTATAGTTAGTCAGAGTGCAGAGGAAATGTACACTAAAAAAAACATCCAAAGAACATGCTGGATTCCAAAGCAGCATTCAGATTCAAGTTGTTTGAATTCTAGGGCCCCACTGTATAATGATCTTAGCTTTACTTTATTCAAACCAAATTCCTTTTCTTCAGATTTTTATGGAGACCAAATGGAGAACATCATTGTAAAAGATTTTGAAAACTTGAAGGTTTTTGCTCAACGTAATTTTATAATGGATGAGCTGGTCCAAGATCTTACAACAGCCTTAGAAGAAACTGCCAATGTAGGTAGACCTGGAACATCACAGGCTGAAGGTGCTAATTCAAGCACATATCCTAGGCGATATGTGAAGAAACGAAGAGGATTAAGACGACCTGCTGCTAATAATTATTACTGGAAGCGGGGCACAATTAGTGAAGCTTCAGAAAGTAGTGTTGATGAGCACCCTATTAGGGACTATGCTGGAAATGTGATCCATAGTGACTCTGATGATTTGGCAGCATGCCAACGTATTCCCAAGTTGACTGTTCCATTAGTGGATCCAGTGCCCCCTGTGGAATCTGACTCTTTCACCGAAAATCTGTCACCACTAAGGCCACAGAGAAGAAGACGAAAATTCAAAACTATGGCTGTGGATTCATCTCCCTTGACTGATCATATTCCTTCAGATGCAGATTCTGCTTCTGGTGACAAGCAGCTTGGAAGAAGGAAAGAAGAATCACCAGCTGGTGGTGTTGATAAACCAAATTACTCTGGTTTAAAGGGTTCCATACCTGGTTCTTATGCATCACACTCTCATGCAGTAACTGCAGGGAAAAGGAAGAGAAGCAGTAAAAGTCGCACAGATTACAACTTTTGTCCTAACAGGGATTTTCCCTCACATGGAGTTTCCTCAAACATGGATAGAATGGAAATAGCTAGCATTTCACAGTAAGAAAAGTTATTTAAAAAACGTTTCAACACCTGTTTCAGCACAATGCATCATTCTCACCATTATTTAGTTAAACATTTTATTATTTTCAAAGTGGCACATCATGCATTTAAAAAAACAAAAAAAACTTGTCCTTTGGGGCTAAGGTTAGACAAAAATTATTTTCGTACCTGTTAAATACATTAATTAATAATAATTATCATTATAACTTCATGAAAGTCTGCACTTTGGGAATAAGGAATTAAAAAAAAAGACATTCACACCAAGTGCTTTGATCTTCTGATGTATTTGATTCAGTCTAGGGGTGTTATCACTTTGATAAGGATTCAGTGCTTTTAAAAGGTTATATTTTTTTTTTTGTAGGGAAAGTTCTCTCAGTAGTAGTGAATTTGATAGTGATTTGAATGCCAACAATGAAGACACACGAGAAGGTAAGTCAAATATATATATTATTTGTGGTAAGTTTGTGATAGTTGTTTTATTACTTAAGCAATCTCGTTTCAATGTTATGAATATTTGATCAGCAAAGAGAAGAGAAATAATCTACCTATATAGAGCAATATATTTTTTGTTTAACCATCTCTAAATTTTGTGGTTCAATTATTTGTATACTTTGATTCTTATTTTTATCTTTGGCAGCTGATGATGAACAAAGTGATTTTTTTCATGAGCCTGGACCTGCATGTGGAATACCAGATATAGTTCCTTGGTGGGAAAATGAACGGGTAACAGATGAACCACTGCGAATTGATTCTGACTTTGAAAAAATACTAACTGGAACATTTGCACACCTACCAAAATTCTCTAATCAAAGCTTTAAGGCCAGAGTGGGGAAGCTAATGTCGGGGGTAATGTTTATCATCTGGATGACTATCTTCCTTATTACGGCATTTAAAAGTTGTGTCAGAAATGTTTGAAATTTAATAACATATACAGTGCCAGTGGAGAATTTCAGCACTGATAATACATTTCCTTTCAATACCAATGAAGCTGTAAACCTCAGATATGAAAGGGAAAATAGTATCTTATTTGAAATAAAAATGTTAGATCTCAATGATGTTGTAATTATTTATATTTCCCTGTAAAGTTTAAAGTCCTTTTATCTCTGTAACTTGAAAAACACACTGACCTAGTAAGGTTGGATTTACCTATATATCTGAAAAACTTGTTTTAAAAAAATTATTGAATTTCCTAAAACAGCTAAAATAATGCCTTGGTATCGAAAGGGAATTTCACAAGGAACAACATTGATCCTTTAAGCAGGCATGAGCAAACATTTTTGTTCCAAAGCCATATGAATTTTTGAGAGGATGCTAGCGAGTTGTACAAAGAACATAACATAATTTCATATTAAAAAATAATACTACAAACTTAATTTTCATTACAAAGTACATGAATCCTTATCAAGACATTCATTATCAAGGGATTTTTATAAATTAAAATTAGAATGAATCTTCTAAATATACATGGATGATAAAATTATAGTCTCTAGATGGCTGATAGCATAAAATGTTTTAGCATATTCCGCTAACCTTAATGTGGCGAGCTGGATCTGGTCCATGGTCCAGGGTATGCACATGCCTGTTTTAAACGCACACCTTTGACTACTATTGCAAATACCATGGCATTTAAGAACATTAGTAGAAAGATTATTTGTACTGATTTTTGAAATATTTTGTTTCATCTTTAGACGGGTCGAGAAATTCGATTAGGAAGGAGGAAGTTAAAAGGCAAGGTAAGTGGTTTTTACAAAAAAAATCAGCTGTAAAACAAAATTTTCAATTACTCAGGAGTGATATTCCAATCAAAGAACCAAGCTCCGGGAGTGGGCTTCCAATCAAAAGGACTAGGTTATAGGAGAGGGCTTCCGAACAAAGGACCAAGCTCCAGGATAGGGCTTCCCATCAAAGACCTGGCTCCAGGATGTGGATTTCCCATCAAAGGACCGGGCTCGCCTGATTAACTTTCATTTTTTTTGGATAAAATCACACTGCTGGCTAATGAAAAACCATTCTTGAAAAAAAAAAAAAAAAAAAAAAAAAGACCACTATCTGCAAAAGCAAGGAGCTGGTAAATTTACCTTGCAGATCAGCATAAACAAAGAAAGTACTGGAGTGTACAACAGCGCACACAGCTATAGAACTTGTTACTAAACTTGGAGATTTCAATGAATGTTACAAGTAGAGTTGGCAAGCTTTGATGTGCAATTTAGGATGGTATTCTATTGCATTCCATACATTCATTCAAATGATGTTTTTATAAATAATGGGGATTTGCTATTAATCATGATCATTTAAAGAATGAAGAATTCATCAAAAAAAGAGGGTGAAAAGAAATTTGCTGTTTGCAAAATGTTTTGTAGGACTCTTTGAAAGATGCCAACCAAGGGAAAGAAGTACTGAAGACTTGGAGGGAGCTATAGCAAAGAGAGCTTTAAAAATTCGGCATCAATTAGAGTCATCAGAAATCAATGGTTGCACAATGTGTTGCAGAATAATATAAAGAACTAAAATTTAAATATTCTGATAGATAAGATGTTGTATTTATTCTAAATCTATTATCGGTAGACAGTTTTAAATTATTTTTTTTTTTAGATGCCTCGTTACACTGTTGGGAGGTTTCTACAAGACAGAGAACACTGGAACCGCATGCAAAGCCATCATCCCAGTCCACTGGTGACAGGTGCATTAGGTGTTTGCAGCAACAATAGCAATTGTCATGGTGTAGAATTTAAGCGAAGGAGGCATGTAACTAGAAGTGCAGCTAGTGTAGAAGGTATTTTCATAATTAGTTTTTTTTCATCTTAGGAACTCAACTGGCTTGAATTATACACTTGGGCCATAGCTGTTGCCAGCTGTGTGCAGTAATATTGTTACGTGCTATTTTAAGATTAAACAATTTTAGTTTTGTTTAAAAATTGGCTCGTAATATAAAAACAATCTGTAACAAAGGACTGAAAATCAGTATACTTAAAACATACGATACAAAAGCTAGCGAAAATAACAAAGAACAATTTATTTAGGCTATTACTATTAAAAAAAAACCTTACAATATTTGAGTTTGAGTACAAATACAATTGAGGGATGATAGAACAATGTCATAATAAATTATAAATATTTATCCTAAAGATCACAAACACAACAAACCATTGCCTCTCAATAGTCTTGTACTGTCACCATGCAAAAGCACTGGGGAAATTTTTTTAATTGAAAGGTACCCAGGTAAAATTTCAGCTACCTTATATACCCCCCAAGAAAGAAGGTCACATGGTCACAACACTCAAGGAAAGATAGGTTTCTAGACTATTTTGAACTGTCACAAACTCTTCCGACCCATGTCATCTTGAGGCAAAGAAAAAAAATTAACTCATAATGTGGCAAGTTCAAACCAAAAAGGTGTCACCAAGTTAAGTGGGAAATGTAAACAAAAGGAAAAATGTTGGTCATGCCACATAACAATATATTTTTAATGATATTGAATGTTGTTCAATTTCAATGCAATATTTTTAAAAATGGATGTGTTTTAAGATTTTATCAATGACTGATAGATCAATGTAGTCAAAATTATAAATCACACTTTTTTTTCTTTCCTAACAAAATTTTTAATTAAATGCCTTTTGGAAATGCTTGGTAATTACATGTTTAGAAATATTTTTGTCCTTTTAACTCTTTCCCTCCGGAATTATTTTCCACATTGTGACGGAAATATCTATTTTGGGTTTTTGTTATGCACTACTATGTTATCTCTAAACCTTCATAACTTTTTGTTTTTAATCAGAAAATGTTAATTTTGGTATGGAATTAAAGGGAAATGCATGCTCTTTGCAAGCAAACAAGATTTGGGTTTAAATTTTAATAAATAAATGTGATTGTGATTTAAGGAAAATAAAAATTTATTAAAAAAACCTCACCAAATGTTCACAAAACGCTCATTCCAAGTCACATGAAGAGAAATATATAATCCAAAGTGTAACAAAAATGTTTTTTCCTGAACTATATCTATATGTGCATCAAAAATAATAAATATCAACTTTCAAAAAAGAAAAAATTAAACCTCAGAGCTCATAATCCATTGTCACCGACACACAAAAAGTGTGCAAAAAAATTTAACTAATTCCACTGGAAACAATCTATTGCTATTTAGAAAATAATTGCACTGTATCCTTGTATGCACTAACATTTATAATATTAAATGAAAAATCTGCCATACATTTGTCACATATTTCCATCTGGGTTTAGCTATAGTAAGCCTAAAAAACAATCCATATTGATGTGCACTTTAGCTGGGGCGGGGCTGGTTGTTCATCAGTTGATGAATTACCAATTTCATTATTTTGTCACTAGTATTACTAATACTAATACTAAAATTATAATCATACAGAATCAGCCTCTGCATTTGAAATCATAAAATCACTATCTGAATCATCATCAGAGTAATATTTTCCACCTTTATTAGATCGATCACCAGATGGGTCAGGTCAAGATTTCATGTTTGTAAACAAAAATAAAATGGACAATCAAAACAACCGCTTCAAACAATTCATTCTTTGTTCAAAAACAATAAAACCAGATGTTTATGAAAGGGAAATCATTCTAGAATTGATTTAAAATAACTAAATACCAATAGCTAAGAAAAGAACCGAAATAAACAGGTTTTATACATCGTCGATCCCATCGTCGATACGCCAAAATCTTCATTTCAAATTGACGATGGGAGCGTTTATCCGGAGGAAAGAGTTAAACCAGGTGATCTCAGCTCGGTTATATTTTAAAAATATTAAGAAAGAGTTTAGAATCACTTATAGTTTAGACAGTATTTAATATATTTTGAATCTTTTTAGGGTTAAATTTATTTTGCATTCTTTCCAGGAATAAGTGGACAGTGTTCTGACCCTGTCCCTGAGAACAGTGTCACTTCTAAGGTACTACGTCCCATTGGAACTGGTGCGATGAAAAGCCCAGTTGCAGCAGTGAGAAGGAGCACAAGAAAGAGTGGAGCTGGCTACATCAACGTTTCAGATTCTTGATGACAAAAAATCTTTCAATCTTTAAATTTTTACATTTTGCTGAAGATGGAGGGTTTATTTCATTTATGTTATTTCTAACAGAATCATAACTTTTTAAGGACCTTCAAATGGGATATTTTTTTATCAACAAATTATTCTTTTAAAATAGCTTTTGATATTTTATAGCTCATGGCTTTATTATAATCTATAATGCAGAAGAGTAGATATTACAATTTTGTAATGGCATAAAGTTCTTTTAAAATATTTTATGATGACACAAGTTTGAGCGCAACTTAAGAACTATGAAATGTCAATGCTCACCTGAATTATTCAGAGCAAATTTTAATGCAAGCTAAATTATATTTTCTGACAAACTGGAGAATGTTTGTGTTTATTTTGTAATGTAAATTCAAGAGTTGCCCTATGATAAAGATCAATGGATTTCTTTAACACTTTTCTATTGATGATAAATTATTGGATATTGGAAAGATTAAGTTTTAATTAACTGGAGATCTACATTTGCAGTGTTCTAACTACTCAGCAATTGTGTGCATTTTGTAAACAATTTAATGTTGAAAATGAATTCTGCATTGTAATGTTTAAATTAATCTTTCCACTGACCTTTTGAAAAGGTACTGGTGGAAGATCAAGTTGGGAGAGCCCCACTTGCCCTTAAATTAATCCCCACTCCATGGGTAAATTCATTAATACAAATAATTGTTAATTCTGATTTGTTCATTCTCATTTCATCATTACATATATTTGACTTGGGAATTCTTACATTCTTAAAAACAAATTGTCTCTAGTCAAAATACATGTATTTATTTGTGCATGGCTTATTAGTAATGAGAGAGGGCAATGTTTAAAAAGAACATTTACAAAAAATCTTTATGAATTTGTAATGTTATTGAATGAACTGACACATTTCAGTTGTAGCTGATATCTTTTAATTTGTATGGTAACATTTTTAAATGTGTACTTATTCTTTTTTAAATTTGACTTAACAAATTTTTAAAACCTTATTAAATGTAAACTTTAAGCTCACTGATCATCTCAAAGTGCAAACCCTCAATATCTTTCTGCAGTCTAATTATATCTTAATAAAAAATGGCAGACCATCCGTCAAGCCAAATCTCATTAGGTCTTCCCCAACATACCCCCTCTTTTCCCCAACATACCCCCTCTTTTCCCCAACCTGAATAGTGCTCGTCAACTAGTCTGGCTGCGAAGCGGCACCCTGGAGTTTCTCTGCCGATAAGTCAGCTCCATACGCCTTCCTTCTGCAATCAAATTATTCAAATATTAGTAATACAGAATATGTGTTTTTGAACCTCTTATTTCATGTTGTGGGAGAAAGAGCAGTTCATTATTATACATAATAGTAATGTTCCCTTGTGGATAGAGAATTTCTAAATTATATTTTGATTAGACATGCATAGGTATTTTAAAAAGTTGATATATATTTTAGCCTTTCCCAAACCCACTTCAGTCTTTTGATGAGCGAAAATAAAGGATATTGATAACAAAGGAATTAAGTTTTAATGGAGTTAAAAATTTGCAGTTTTAAGACACAGGTCTGAAAAAGTGCTATTGCACAATAATTTACAAACATTTTTATTAGGTGAGTTTATGTCATCATTGGCTTCAATGCATTATATTATTTATTATTATTTACAATCACTTTTCAGGCTCTTGTAGATAATGTAAATATGATTTTAATGGAATTATAGTTTTATTCCAATCATTTCTTGATTACTAAGTGTTTATGTGATAATTCATTGTTTTAACTTCATAAGCCAAAGACAGACCTGTCCCCAAAAGGCTTAATATTTTTTTAAACATTTCAATAAATATAAGCTCTAAAGAATTTAGTTGTTAAAAAAATTGATTTGTCTTACTGTTTGAATAACAATACATTTTATTGACAATGATCAGGTTTAGAAAGGGCTTTCTTAGCAGTCTAATAGTACTAATAAAGCTATTTTAAAATTTCATAAAATAGAGTAGCATGTCCTTGGAAAAGCTACTTTACCAAAATTTGAGAAAGGTCCACATTAAATACAGTCGTTGGAACTTGACAACTCACACAATCCGTTTTATTACTTTCAAATTTGTTTTTCATGCCTAATTTTAAATATTTCACTATAATTACATTAAAATCCACTGCATAGCCACTAGGACAAACCAAGTTAATCTCTGGTGTCTGAAAATTGTTTTTTTCCCGCAACCTGGTACCACTATGAATATACAGTATATTATATGCTATGAAAACATTCTGCAACACATTTACTGTCATACAATTTTTAAACATTTGTTCAGTTGTAACATTTTGTTCTCTTCTTACAAAATATTTATAATATAATATATTATTCCTGAGATAGTATTAGTCAAAAATTGTGGTGATAAATTTTGTTTAAAATAAACTCAAAAAAAAAAAAAAAATAGAATCAGCTCTTATATTTGTATAACAAATGGAGACCTTGATCTTAAACCATTACATTTTTGTTCAGTTGTAACATTTTTTTATTTTTTTAAAAAATATTTATAATATAATATATTATTCCTGAGATAGTATTAGTCAAAAATTGTGGTGATAAATTTTGTTTAAAATAAACTCAAAAAAAAAAAAAAAAATAGAATCAGCTCTTGTATTTGTATAACAAATGGAGACCTTGATCTTAAACCATTACATTGTTTAGTCTGGCATCTGGAAAGATTCATAGTATAGAAGGATAAGTAGTATAGACAATAAACTGCTTGAAAAAAAAAATTGTGAACACTATAAATTCAATTCACTGTGAGCAGAATAAAATGTCATATATATGGTTCCTACTTCTAGCAGAGAGGTGGTGGTACTTCAAAAATGCCTCCGTTTATTGACATTATATTTATGAAATGACACTTTCTGTAAGATTTAACATATTTATAATTTTGCTTAAAATAAGTTAATCAACTTTCCTTAATAATTTGATATAATAAATTCTCTTAACACAGGTTCTTTAATAAGAAACATTTTATTTAATAAATACATGCACATAAAAATAATGGAACAAATTTAGTTAAATGAGTATCCAATTATTTACATTTGTTCTTTTATTATGTAAAAGGAACAAGTCAAAACTTGTGTTCAATGTGTAAATAAAACAAGAATTAAATTTAACAAAACTTAAGTATCAGCCTAAAGTTACAAAATAACAGGTAGTCAATAAAGAGCAGCATATATAGTGAAGATTAGATTACATGGCAACACCAAGTTTATATTTCATTAAAAATGCCAGAGAAATTCCTCCTGCAAACATTGATGGCACAGCAACAAATGATAACAGAACTAAAAGGCCCATCCCTGATAATCCATGGCCACTGTTGAGGAAAAAAAATATTTGTATTATAATAATAAAAAGAAAATCTACATCACAGTAGAATGTACTTATGTAATAAAATAGTGCATCATCTCTGTAAACTGAATTACCTGATAGGGTAAATAAATACACTAATTTCCACAAATGACTTTACATTTATGACAAAAGAAGAAAATCATAATTAATTGCTTCTAAAATGATTTACACAATTTAAAATTTCTTTATAACAATACTTTTTTAATATGAGAATTAGAACACAATTTTCTTTCTCTCATTTCAGATAATCCCATTGTTCGATCAGGCAAAGTTTTTACAGACATAGTTAAACTAAATATATAATATAATTAAATAAGCATTTTATTATTTAAGTTTAACAAATTATTTTTATTATTAAAAAAATAAATTGCATTGAAATATTAGTAATAATAATAATAATATTTTCTATTCATCATTCATGCCATAAATGAACCAGAGTGCTGTATTTAGACACACATAGAGACAAATGTATTTTGCTTATGAATTTGATACATATGTATTGCTCTCTACAAATAACTTTACTTTCAATAACTTTTAATTTCAGTGATCTAAAATTGTTTAAATAGATTATAAAATAGTTTCACAATATAAATCTGAAAATATTTTTTCCAAAAATAATATCCTGTCACATCATAAATGAAAAAGCTTTTGCTTATATAATAAAACACTTGGAAAAATTTGATGTAAACCCCAATACTTTTGCAGCTACTCACCTTGTGCATCCTCCAGCCAGCCGTGCTCCATAAATCATAAGCACACCACCACCAAAACTGTACCACTCTTCAAGACCCTCCACAGTTCCAACTGTATTGGAGGTAGTGGCTGAAATACGAGCTCCTGCAATGGCACTAAAGACATAAAACACCTGGAAAAAATAATTTTTTAAAGATTATTGAAGATTTTTGGGGAAACATTCCATAACTAAAGCTACAATTTTTAAAAATAATTTTGTTGAATTGAACTAATTAACTGAAATCAAAATAATGTGTCGAATTAAATGTAAAGGAAAAAAAACAGGTTAAACAAATATCAAATGATGAGGAAGTTGATTAGAAATTTATCCCAACACATTGGTAAATCTCAGAAAGATACATGGTGATCACCATAAAGTGATACCATTAGCAGCCAGAATAGACTTGACTTGTCAAGGAGCTTACAATGGAATCAATTAATGGCTGACAACACAAAACAGTGGCCTGCAAGCTATATAGGCAGGCACCTTATGCCACCTCTGGTGGGGTTAGAAGACTCAATCATACTTTTCTTTATGTATGTAAAAAAAAATAATTTATATTCTTAAGTTAATAGATTTTTATAGATTATAGATAGGTTCAAACCTGCCACCAATTCCCAATGCCTGTTGTGTATTTCTTCAAGTAAGGCAGCACTCTATTCAGTCGTTCAAATATTAGAACCTGGGAAGCTACTGTTACATAGCTTGCACTGGAACCTAAAAAATTAGTGCATATCCTATTTAAAACCTTAAATTATGAATAAAGTTGTGTAACTACTGGTGTGTGTATGTGCTAAACTGGTTACATTTTCTACATAATATTGCAATTCTTCTTCATAGATGATGAATGATAAGTGAGTCAAATTTAGTAATCGATGAATGTTCTAATAAAATTAAAGTAATCAAGCCACACAGTCAAATTATAAATAACTACTGATAGTTTATAAAGGCAACTTCTGAAAATGTTTCTCATGGGATTTGTGAATAAATTTTTACAGCAGTGTAAGTGTAATAATAATGAAGATATTATAATTTCAATAGATTTGTATATTACCTAATGTGTCCTGTATCACTAGCACAACAGGAATTTGTAATAGTCCAATAATCATGCCAGTTATATATGGAGGCCAAGCCCTCACTCCGAAAACTCCTGAGCCACTTTGGATGACCTGGAATACACAAAATACTGGGAGGGTTCATTGGTTAAGTTAATAGTTTATTGATATTTGGGTACATTAGGTCCAAAATTAATAACTTTTTGGGGTAAGATTCTCTCCTTTTTTTTTTAAAAGATAAATATTGAACTGTCATGTGTTTCATGCCAGTTACTGCTTAAACTCATTTTTTTAATCTTCAAGACAAAGTCCCATTATTTTTACCTCTGTTTCCCAGGGTCTAAAAACTTCTGCTGCAAATACTACAAGTCCAAGAAGTGCTGCGAAAGGTAAGGCCAAAATAAAATAAGGTGTCTCCAGATATTCATCAAGCCTGTGAAAAGAGAAAGATAATTAACTCAATGATTACATTTATTACCGGGTATGTTATAATACACAAGCATGGTTACAAAAATTTTTAAAAAGTAAAAGTTAAGGGGAAAAAATGAATTGAATTGAAACAGGGGTTGGCCACAGGCTGTCTCTCAAGAAATGCACTAAAATGTTTTTAAAGTGATGAACTATACTAAAATGTAGCAATAGTAGGGTCAAATTTATTGATTAAAAAACATAGCGGATCATGCAAAAATAGCTGTATCCAGAAAATTTACGGCATCTGGAACAAAATTTGCAAAGTACAATACATAAGAAATAATATTTACGTGTTATATCTGTAAGATCTGACCGGCTTAAACCAAATAGATGTTAAAGGTTCAGTCAGTGCATATAAAAATGCTCCACAGATGCCTCCTGCCAATGTCAAAACTGAAATGATTTCCCCAAACAAAAATCAGTAATAGGAAGGAAAATATATCAACTTATTTTCAGGTAAACACTTTTGAAATGAAAGGTGAAAAAAACTTTTTTTTGTTGCTTTTATGTTGATGAAAATTATATTTAAATTACAATACATTTTTTCCAGCAATAATTTTCCCATGTCAGACTTTCAGCAACAAAATGACAAATTAATATACCAGAGTTAGGTACTCCTGCTCCAACTTGGGCCAGAACCATACCAGGACACTGAAATGAAATGCACATAAAATAAGCAATAGTCGAACAATGCGTGAAGTCAATAAAAACATAATCCAAAGAAAGTAAGTAGTGTCAGTTTGCATACACAGATAAATGCCCAATGCTTTGATATGTAGCAGGGAAACTTAGTAATATAATCTTATCATTAAAATTGTACTTACAAAGAGCTATTACCACAATACTCTGACATTGTTTTTTAAAAATTTTTATAATAAAAAATACAAACCGCTCCAGCCAAAGTCATTCCCATGCCAAGAAAGGCCCCACCTACTGCTGCTGCTAGAACACCTTTATATTTAAGTCCAGGAAAATATGCAAACAAAGCTTTTTCCATCCTTCTAGATGTTCTTGGAATCATGGTAAGAATGGAGAAGGCCAGCATTCCTGTGAAAACAATGTAACATTTTCTTTCATTTGTCAAGATTGAAATTCCTAAATTTTGGTCCAGGATTTTAGTGATTTTAGTGATCTTATGAAATATAATGATGAGCATATTCAGCACACCTTTCATCTTGGGAAAAAATTCTCATTATAAGATGAATATGACGATGAAAGACATACTAATATTATTTATTTAAAGTTGCATTTTTTTTTTTGCTGGCATCCCTCCGTCACAATGTGATGATGGAGTGGGCTTCGGAGGACGAAATCCACATGGCCTGGGATTATTCTTCAGGGATTATAAGCTGGTTCCCAACAGCAAATCGCCTCTCTCCACGCCACTGGATAACCCAAGGGTACATCATTGGATGATACAGCTTGGCACCAGTGACCTGGCAGGAGTTGTGGGAATGTTTCTTGTACAAATGTTATCCGCCTTTCGGGACTCCATCTCTGGGTTTGATTTCAGAGTTTACTTCTCTTAGATGAGTTTTCATCCAAGGCTAACGAGTCCAATCCACCCGGGGTGCTTGATTGGGCTCTGGCTGGAATTGAACTCCAGACCACCAACTTTAGATTTGCTCAGTTTAGTCCACTTGGCCACCCAGCACCCTTAAGTTGCATTTATAGATAAAGTTTAAGGTATAGTTTGTTTATAAATGGGTGTTAATACCAGAGCCCCGCAACCGATGTGCTGCAGCACACTGGTGTGCCACAAGAAGATGAAAGGTGTGCAGTGCAAAGTGCCTTAAATAGGATGAAAAGCCCAGAGTAGGCTATATGTAGCCACTTAAATATACTAAAACCCTTTAATACAAAATATGCATTGTTAGCCTATTATTACCAAGCTGTCAAACTCGGCATAAACATAAATGTTTCCAAAACAAACAGTTAATATAGAGATATACATTACATTACACACCATTATGAATGCTAACAACATTATCTTATTTAGTATAGTTTTGCATGTTTTTTAATTGTGGTGTGCAGCGGAATGCTTGGAAAGGCCTGGGGTATACGATGCATGAAAAAAGGTTGCTGAGCTCTGTTAAAAATGAATATTTTTAATGATTAAAACTAAAATCTCACCTGTAGCTGATGCAGACAGAAACATCTTCAACATAGTAAAATTTGAGAATAGCATTTGCTGTCGAATAATATGGGGTTCAAACACTTGGAAATAAGAAAATAAAAATATATTTTTAATGAAATTTTTATTGTGCATGTTTTTTTTTGTAAATGACAAAAATGTTGATGGATAAATGCTCACCAAATCACCTGACGGTGAATAAAGACGGTGAATAAAATTAGCATTTGAAAGTTTTTCATTGCATTACAAACTTGTCTTTTTCACAAAGTAGCCTATGTTAATTTTTTTACATATTTAGTTTTGTACAGATTGAAGAAATAAGTACACGCTAAATACACTGAAGCTATAAACAATTTGAGAAAGAAACTTGAGAATAATTTTCACTACTAGTTCAAGCAGAAAGAATTTCAAAGCCTGCGAATTGTAAGAAATTAAGAATAAAAAATCAATAGTTATCCATAAAATGTTAAATAACAGCCAAAATGTTTTAAAATGTCTTGTTTTTGATTGATCCAAATAGAATATTGTTGACTAGAAATCTGAAAAATCTAATAATAAAATAATAAAGTTCATTTCAAAAAGACACAGTCATTAGTACCAGTAGTTAAGAAGATACTTTTCACTTTTTAAAAATTTATCAGCAAAAACATACAGTAGACTTCTGTTTGCTAATACTATATCTACTACAATAATGTTTTTTTTAAAAAGTAGTTTCACACACACAAAAGAGTCACACTGCAAATATCAGCTGGTCAAATGATATAACAGTTGAAATTTTTTTTTTTTTTATTACTGTCAAAGACTACAACTGATTATATTGTTTATTTAGTGATCATCAAAAATAGGCAACTGATTCCTTAAATTTATAAAAAAATTACCTCTCCCTTTTTCTAAAGCCATTCCAAAGATAAGACCTGACACAGCGCTGACACTCAATTTGATGAACTGGTCATAACCTTTTTCTCTTGTTGGCATTTTTTCTTCTGAATCTTCTCTATCACTATCAACACTCCACTTAAAGCGGCTACGCAAATCCTCTGGCCTTGTGGACATACTTGATGAAGACAAGCTCTTCCTAGAGAAACTTTTTATAATCAGTTAAATGCTTGTATAATATTTTTAGAAGAATGGTTTTTAATGTTCATTAATGCTAATATTATATCAATTCAACATACAAAAATCAAAGAAATGTCTATTTGGTAACCTGATATACTATACAAGAAGCAACAAGAAAATAGTTATTGCATCACTAAATTTTATTTTTTAAAAAAAGTAGAAAAGCAGAACCACCGGAAAAATAAATTTCAGAAATTCAACTTATATTGATATCACTCATTTAACTGAAATAAAATATTCAATTATAATAACTGGTACTAACTTCATTTTAGATCCAAGGTTCTCTGCTAAAATTTATTAATTGGGCTCTTTTGACATAATTTATACATTACATATTCTGCTAGCATGAGACCATAAACATATATTTTAGTCTTTATCAATTCAGAATACCAGAATTAAAAGCCAAAATATTTTAACAAAGAGATGTTAAAAGAATATAAGCAATGTATTTGCAAAAAGAGAATTTAGAGAATAGTCATAATAGTGGTTTTGAACTTTAAAAAAAACTCTTTTATAAAGATATGATTATGAAATTTTGTTATATAGCCTCCCATATCAGAAATCTAAACCAATTATTTTTATAGTATTTTTTGTAATCATTTTATAATCTAGCATTATCAAATTAAACATTATTTCGTAATTTACAATAACCTCAAATAAAATCGCTAATCCTACTCTTTTTAAAACAAAAGTATTGAATTAATTTTTAAAAAAAAATTATTAAAATAGGCCATAAATGTTTAGAAAGCAGCAGGGTATTTTTTTAGAGGACCTGTGCACTGGTGAACAGATTTGCAGTTCAAAAAAAAATCTACCATAATGTGTTAGACTACTGGGTAATTTGATATAAAATATTTATATATAATATATGGTTTAGTCTCTAATAACAAGAATATAACTTACACTTACATCATTTCTAAAACTTCTACTTGGGGAGCAGGGCATGCATCAGGGGAAGGAGTAAAAAATATCCTGTACCACTCAGCTGGGGTAAAAACTGCCATTTACACAATTTTACAATACACCTTGTTGGATACACAAGGGTTTATCTCTAACCAACTGGTTTTTTTACTTTCAAAATTTATTGTTGATTTCAGAGTGTCTAATAAGTACGATTTCACAAATCACTTCACCTTTGCCTTTATTAAAATTATTTTTTTTGGCTTTGTCATGTAAGGCAAAAAGTAAATGCTCCTTCTGAATTTTTAAATAAAGCCTTAAAAATAATTAACTTTGAATAAGTGCAGAGAATAAGGAATTTAAAGTTAAAGTTTAAAGATAAACTTTTTAGCATTGCAAAAATTATAAATTATACATTGCAAAAATTATACAATTTCAATTTATTAAAAGTTAAGTTACTGTAAAGTAGGCCGTATAGTAGTGCTGACATCAAATTTTTAACTTACGATTCCATTTACAAATTTAACAAGTTACAAAAGTGTCAAAAGTAAACAATACAATTCTAACATAATTCAGTCAACAGTACTGCTTTTAATAAAATACAAGTTTTAATTTTTATTGAACTTATAATGACACAATGAAAATTTAACAATACTATGCTCAGATACTGTACTGTATAATTTTATTTTTAAATTTAATTATTTTAATATTTATAACTAAAACTATTTTTATTTTAGAGTTATTGTTATGCCTAAACCGCACTAAGCCTAAGCGAACTTTAAAAATTACACTTTACATGGAATAAATGCAGTTCAGCAGAATAAGAGTACACCACCCTCACCTCAGTAATTATAAAATAATTGTAAATCTTACCAACCCTGAGCAGACTCAGTATGCTACAACCGGTCACGTACTAAGGTGTAAACAATAACTCATGGGCGGTATAACCTTTTACAGACAGAAAATTTGACAACACCGTAACATTATATAGGTCAAAGTTTAGGTCAAAGGTGATAAAATTAAAGATGTCTCTAAACTAGAGATTATTACGCCTGGGCCACGCATAAAAGAAGTATTTCAACGTTCACATAATCACAACAAAAGACGAGGAGTAGGCCTTGCAAAGGAAAGCCCAGCAGCCCAGCTAAATAAAAAAAAAAATACTTTGGCTAATTTTATATATACCGCTACCCATGGGCATAAGAATAATGGGCCATCAATAAATAACGTCATGCGTCTAAAGTAAAGTGACTAAAGGAAAGGCAAAGGGGGCACGTTTTTGTGACGATATCTGACGAGGGGGGGGGAGGTGTAACAATGTGACGTCACATAAAAGTGGGACATTGTGGGAGTGGGGAAGCACTTAATAACTATTAGTTATAGACATTTTTAACATTATTCTGTTATACAGCAATTATAATTATTTTATTTTAAAACTACGATCACTGAGAGTTAAGAAAATCAGTACTTGACAATGGACAAGAGTAACAGACAAGTATGCGAGGTCCGAAAAATGGCCTCTGGCTGGTCAAGTTACAGTCCGCCATGGAGGAGGAACAGCGCGGTGTAGTGTAGTGTTATTTGACAGTCGTGACAATAATGTCAAAATGTGCAGACGGCAAAAGATGACATTTTCAGACCCCCCCTCCCCCCCCCCCGGTCACAAAGTGTCACGCCATACTTTCTTTACCCACCCCCTAGAGGCATAGCGAGGGGGGCAGGGGGACAGATGTCCCCGGGCGCCAGCTAGTTAGGGGCGCCAAAATGTGCTTTGATATTATTTTATTGATGAAAATAATGGGTTTGAGAGTTGATAAAAAGAAAAGGAGCGCTTTAAAATGGATCTTGTCCCCGGGCACGAATCTTGTCCCCGGGCTCTAAACACTCTCGCTACGCCTTTCCCATAATAGATTAAGATGTAGTATTATTAGAAAGCTGTGACGCGAAACAACGAAGTCATTCCCGAACCGAATGTAAAGTGGCCGACAACTGTTTTTGCGTCATTTTTCGAAATGCGCAGAACGTGTGAGTGACTGAGTTTCACGGTACATATAATACCGTCGGTGGGGAGGGTGAAATAGGCAAAATGCCATTTAAAGATGGCCCTTATAACTCTGATAATGATAAGGAGAATGATCATTCGAATGATCTATTATTATTTGTCGTAGTTTATTATAATTTGATTTAAATGTATAAGTATAATTAAATTTATTTGTTTTATTTAATAAACATTGCCTTGGGGGCGTCCATTAATTACGTCAACAAAGCAGTGGGGGGGGGGGGGGAGGGAGCCTTGGAAATGTTTGCCAGGTTTTGACAAGGGGGGGGGGGGGGGGTTTAGATTAGTTGATGTCAAAAGTAATGTTTTTCCTATTATATTTTTAATTTTAAAAATTTTTATTTAATAAACATTGCCTTGGGGGCGTCCATTAATTACGTCAACAAAGCAGTGGGGGGGGGGGAAGGAGCCTTGGAAATGTTTGACAGGTTTTGACAAGGGGGAGGTAGGGGAGTTTAGATTAGTTGACGTCAAAAATCATGTTTTTCCTATTATAATTTTAATCTTAAAAATTGAATTGTACTTACATTAATTATTTTAAACAATTTAATGTGTGTAAATAGTCATATATGTTAGGATTTTAAAAATACAATAGTTTTTTAATTTGTGTCTGTCTGTGCACTGCAGATGGTTGGTCAGAATGTTAGCACACTTTGTTAGTGCAAGAGAAGTCAAAAGTTGGCATCTCTTCACCTGTCATTTTTCTCTTACTCCGCTCCCTGAATGATTAACACATCATTGTACACGGTGTTCAATTAAAAACAACAACAAACTAACTCATTGGTGTTCAATAACAACTCTACCAACTCAAAGACTAAGAGAGCTTATGGCAGTTATTGTTCACACCAACAATACTTACTTCTATTTTAAGTGCTTAATGGTTAGATTATGATGATGTTGACTTGTCAGGTATATCAGTTCCGCAAGGTGAAAATTATAAATCAACTGCTGCACACTATGCCCACCAGGGGCGTGGTTTCAGTTTTTTCAGGGGAAGGGAGGGGGGACAAATCCAAAACTTGGTCGGCTTGTTAAGTTGTTTATTACCGGAGGCGCCACAGTACATAGCAATTTAAATAAAACCAGCAAAATCGGGGGGGGGGGATTTTCCCCTGTCCTACCCAAATGATGCCCCTTAGTTACGATACAGTAATACAGCAGGACCTGGCTGCTCCATGGGGAAATTTCAGAAGATGATAGCAGCTAGAAACTATACTATAATTGTCAACTATACTGACAATAATCATATTTATACTTCCACAAACAATGATATTTAGTCCTTAACAACCTTTTAATTGATTCTGCATTATAAAATTTAAGAGTAAAAACTTTTTAACTCGTTGATTAACAAGCTTAACATGTAATAAAATTATTTCCCTTCAATTATACGTGTCATTTAAATACACCAGCACAAAGTAAAATATATTTATTAATTTATCTATATTATAATTCATTTTTAAGAAAGGAAGGGGGGGGGCGGGTATAAAATGTTGACGTAATTAAATAGGGGAGGGGGGTCTTCAAAAGTTTGACAATTGTTGACAAGAGGGGTGGAGGGGGTAAAAAAAAATGCGTAAAAATTGTTGCCGTAATTAATGGACGACCCCTTGCCCTTAGCCTATTGCATAGGCTGTTTTACCACGGTTTACTTTTTCTTTTACATTATTATTATAGACTAACTTATTTTTACTTATAGACTTATAGTATAATTTCACTTATTTCCCAACATTCTGTCAGTGAAAAAAAAAAGGTTTAAACTAATAAAGGCGAAGGACTATTTATTTCAATATAATAATAATATTATATTTGTGTGTGTGTGTGTGTTTCTTTCTAATTTCGTTCGTAGACCTACTATTAAAAGTCATCTACTTTCTCTCAAGTTGCAGATGTTAGGCCATATATTCTAATATTTATATATAGACTAATATAGAGTATAGAGAGACCTGGCCTGACGAGTTCGCAGAGAGTGGGTGAGTAAGACTAACTTTGACTAAACATATACAAAATATACAAGTCGTTGAGTAGAATTGGAATAATATGAACCAACCATGACTATGGTCATGGAATGAGGGATAAAGCTATGCAATTTAAACTAAGATGCTTTTAACTTAAAACATATCAGCGCGGATTAAAGATATATTATGAAGTTTATTAATCTGGAGAAGAAGAGTAGTCAATGCCTAATAATAATACTAATACTAATGGTTTTAGTACAAATAAAATACTCACCGACGGCAGTGAGAAAAAAAGTTCAATAATTACCAAGGCAACAAGCAACTTGAATTTTATTATAATAGTCTCTCTTACAAAAGAGTTTTAAAGAAATATAAATATACATGTTGAAATCATCACGTTTATCTACCGTATCTTTAAATATTTATATTTAAATTATAAATTAGGGCTTTGATTTTTGAATGAAAAATCATTTCAAAATATTTTAAGATTTAGTTAAATGATCTGACGAGAACTAGAATACCAGGAAACAACACAACGAAGCAATATGAACGTAACAATAGCATAAGCCTCGTACCCTTAAACGCTACGGCTACGTCTAGCTCTCTAGCCGTCTAGTCTAGCATGGTGGTACATAAAATCCACAACAATGGCTACCTCCACTTCTAGTGATGATAGCATACCTATTGAGTTAAAAGAAAAATTAGCTGCCTTTGATACACATTTATCTGAATTAGAAGTTGGTCTTAACCCCATCTTATCTATAAATCGGACTGCATTAATTGAAAAGGTACGTGAGTAATGCGTAGAGACTAATAAAATAATGATAATGTATTTTGAGAAATTTGTTATTATTACATTACTCATTACTATTTATTACTATTACTATTAGTAATAATTAGTATTAGTAAAAAGTATTAGGCTACCCGTAGGCTACCCAATTTAGGACCTAAAAACGATGTGTGTGATTACGTTCCTGTTCTTCACTGTGTCACTGAGCATTACTCGCGTCGCAAACTAAATCTAATGATCGATAGACGATGCGGTTAATATGAAGGTGCCAATATTCTATATTAAAATGACATTTTCCATAAATCTGTACATGGCTTATGGGACTGGGGAGTGGTTAAATACCAAAATAAGAAATAAAAATCTTCTGGGGAGTGGAGACACCCCCCCCCCCCTTAAAAAATATAAAACAAGACAACAGAAAGTGAACACAACATAAATGTCGAATTCTTTTGAATACAGAGTTGTAGACGGAAGATGACCGACATGGAGTAAAATGACATTTTCCATAAATTTGGACATGGCTTATGGGACTGGGGAGTGGTTAAATACCAAAAAAAAAAAAAAAAATCTTCTGGGGAGGGGAAACCCCCCCCCCCCCCCCCTTAAAAAATATAGAACAAGACAACAGAAAGTGAACACAACATAAATGTCGAATTCTTTTGAATACAGAGTTGTAGACGGAAGATGACCGACATGGAGGAATCTCTGTTGTCTAGTATAGTCTAAGTCTATGCCTATAGATGGAACACATCTCATCATCAACCTTAAATTACCACTAACCCAAAATCAACCATTTCTACCTTTTAATTTTTATATTTAATGTGTTTCATTTAAGTTTTAACTCTTAAAGTCTTTTATTTCTTTTAATTTCATTTGTATGTTGTACAGAAATTGTTCTTCTTTTTCTTCTTATGCCTTGGCATAGGCCGTCCACAACAAATTTCCATTCATCACGGTCCTGTGCTTTCCTCTCCAATTGCTTCCAGGTGTATCCCATTCTTTGTGTCTGGCTCTAGCTCATGTCTACATGTATTCTTTAACCTTCCTCTCTTTCTTTTTCCCCTGTGGATTCCATGTTAGGGATTGTCTGCTGATGCCTGAGGCCAAAGTTAACTGTCCAGCTTGTATCCATCTTGTTTTACAGATGCCAATCGGTGTAAGTTTGTAAGTTCGTATTGCTGCCGCGACCTGTGCAGCTTTCCCTTTTTCATACATGGTTCTTATGTTCCACGTGTCTATGTTAGTTTCCTTTCAAAGGAGGGTCTTTGGCTTTGAGACTTCACATGTAGCCTGGGTTTGGTCGCAAGGCTTCATAGCTCTTCTTGAAGAAGAGCCCTCTCTTCTCAGGGCTGAAATTTTTTGTTTTTTTCTTGTTGGCCTTTCCTTAGCAATAGGTTTTTAGGGGCGAGGTAGCTGGCCTCAGGCCAAGCCTCCTCCTTTTGCACCCGGGCTTAGGACCGGCTTTGGCATTGTACATAAATTGTTACTTTACATCAATTTTTGTTTTTTAGACATGCAAATATGATCTTCGTTAATGCAAAAAAGATAACGTAGGGCTGAGTGAAAATTAAGCCTAGCAACTTTATTGTATCTCTCAGATGTGGGAAAAGCTGCTGCCTATCTGCGATTACACCCTTGTCTCGCATAGTCTCAGTTGTGTGTATGTTTACATACTGCCTACTGCAATTGTAGACATTTATGGGAAATTTTAGTATTTTTAGAAAAGTGCAATGGGCATAGCCATAGATTTATCCTTAAACAGCTAATAAGTCTGTTCTAATCTCTATTTCCCATAGCTCTGGAATACAAAAAAAAAATATTTGAACCTGCTTCCTCTCGAGTCAGAGATAATCAATGTTGCCATTGCAGCACAGGGCAGACTCCCTTCTAAAATGCTATGATTTAGCCATCCCCTTGTCATTGAATAAATTATTCAAACAGTCTTTCATAACTTGTAATTTTATTCCTGGTGAAGTAGAAAAGTAGAATTTTTGCATTTAACATTTATGTGCAAAAATCATAATGATTGAATGTAATAGAAGCAAAGATTTATAAACACAATTAGCACAAAAAATGATATGTTTTTTTTTTTACTGACTTAACACTTAAAATTTAAGTTAGATAATACAGCCTATATTATGTAGGATTTGGAGCTACTATTTACATTTTAGATTCAATATTTAAATGCAAAATAATTATGTTATTGAATTTTTTCAGATGGACCCCTTAGATGCTGCCAAAACAGATTTAGTTGCAGCATATGCTATCAATTCATTATTCTGGAGTTAGTATATTTTTATGTTATTCTTTTCTTAAGATATCTAAATGTATGCATTCATTTAAAAATAAACTTTATGTGATGTTATATCAAACTTGTCTTCTAATATTAATATGAGGTGAAAATATAGAGGAGCTTTTTATTAAAATAAAATTTTTAACAAGTCTTTTTATTTATACTATAATAAGTATATAAATATAATGTACGAAATCTTATCATGTTTAAAGCAACCATAGCTATTATATTAAAAATCTGTAAAATTAATTATATATAACTGAACAAAATACCTTGAGTATTGCTTCATTTGTCATTTAAAATCTTAATTAACTATCTCCTACAATAAACTGCTGATGTCATAAATATATCTCCTTAACTATTTTTATCTACTAGGCTTCAAGTCTTTTTCTTTCCTGATAAAATTTACCCTTAATGAAAATTAAAAAACTTGCCTTAAACTTAAACAATAAGAATTTAACATTTACTGTTGTAGCAAATTATCTATTATAGCTGAATATGTGGCATCAATTAAGAAGAACATAATTTTTTTCTGGAAGAGATATTATTGAAAGTTTTACAATTATTCATAAAATAGAAAACACATAGATAGCAGATGTCATTATGATTACAAATAAAAGTAGTAGATTAATAACATAGATTGTATGATTTATTTATTGAAACCCATTTCAGTGTACATGAATGTGTGTGGAATGAACCCAAAAGATCATGCTGTCCGACAAGAACTGGTAAAGGCACATTTATGATGTCATTAAATTTTTGTTGTTCTTTTAAGTTTATTCAGAGTTTAAGAACGCATTTTATATTATTACCAAAATTCCTTTAAATTACTTGTGTACCTCTAATTATTAAATTAATATTTAGACTATTTTTAAGTCTATATTCTGTGTAAATTTTAATTATTTTATAGTAAAATATAAAAAAAACAAAAGCTTTTTATGATATCCAATCAAGTTTAGATGAAAAAGTAATCTTTGGTGTGTTTTAAAGATTCAATAATTATTTTTATGCATTTTATCTGCATAAGTCATTTGATTTTAGATGCAAGTTGTACTTTTATTTAAATGAGTGGTTGAAAATGAAAATGTTTTTACTTGCACATTAGACACGGATTCAAAGCTACATGCAAAGGGTCAAAGAAATTGAAGACAAGAAGAAAGCACCAAAGCTTGATAAAGAGGGTGCTAAAAGATTTGTGAGGAGTGCTTTGTGGCAAGCTGCACAGAAGAAACATGAAGGCAAGGAACCCTAATATATTTTGCTCATTCTGTTTTATTTAAAAATAATAACTATAAAAACATGTGGAAATTAAGTACTAATGTGATAATAAGATGTATAATATAGAAGGATTCCAGTGACCATTCTATGTAGCATAGAGTCAGCCACTATATTAAAAATGTAGGCTTATAGAGCCTAATCCAGACCTGTTTACTCTTACGATTTTGGCGTACAATGTACGATTTTCAGGTGTTTACATTATATATACTGCATGTTTTTTTTACTATTAAAATAATGTATTGAAAGATTTTGTGATGATTTTGTACGATTTTAAAAGTTTGAAAGTAAACAGGTCTGCTAATCAATAAAGCAAGTTATCAGATCATGCAAATTAAAAAAAAAAAATTTTTTTCAGATAAAGACATCTCTACCTCTGCAAAATCTTCTTCACACCAAAACTCACAAGAGGGAAAAAGTGGAAAGAAACGTAAAAGAAATGAAAAGTGATGAGCTTAGATTTGTTTATTATGTATATATCATATATATCCAAATATATTGCTAAGAATGCAAAAGTGAAAATGGGATTGACTTACGGTACTTTTATTTTTGTACCCCCCCCCCCATGAACACTGTGACTCAGAATCAGAAGTCTGTCTTTTCAACAAATACATTATTTTTTTAACTCCTCAAAAACCTAAAAATTCTAGACTTAATCAAATATATTGCTAAAAATGCAAAAGGGAAAATGGGGTTGACTTACGGTTCTTTTATTTTTGTACCCCCCCCCCCCCATGAACACTGTGACTCAGAATCAGAAGTCTGTCTTTTCAACAAATACATTATTTTTTTAACTCCTCAAAAAGCTAAAAATTCTAGACTTAACATAAGTTAATAAGGTCTCCAGCTTTGGTACAAACTCATAAAAAAACATCTATTTTAATGTTAAAATCTTTGGATGACCAGTAGTCCTACTAAATCAGCGCTCATATGTCATTACATCTTCAATTAAAAAGGTTAAAATATGCAAATAATTAAAATGCTAAATAAAAAAACAGAATAAATAATAAAACTAACTAAATTGATATCATTTTATCCTTTCTCTCACTTGTCTTTTTAAAATCGATTTCTTTTTCTATTGAAATGAAGAATGAATAAGTTTATTTGAATAAATCAGGCATTTGCGGGCAAAAATATTAGGCCATCCCTGTATTAAATTGGTGTATGATTGCCTCAACTAATGGGGAACCTACTAAAAAAATGCAAATACTGTAAATGAAGTAATTTATTGAGAGATCCAACTGTAAAATTCTTAATTGTTGATCTTTAACTTTTAACTTTAACACCTAGAATAGTTTTGGATTTCCTAAATATTTATCTGCATTGCTAAATTTTTTCACAATGCAAGCTTCTATCTATCATGCGGCTTACAAAATATGTCATGAAACTCTTTTGAGAAGAACCAAAAAAGAATAGAAACATTGTTCCATTTGTATTGAATGAACAAAGTAATTTTATGCATTTTACTTAATAAATGCTTTGATGTATGACTGTAGTGTAGTAATTGATGTGAATGATGTAAAGTGATCTTGTAATAGTGTTAATAAATTTTACCTTAAATGGTTTATTTTTTATTATTCATTAAATTATGATTATGATGTTGATAAAATGAAATAATTAATAACACTGATGTTTTTCATCATTGATTAATTTCTTATTAAATGAGCAGCATGTTATTTTTTGTGTAATTAAATCTTATTTTTTTATATATATATTTTTTTAATAATGCTCCTTTTTAAAAAATATATATTCATAATTCCGGGCAGTATTGTTTGTCAACATTGCTTTCATTAGGGTTCCATAATTTAACTATTGAGACAAATATATATTATAATTTAATGATGGCAAATTCAAAACAAATTCATAATGTAATTTAATTTTGGGTTTTAATGAATTTAAGGTAACTAAGACATGAAGCAGAAATTTAGCCTTGAAAGTTAAAGAGACAACAAATTGGTCAAAGGGATTATTTTATTGTGATAACAACAATTTTCATTATCCAGTAGTAAACAATTAACTGGTTCTCACATGTACAAATATGAACTATCGGGTAACTGCAGCATTTTAAATATCTCTTAACTTTGAAAAAATCCAAATAAACATAAATGACATTTAAATAGAAAAATATCTTGAGAGTTACAGTTTTCTTGAAAAATACTCATTCTTAGCTTGGTTACTCTTTACATGAAACATTATTTAGAATCTGTGGGAGAAAAGGTAATTCATTATTCAATTAAAATTTACATATTAGGAAAGTTTGTGCATAAACTATATACACTCAGTATTATGTCAAATCCGATTGAAAGAATTCATAAGATTCTAATAAAATAGATAATGCTTTCCAGTTAATAGAACTTTTAAGAAATTACAATAATTTGTAGGTAATATGCTAAAAGAAAATACTTCTGGTGAACAATACTACAGAGAGAAAATTAAGTGAATGTGCAATAAAAATATTTTAATATACTTTTGAGTTAATCTACACAATAAGAATCACATGAAAACTTTAAAAGCCATATTGTTATGCAAAACTACAGTGAATTCTAAATATATGAACATATTTATTTAAAATTTTGGTAGATCAATGACAAAATATTCTTCTGTTTATAAAAATTAGAGTATTTACTTACAATTAAAATTCTGCACATCCTATCCAACAGATGGTTTTATTCCCAAAAAGTAATTAATGCAGCATTAGAACATCCAAATCAAAACCTTTGCTACTCAATTATTGAGAAGTGTGTAAATAGTAATGAAGGTATTTTTGTTTTAATTGTCAAACTAAATAAGTGAAAAATTATATTTACTTATAACAGCCATTCAATAGTGCTGGATAAACAAATTCATTTAAATTTAAGAGTAACTAATGTAAGTATAAATATAGAATAATTAAAAGTATCACGATGTATTTGATGAAATAATAGGGAATGATATTTGATGGTACACCAAATAAAAGGTGTGGGAACCACTCTGTAAAATAGTTATATTTTTCTATCAATTTCAATAAATCTAAAAGTAGGAAAATAGATTTTTACAACATCAACTTACTTTACCAGCAAATAAATTGAACATGGATGGCAAAAATAAAATGCATTCAATTTTTTTCAAAAATGTAAAATTCAAATGGGAAGTATACATTTAACTAAAGTAAAGTGGAAATTTAATATTCACAAAGATTTTGAATTATTAAAATTTATCACTAAATTTCAAATCATAAATTACCCAGATGTTTGTAAAAATAATATTTATATCAGAAATTGGAATAAAACTTCCATTTCACTAATTATCAATAAGATGATGAGACCTTTTCTTTATAATAATTTATCAGTCATGCAGAATAAAGCTGCCTCTATTTAAAAAAAGAGCACAGTTATACACAAACATATAGATTTATAAAAATAGAGTGATTTCAAAACACAGCTGAAGAGCAGTGAGTAAACTCAGCATGACTACCCATTAGGAGAAAGCTGTAATCTTTCTTAGCTATTTTGGGATATTAAAGTACCTCCAAATTCAATATTTAACCCATTCCTTATTCAACAGCTTCTAGGGCAATGCATGACCACAACTGAGGCTGAACTTTATGAACTGAGCTTTGGGAAACTGCTCATAATTTCCTGTCACATGCTTAGGTATAATATTATTATATAAAACATTGTGGAATGCAAAATGTGAACTTGAGAATAAATTGCCTGAGTGGGTAGTTTACAAGCAATGTAAAGTGACAAATTATTAAATGAAATTGGTTAAAATTAAAAGACAAAACAATTTTACATCTCAACCTTTCACACATCTATCACAAATGCAAACGTTTTCTGAATAATCTGTAAAATTCTCAGAGAATATTTCTAATTAAATTTGAAATTTGCATTAAAATATTTTTTTTATTAGCTCATATAATTCATCTTTAAGCTGGAAGCCTAACAATTGTAACTTTATATAAATTGATTTTCATGTAACTATTATCATTTAATGACATATTTGATTTCTGTGTTTTTTAATGTGTGTCTTTTTAGCCTGCCATAAGAGTTAAGTTGAACTGAGCAACCATTTCATTTATTCTTCTAACTAAACCACTGGTTCAGTAAAAATATTAGACACAGGAAAATATATTTTGAACCCAAAAAAAACAAAACAACCAGGGATATATATATATATAATATATATAAAAGACATTTTTAAATTATAGGATAGTTACTTTATAAATAAACCTTGTTAAAAATCAATGTTTTAGGAGCTTCTAGGATTAAAAAAACATAAATGACAAATTATGAAAACCCAGAAAGATGATTTCACTTGAAATATTTATACATTTTTTGAACATGCTGAGACCTTGACAATGTTTTAATTTGAAGATAAGCTTGTGGCAAGATAGAGGAAACTCACCAGCTTTTTATTACAATTATCACTCACGTTTCATTAAGAACTTGTAACCAGTGTAACATCAACACACAAATAATTCAATGGCAACTTATGTAATATATTATGTATATATATATATATTAAAACGAAATACTACAAAATATATGATTTGTCATGGTGAACAAAACACACATGCATTTCTTTGAATCTGCTGTGGTAGACTTAATTTTGGTTTCCTAGTCTAATGGGAGTGAATAGGTTAAAAAAAAAATCAACCCATTTTCATTGAGAAAAAAATTTAAGATTATTAAAGATTAGTTTATTAAGCTAAAGAAGGAATTGTTTTATGCTATGTGAGGTTTTTTAAAAATAACTGTAGGTGGCTCATGAATTACAGGGGAAAAAAGGGCTTTATTACATTTTATGCTTGTAATCAACTTGCGATAAATCTTATATGAGGAGTTTAAAACCAATTAGTGTGACAAATATTCACAAAATTTAGTTTTAATCACAAACTTTATTCTAAAATTGTGACCATATGTACCTGGTAAGTATTATTATTATTTTTTTGAACAGATTAAAAAAAAAACCCAACTATTTATGGAAAATGTAAAGCATTCCATACTGAAATTTTGATTTTATTGAATTTTTATCACATTTATAAAATATTTATATATTAAAAAAAAAATACACTTGAAGCTTGTGGTGGGAAAGGGCAGCTTATGGCCACATCCTATGTATTCCTGAGCATCTCTCAGCAAGGCATATTAGAAAATGAACCATATTTTTCAATAAAAAAAATCATATCAAATGCTTATCTGATAAGATCAATAAACAAGCATACTATTACCATTTTCTTTAAAGCAAAATTTGAATTCACTTC